GACCCATAGCAGCTTGAAGTCCAAGAAAATGAAATAGAAAAAAAACACAAAATAAACATTAAAGGATCACTATAATGTCAGGAAAACAAAGCGGTTTTCCTGACACTATAGTGCCCTGAGGGTGCCCCCACCCTCAGGGTCCCCCTCCCGTGGCGCTGAAGGGGATAAAACCCCTTCAGCCACTTACCTTAATCCAGGGTCGGGTTCCCTCGGCGCTGATGACCTCTCCTCCCCCGCCGACTTCATCTCCCCGTCCGACGTCAAAGGAGTCGAATGCGCATGCGAGGCAAGTGCCGTACGCGCGCATTCAAAGTGTCGGTAGGAAAGCATTTCTCAATGCTTTCCTATGGACGCTCTGCGCAATGGAGGTGAAATGTGTCTCCAGCATCGCAAATGCGCCTCTAGTGGCTGTCCTGAAGACCGCCACTAGAGGTTGGCTTAACCCCAAATGTAAACATAGGAGTTTCTCTGAAACTGCTATGTTTGCATCTGAAGGGTGAAACCCTGGGGGACCTGGCAACCAGACCACTTCATTGAGCTGAAGTGGTCTGGGTGATAAGTGTCCCTTTAAATAAAGTCACTGTGTGCTATATGTTTGCTTATCCCTCTGCAAGTTCTCATGTTACACTTGCTCTCTAAAGCACTATTTGGGGAGATGTATTAAAGTGTGGTGATAAAACTGTTGGTGATTGCATGACTTTCAATGTTATTATTAAAATTCGTAAAAGCGCCTACAAATTCTACAGCGCAGTACAATGGGTTGACTAACAGACAAATATTTTTAACCAGGCGAGTTGGATGCACAGGAACAGAGGTGATTAAGGGCACTGCTCAAATGAGCTTACGTTCTAGAGGGAGGAGGGTAAAGTGACACAAGAGGTAAGGTAGAAAAGTAGATTGCCAGAATAGTTTTCAATGAGGGCTTAGTTTTTTTGGGGGGGGGGTTTTGGCTTTTAACGTTGCACTAGTTTTCTGATTGCAACACTTTATAAACCTTGTGCAGTGTATAATTTTTATGTGCTCTATAAATTCAGAGATTGTCATCTATTCTTGTGGATAATTAAAATGAAAAGCATAACTACAACACCCTAACATCTGTTATAAATAACAATAAAGTGGGAGTTGTTACTATTGCACAGGAATCAAAACATGGGCTTTTTGCCATTTGATGTATCTGCCAGAAACATACAATTGGGGGTGAAACAGGATCCCACACCCAGGCACACCTTTAGTAAAATTGCATATTAAAATCGATAAATAGTTCAACATATGAAACAATAATTTCTGAGACTTGCACTTCTATGGGGTGTCAGTAGATGGCAGTATTAGCTACTTTCTAAACATGATTTCTTGAGGCCATGAGGTTTAAGAGCTTTGAATATTTATCACCGGGAAAATTCACATTTTAATGAAAACGTTTTATTTATTCATTGTTTCCCTTCTACCTTTGCATATTCCTTAAGTATTAGTAGTTAAAGGGACTCTCCAGTGCCAGGAAAACAATCCGTTTTCCTGGCACTGCAGGTCCCCTCTCCCTCTGCTTTTTCCTCTGCTGCCGCTCCTCCCCTTCATTACGTCAGCCGGCGAGGGAGACTGATCCCGCCCGCCGGCTGGGGAGACCTAATGCGCAATGCCGCACATGCGCATTAGACCTTTCCATAGGAAAGCATTGAAAATGCTTTTCAATGCTTTCCAATGGGGATTTTATCGACGCTGGAGGTCCTCACACAGCGTGAAGACGTCCAGCGACGCTATAGCACAGATAATCTGTGCTATGATCCCACAAGTGCCCTCTGATTACGTCATATTCCGGCTCCCAGCCTCACTCTGCGCCGCGTGAGGGAGCTGAGCGGACAGCTCAGAGGAAGAGCTCCCTCGCCAGCCGCCCGCCCAGCCCAGAGCCGCCCGCAGCCACTGGACCGCCAGGGAGATAGAGAACCCCCCCCCCCCCCAGCATTCCCAAAGGTAAGGAGGGGGGGGTAAATAAAAAAAAAATGTGTTAATGTGAGTGTGTGTGTGTTTGTTAGTGTGTGTGTGTGTGTGCGTGTGTGTCTGACTGTGTGAGTGTGTCTGCTAGTGTGTTAGTGTGTGTCTGTTAGTGTGTGTCTGTGTGTGTCTGTTCGTGTGTATGTGTGTGTCTGTCAGTGTGCGTATGTGTCTGTTAGTGTGTGTGTGTCTGACAGTTTGTGTCTGTTAGTGTGTATGTGTGTGTCTGACTGTGTGTATGTCTGTGTCTGACTGTGTGTGTGTGTCACTGTGTGTCTGTTAGTGTGTGTGTCTGACAGTTTGTGTCTGTTAGTGTGTGTGTGTCTGACTGTGTGTATGTGTGTGTCTGTTAGTGTGTGTGTGTGTGTGTGTGTGTGTGTGTGTGTGTGTGTGTGTGTGTGTGTGAGTGTGTGTGTGTCTGTTAGAGTGAGTGTGTGTGTCTGAGTGTGTGTGTGTGTCTGTTAGAGTGAGTGTGTGTGTCTGTTAGTGAGTGTGTGTGTGTGTCAGAGTGAGTGTGTGTGTCTGTTAGTGAGTGTGTGTGTGTGTGTGTCTGTTAGTGAGTGTGTGTGTGTCTGTTAGCGTGTGTATGCGTATCTGTCAGTGAATGTGTGTGTGTGTATTTAGAAGGCGGGGGAAGGGTTGGGTGGGGCTGGCGCAGGGAGGGGGGGCCTAGGGCAGCACAAAACCCAGATACACCACTGTCTAAAGGAGGGGTTAACCATGCAAAGTGATTATTGCAGTTTATGAAAACTGCAGTAATTACACTTGCAGGGTTAAGAGTAGTGGGAGTTGGCACCCAGACCACTCCAATGGGCAGAAGTGGTCTGGGTCCCTGGAGTGTCCCTTTAATGTAAATAAACTGTGCAATAATGAAACAGAATTTATCCAAGACACAGATACAATATGGGAAAGGTTCTCACCACATTATATAACTCATAGTGGGAAGAGTATTAAGCCAAGGTGGGTCCTTTAAACTGAGGAACAAGCTTCTTTTAAAGGGACACTATAGTCACGAGAACAACTACAGCTTATTGAATTTGTTCTGGTGAGTAGAATAATTACCTTCAGGCTTTTTGCTGTAAACAGTCTTTTCAGAGAAAATGCAGTGTTTACATTACAGCCTAGTGATAACTTCACTGGCCACTCCTTAGGTGGCTATTAGAGATCCTTCCTGGTCCATGGCTGCCTAAAATGCATCCAAACATTCAGTGTCTCCTCCCTCTGCATGAAGACACTGAACTTTCCTCATAGAGATTTATTGATTCAATTCATCTCTATGAGGAGATGCTGATTGGCCAGGGCTGTGTTTGAATCATGCTGGCTCTGCCCCTGATCTGCCTCCTTGTCAATCTCAGCCAATCCTATGGGAAAGCACTGTGACTGGATCAGGCTACCACTTCTGATGATGTCAGCAGACAGCTTGTTTTTCTAAAGCAAACAGCTTTGTGTTATTTATGGGTGCTGCAGTTGCCTTGTAATGTTGTATTTGTGCGTATGTGGGCTGTTATATTGTATATGTTCTTAGTAGTTTGTGGTGTTGTGTATGATGCGTATAAATGTGAGCTGTGTATGGGAGCTGCTTGCGGAATTGTGTATGTGGATAGTCAGTGGTGTTGTGTTTGTGGGGACTGTGTGTGCTATTTGTATTATTTGTATGAGGAGGAGGCTTTATCTGCAGCTGTGTATATGTAGGACTGTGGTTGGCGTCGCTGGGGTCTAATAAGGACCTGGGTGGACAGTTATAGGTCAAGGGCAGGAGCTGCAATAGCTGTGTGGATTCCCGTTCACGAGTTCAGGGAGGAAGTGATCTAAGATCACCTTCTTCTATATCCCACAATGCGTGATTTGGGGATTGTCCCTCACCACCTGCAATCACAGCTCAGTATGCACTAGCACAGGGGTAGGCAGCCTTTGGCAGTCCATATGTTGTGAACTATATCACACACACTGCTCTGATAGCCATAATGCTGGCAAAGCACCATAGAAGTTGTAGTCAAAAACATCTGGAGTGCCGGAGGTTGCCTATTCCTGCACTAGCAGATAGATATCTGAAGTTCCAATAGGACCCCTTTTAGACCAGAGCCTGTATGTGTATATATATATATATATATATATATATATATATATACAAGAGGAGAGGTATTTGTCGAAAACTTCCACCGGACACCAATTATTGTTAGTGGGGTAATAGGTGATAGTGACAGTCTGTCCTTTAGCAGTAGTTTTGGTATGGTGTAGGGATAGCACGTAGTGATCTAGTACTTTTACCAGATTCGACCTAGTGATGACGTCAGGGGAGTTATAGTTAGTGGTGGTAAACTCCTTGGGCCTAAGAAAACCGTAAAAAGCCAGATAGATGGCTGTTTTAATAACACGGTTTGTATGGGCTTCGAATGGTGAGGTGTCTAACAGATTGGATACTGACTGAAACAAGAAATCGTGAATGAGTAGTCTGAACGGTGAGGGTATAGGGGTGGAGTCTTTAATACCTTTTAGTATGGCTTTAACTTGGTAGGATGACAGAAATCGTTGTCTATTAGGCCAGGTTGTGAGGATGTGATGTTGAATACCTGTGACATACAACTTAATGGTGTTATATGATAGTGTCAGATGAAGGTGGCAAAAATAAATAAATGCGATGATAGTCTCAATGGAGTCTCAATGGAGAATTGGTCAGTGACATTAGAGTCCAGCAAGAATTTATTGAAAACATCATAAGCTCTGCCATATGCTTTCCTGGTGTTATTGGAAAGACCAAGTTGCGAAAGTTGTTGCCCGTGATAGAGCAATTCTTTTAGTCCCAAACCAATTCCTGCCACTGAGGTGCTGGAGTCGGTGTCGGGGTAGCTGTTGGTAGTGCTGCCCGGAACTCCTGAAACCAAGACCGTGATAAGTGATCTGCAGCGATATTGAGCACCCCAGGCACATGAATGCAAGTTAAAAGAAAACTGTGTTTAGCAGCTAGCCAAATGAGAGTCCTCATAAACCGCATGATGGCCAGGGAAGAGGAACGACCCTTGTTAACAATATGGCACGTTGCCATGTTGTCAGAGAAGCAACGCACCGTATTCCCAGACCAGCCAGCTCCCCACTTAACTGCTGCTGCCACAATGGGGTAAAGCTCGAATAAGGCTGATGTGTCTTTGAACTTGGGGATTGCAGTAATTTCCCCTGGCCACTTACCCCACATCCATTCATTGCCACAAATAGCTGTGAAACCTGACGTGGCAGCGGCATCCGTCCATAATGATACTGACTTATCTGACCATACCGGGATAAAAATGCTTATCCCATTCCAATTTAGCAAAAATTCTCTCCACATATGTAGGTCAGCGGTGGCATGTATGTCTAACGTAATGCGGGTGGTATCAGAGTGAAACAGGGGAAATAGCCTAAGCAAACGGGATATGAACGCTCTCCCCTGTGGAATTATTTTCATGGCAAAATTTAGGGAACCCAACAGGGATTGTAATTCTTTCCTATTACACGAGCCACCTGCTAGGTAAAGGTCAATGGCTGCTAGGATGCGATTAATCTTCTCCCCGGGGAAGCTAGCCTGCATATGTACATAGTTACATAGTTACATAGCTGAAAAGAGACTTTCGTCCATCAAGTTCAGCCTACCTCACATTTGTTTTTTGCTGTTGATCCAAAAGAAGGCAAAAAAAACCAGTTTGAAGCACAATTTTGCAACAAACTAGGAAAAAAATTCCTTCTTGACCCCAGAATGGCAGTCAGATTTATCCTTGGATCAAGCAGTTATTACCCTACATTGAAAGATTATATCCTTGAATATTCTGTTCTTGCAAGTATGCATCTAGTAGCCGTTTGAACATCTGTATGGACTCTGATAAAACCACTTCCTCAGGCAGAGAATTCCACATTCTGATTGTTCTTACAGTAAAAAACCTTTCCTTTGCCTTAGACGAAATCTTCTTTCTTCCAGTCTAAACGCATGGCCTCGTGTCCTATGTAAAGTCCGGTTTGTGAATAGATTTCCACACAATGGTTTGTATTGGCCCCGAATATATTTGTATAATGTTATCATATCCCCTCTCAGGCGACGTTTTTCTAAACTAAATAGGTTTAAATTTGTTAACCTTTCTTCATAGCCAATATGTTCCATTCCTTTTATTAATTTTGTAGCCCGCCTCTGCACTTTTTCTAGTGCCATAATATCCTTCTTTAGAACAGGTGCCCAAAATTGCACAGCATATTCAATATGGGGTCTTACCAGTGATTTATAAAGAGGCAAAATTATATTCTTGTCCCGAGAATGAATGCCCTTTTTCATGCATGACAATACCTTACTGGCCTTGGCCACTGCTGATTGACATTGCAGATTGTTGCATAGTTTGTTGTCTATAACAATTCCCAAGTCCTTTTCATGTGTTGTTATCCCTAATTCGCTTCCATTAAGGGTATACGTTGCTTGTGTATTCTTTACACCGAAGTGCATAACTTTGCATTTTTCAACATTAAATTTCATCTGCCATTTGAGTGCCCAGTCTCCCAGTCTATCTAAATCACTCTGCAGCAAAGTAATATCTTGCTCACATTGTATTGTTTTACAAAGTTTTGTGTCATCTGCAAACACTGAAACATGACTTTCAATGCAGTCTTCAAGATCATTTATAAACATGTTAAATAGAAGGGGTCCCAGAACAGACCCCTGAGGGACACCACTTGCCACCTCTGTCCAACTTGAAAATTTACCATTAATGACAACTCTTTGTACTCTGTTTTTAAGCCAATGTTCTACCCAAGAACAAGCATTTTCATCTAGACCGATTTCCTTGAGTTTGAACACTAATCTATTGTGTGGAACTGTATCAAATACCTTGGCAAAATCCAAATAGATCACATCCACGGCAACACCCTGATCTATACTTCTACTTACTTCTTCGTAGAACGCAATCAAGTTAGTTTATGTACACTTCCAAGATGATCGTATCTGGACCTTCAGTCTTTGTTGGCGAAACAGGTACCCCTAGTTGTGTGAACAGTCGTGGTATGGACAGGAGGCTACTAGGAGGTACCAGGTTCCTTTCTATGGTCAGGAAGTCGTCCAGGTAATGTATCACGGTTGGGCATTTACAGATGTTAAGCAGCATCCAGCACAACGTCTCAGCAAATATATAAAAAATCCTGGGGCTGCTCTTAGAACCAAACGTGAGGCGTGTGAAAAAATAATACGAACCTTGCCACTTAACACCATTTAAATGCCACAGGAAAGGGTGGATAGGGAGTAACTTAAAGGCGTTTACAATATCAGTTTTACTCAGCCATGCCCCTACCCCGGCAGAGAGGATAGCAGTGATGGCATTATCTATGGTCGCATATTGGAGGGAAAATTCTTCTGATGGAATAAGCGAATTGAGACTTGGGGTAGGTGATGCATGGGGAGCAGATAGGTCAAGAATTAACCTTTGCTTGTTGGAGGATTTGTTAGTGACCAGTCCTATGGGATTAGTTCTCCAGACCGCGAAAGGCGGGGAGACAAAAGGGCCTATTAAGAAACCTTCCTTCTGGAGGAGTAGGTTTATAGTGTCTGGAGCTGCTAGGGCTGTCTGCAAGTTTTTACATTCCAAGATTCCCGTAGGCATGTGAATAATACCTGTGTGAAACCCCATAAGCGGATTTTTAAGACTGCTAGGTATATTACCCGGTAGGGGATCCAGGCGCGCCGTAGCAATCGGGGTACCTAATGCAGAAGCTGACCGTTGCTGGCTATCTGCATCCAACTTGTCAAGTTTATCGGTAACACGGCCCAAAGAGGTGAGGACTGAGGACAAAACAGTATGCAGATCAGAAGACTGGCTGCCACTGGACCCTTCCCCCGCCCCTGAGTTATCAGTCTGTGTATTCAACAGGCTGTACAATTCTGCTTTCCTAGCAGTGGCTGGGAAAGGAATGTTCCTCTTCCGTAGTTCGGCAGTGATCCGAGGAATGGTCCATGCCCTGAGTGATGCAGGGCTCGCGTTGTCGTCACCCCGGGATGGAGTGACTGATCTAGCCGGTGTGCTGGGGATGGACAAATCTTCCCCGCCTTCGGGTATTTGTGACATGCTACAACATAAAAATAATATGTTATCTGGGGTCCTACTGCACTGGCTGGTGTAACTAATGCCAAGTGACGAAAAATTACTTAGAACGTGACTGGTGAGGCCCTACTAGTTTCCAAGCGGCTTTGAGAGGCACTATCTATGATTTGGCTCGTGTGGGGTACGTGGCCATTGGCATTATGGCAGGGTGATGGCCTCTCTGTGACTCGTAAAAGCATAAGACAGAATGGGAGTAACAGGTGAGGCCCTCTCTATGCAACCAAGCGAGGCGGCTAGCTATGAATTGGCCCGAGGGGATGCCTTACCTCCGAAATGAGGATGGGTGTTGGCCTCACGGGACCACTAATGTAAGGCGTAGAAGGCCAAGAAAAACATACCTGGAGGCTCCTATATTGTATGCCAGTATATCTAGCTTATTACCCGAAAAGGGTAGGTAGGGTGGGAGAATTTATCGAGAGCAACCTTATGAGCAAATTGCCAGGTAGTAGGATAAGGTGATACAGGCGATCTGTAGTAACCTATGAGAGTAATAGTGAGTTTCCAGGGTTATATCAATATGTACCCATCATTCCCCCTGCAAAACAAGATACCTACCGGAAAATATTCCAACAATAGAAGACTGGAATCAAATACTCCAAATGAGCAAGCATGCCTATGCCTAGTAATACAGAAAAATATACATAAGGACCCAGGTCTTGCGAGTCCACTAGAGGATCATTAATCGTGATTACTGACCTATGACAGGTGAAGAGTTGATAGGGTAGCAGCACCTTGTGGATGCTGTGATACTGCCACATAAGAGGATCATAATCTCTAAATTGCTAACCTTGCCCGACCATAAATATCTGCATTATATGTAATTACCAAACATTTAATACCCCTAAATGGGTAGTTATGATGTACGTGCTTAGATATAACTGAAGTAAAAACAGAAAGTAGACCCCGTAAGCCAAGGTATCACATTTCTTGTAACCCTCCTGTTGACCACCGGGTTTATTCAAGACATATATCATAATAAGCAAATACATGCCACAAACTACTGTTGGCAATACCATCAGGACAATTAGCACCAGTAGCTTTTTTATGACATATGTCTTCTTATCCTGTGACCAATGCACAAATATTAAATGTAATTATGCCACATGTCATAACCCTTATGACCACCAGGGGTCAGTCAGACATTTTAACCCAATTCACACCATATGGTGATAAAGTGTAACCAGGAGAAAGGGGAAGCAGGAGAGAGAGAGAAAAAAACAAAAAACAAAATAAAGGTCCAGCCACTAGATGTCGCCCTAATACATATAGCCATCTTACAATCTAATATTGAACAGCGTTTCGTTAACCGAACGGCCATAACCGAACGGCCAACCGAATAAACCCTGTTCAATCATTCCCATATGCATATATGCCATACCCGAACGCCGGCATTCGTTTTAAATATGTACCGAACAAGTGGTACAATGCGTGCGCCCGTCGACCACTGATGACGTAAAACGGCCGTGCCGAAACTTGCGGCGGCCGTAAGACTTACGATTTTGCGACCTGGTGCCGCCACGAGAAGCCCTGCGAAAACCCCTTGCCTGCTTTCAAGTCAGACAGCCGGAAACCGGAGGAACAGGACTCGTTGGGACCCTGGAAGCTGCCCACGAGATGCAGGTAAGCAGAATGGAGTCGGGACCGACCGGAAGTGACAACCTCTCTCCACAACTCGCCAGACCTAACAGGTAATGAGGGAAGGGCTGGTGCTCCTTAAGAAGGGGAACCAAGCCCCTCCCACAACTTCAGGCCATGCCTTCCATATATATATATATATATATATATAAATATACATTATTTTATAATCTTGGTGAATTGCATTTGTTTCTTTTACAATAAAACATAATTATTTAATGATTCTATTCTCTGTACAAATGTTCTCCTTCATTGAACATACTTTTCAGGTATTCTATTGCTTTCTATCAGTGGGTTGCCTAAGATACGGTCAGATATGGAATAATCAAAATGGGGCCATACTTGGTTTTCTGATTTTTGGAAAAAATAGAAACATAATGACACTTTTAGATTTTTAGCAATCATTTCACATTTTTCTCAGCATTATACTTTTCTTTCTAATACGGCACTTCCAACGTTTTTTATAAAATGTATTGACTTCAGTCCAAACACTTAGAATATTGTTATGGTAATATTTCCTGATGTAAAGGAGCCAATTAAATAAGCTTTGTAAAACTGAATGCACTGTTAAGGAAATAGGAAAACTATGTATCCATTATTTATTACTTCTGATAATACCTCCTTCTGTACTGTGATAATCTAATTTGCTAATAAGGCTTTATAAAGATTCATAAAGAGCTGAAACAGTGCTTGTGTAGTGTCTGTTCTTTCGTATACTACATCTACATAGAACTATAGCAGGATACAAATGTATTGGTAAGAAATACATTCCATTAGAAATGGAACAATAAACTAAATAGCAGATTATGTTAAATAGGAAGTAGGTGAGTAGGAGCTTGTCTATCTACCGTGAGTCCTCCCTCCTTTAACTTTAAACATTATCGATGTAGGATTCAGTTTCAAGGTAGTGACGGAATCCAGGCTTTGTAGTCTTAACATTCTGGTCTAATTTACTGACTATTTGGTTCTAGTCCTCTTACTGCCTAAAACAGGTTGATTTGTCATCAACATAAATAAGAATGTATTCGAATTTGTCATCTGGAGTTCTGGAATACAAGCACGGGTCTGTTTTACTCCATGGAACGTCTTTTGTTGTAACTACTTCAGCCATCTCTTTGTTCACTGCTCTTTTGCGACTGCAGCTGCTCCTTCTGAAATTTAGAGACATTGTTATATCTTCCAGGAACCTTACATCATGCTGTCTGTACATTAGAGAGGTTCTCTTTGATATTCCCATTTTGGAAAGCAGTTTGTGACATTTAAGCTCTTGCGTTGTCTTACCAGCTCTTACATTAAAGGACCACTATAGGCACCCAGACCACTTCACCTCAATTAAGTGGTCTGGGTGCCAGGTCCCTCTAGTTTTAACCCTGCAGCTGAAAACATAGCAGTTTCAGAGAAACTGCTATGTTTCACTGAGGGTTAATCTAGCCTCTAGTGGCCATCTCACTGACAGCCACTAGAGGCGCTTCCGCGATTCTCACTGTGAAAACCAAAGTGAGAAGAAGCTGGACGTCCATAGGAATGCATTGAGTAATGTTTTTTTATGGGCGGTTTGAATGCCCGCGCAGCTCTTGCCACGCATGCGCATTCAGATCTGACGTCGGCAGGGGGAGGAGAGTTCTCCAGCACAGAGGGAGCCTGGCGCAGGAGAAAGGTAAGTGGCTGAAGGAGTTTTAACCCCTTCAGCCCAGCAGGAGTGGGACCATCAGGGTGGCGGAGACCTAATGACCCTATAGTGCACTATAGTGGTCCTTTAAGGAGTGTTCATGTAATGGTAAATGTATTGCATACCCTTTTAGAGGAAATATTGCATTCTATCTGTTGATGTTTCCTTTGAAGGTCCCCTTGCCTCTAGATGTTTTTTAATTCTGGTGGCAGTTCTGTGAGTGCCCAAGTCTTATTGATTTATTTTTGCTGCTAGTGCTTCTTTCCACTTGCTGATATTTTTAGGGTTGAGTTGATCATCATATTGCTTGAACAGGGGTTCTCATTTATCTCCCATTTATTCATAAAAATGGAATTGGGGGCACAACCAGAACATGCAATCTTTATTAGCAATGCTGCTGCCAAGACCACAATATATACAAAATACAGATCAAGGGCACAGCGCACACACAAACAAAATACACGTTCACACCTTACAAGGCCACTTGCAATCAACTATCCTAGAAAAAAAACATGGGGACTTGGTTACACCGCATAGCTACACTGTGTCAAGTCCAAGATTTTGCCAAAGTACAAGCGTTGGCTCAACCCAAAACGAATCTGGTCTCCTATCCTCGGGTACATTCAAATCACTTGATTTCCTTACTTCCCTTTGTGTATTTATGCCTCATCCCTTTAGATTGTGAGCTCATTTGGACGGAGCCCTCTTCAGCTACTATTTGTATGTCATACATGTTTTGTTACCATTACATGTTTCTTGTATCCTATTTGTACCCCAAATTATTGAAATGATTACTTGTGCAGCCTCTCAGTAGTATCTCTAGGTATCAATAAAGGGATGGGAGAATACTGCAGAACAAATAGTGACAGATACAGTATGTTTCTTTCTAACACACTTATCATGAGCGCTACCGCCACCTACCTTATGGGCCACTTTCAGCTAGGTAGGGGGTCTTCTTTAACCTCTGCAAGTTACTGTTGTACATTTGGAGAATGTTTTTGGATAGTTTTCTGGAAAAAACAGTATCTGTAACTAATTCATTTAACAGGCAGATTTTTCAAATATAGATAACATACATATTTAGTCTAATAGATGTCACTTTGCTCCTGAATGACTTCTCAGTTTAAAGTGATCCAAGTTTCTGAAAGCATGTGCTGTGAGCAATGGGGGTGAAAGCTTTGACTTGATAATTTTTCAGTTTCAATTGCTAGAATTTACACCTTGCTCCTAAGTGCCCATTCATTTCCTCAGAGTTGTGAATCCATTGTTATTCAAACATTTGATTGACAAAAGGCTTCTTTCTCGCTATGAAACATACAGGTAATACTCTAAAAATTAGCATTTCGTGCAAAAGTTCATTTATTTCAGTAATGCATCGTAAAAGGGGAAACGAATATATGAGATAGACGCATTACATGCAAAGCAAGATAGTTCAAGCCGTGATTTGTCATAAGTGCGATGATTATGGCTTACAGCTCATGAAAACCCCAAATCCAAAATCTCAGTAAATTAGAATATTACATGCAATCAATAAAACAAGGAGTGTACATAGAACAATATCGGAACTCTGAAAAGTATAAGCATGCATATGGACTCAGTACTTGGTTTGGGCACCTTTTGCAGCAATTACTGCCTCAATGCGGCGTGGCATGGAAGCTATCAGCCTGTGGCACTGCTGAGGTGTTATGGAAGACTAAGATGCTTCAATAGCGGCCTTCAGCTATTCTGCATTGTTCGGTCTCATGTCTATCATCTTTCTCTTGGCAATGCCCCATTGATTCTCTATGGGGTTCAGGTCAGGCAAGTTTGCTGGCCAATCAAGCACAGTAATCCCACGGTCATTGAACCAGGCTTTGGTGCTTTTGGCAGTGTGGGCAGGTGCCAAGTCCTGCTGGAAAATGAAGTCAGCATCGCCATAAAGCTCGTCTGCGGAAGGAAGCATGAAGTGCTCCAAAATCTCCTGGTAGACGGCTGCATTGACCCTGGACTTAATGAAGCACAGTGGACCAACACCAGTAGATGACATGGCTCCCCAAATCAACACAGACTGGGGAAACTTCACACTGGACTTCAAGCATCTTGCAGTGTGTGCCTCTCCATTCTTCCTCCAGACTCTGGGTCCTTGGTTTCCAAATGAGATGCAAAAGTTGCTCTCATCAGAAAAGAGGACTTTGGACCACTGAGCAACAGACCAGGTGTGTTTTTCTTTAGCCCAGGTAAGACGCTTCTGATGTTGTTTGTTGTTCAGGAGCGGCTTGACAAGAGGAATACGACATCTGAAGCCCATGTCCAGGATCCGTCTGTGTGTGGTGGCGGCTCTTGATGACTCCAGCCTCAGTCCACTCCTTGTGAAAGTCCCCAACACTTTTGAATGGCCTTTTCCTGACAATCCTCTCCAGGCTGTGGTTATCCCTGCTGCTTGTGCACCTTTTTCTTCCACACTTTTCCCTTCCACATAACTTTCTGTTAATGTGCTTTGATACAGCACTTTGGGGACATCCAACTTCCTTCGCAATTACCTTTTGAGGCTTTCCCTTCTTATGGAGGGTGTCAATTATGGTTTTCTGCACAACGGTCAGGTCAGCAGTCTTCCCCATGATTGTGATTCCTACTGAACCAGACTGAGAGACCATTTAAAGGCTCAGAAATCCTTTGCAGGTGTTATGGCTTACTTAGCTGATTAGAGTGGGACACTGTGAGCCTAGAATATTGCACCTTTTCACAATATTCTAATTTACTGAGATTGTGGATTTGGGGTTTTCATGAGCTGTAAGCCATAATCATCGCACTAATGACAAAGCACGGCTTGAACTATCTTGCTTTGCATGTAATGCGTCTATCTCATATATTTGTTTCCCCTTTTACATTGCATTACTGAAATAAATGAACTTTTGCATGATATTCTAATTTTCCGAGTATCACCTGTATATAGAAAAACAACATTTTTCATAAGGATACTACATTGACCTGAGGGCAGCATAAGAGGTCAGAAAACACTAAAATTGTGAGAGAACTTTGAGAAAGTACGACTCAAATAATGTTCCTTTGGTTCCTCACCCAGTTCTCCTCCTAGTTGTAGCTCACTTGTACAACCATGGAAAGAATGTTTCCATTTACATATCAAGCTGATTCCACCCAAAACAACAGTCTAGATGTGAAACAGGTTCTCTGTACAGGAAATATAGCAAACCCAGACTATGGTTTCGGCCTTAAAGGGACACTATAGTCACGCAGACCACTTCAGCTCAATGAAGTGGTCTGTGTGCCAGGTTCCTCAGGTTTTAACCCTTCATATGCAAACATAGCAGTTTCAGAGAGACTGCTATGTTTACATTTGGGGTTAAGCAAGCCTCTTATGGCTGTCTTCCGGACAGCCACTAGAGGCGCATCTGCGACGCTGGAGGCATGTTATTCCTCCATCGCGCATAGTGTCCATAGGAAAGCATTGAGAAATGATTTCCTATTGACACCTTGCGCATTCGGCTCTGCTGACATCAGCGGGGGAGGAGAGGTCACCAGCGCCAAGGGAGCCTGGCGCTGGATAAAGGTAAGTTGCTGAAAGGATTTTAACCCCTTCAGTGCCACGGGAGGGGGACCCTGAGGGTGGGGGCACCCTCAGGGCACTATAGTGTCAGGAAAACCGCTTTGTTTTCCTGACACTATAGTGATCTTTTAATTTAGCTTTGTTAGTGAAGTGTGTATAAAAACAATGCAGGCATAGTGAGGAAGGATCCATGTTTGGATTACTCAGTTACCTTAGGGAGGCCCCAGATATTTTCAAACAAAGCACAATTAAAGTTTTAGTGGATCCCTGTTTATGTCTGCAGATAGGTTTAGCTCACTTATACCATTGTAGAGAGAATCACATTTGCATATTAAACCGATCCTACTTAATACAGGGTAACTAAAGTCGGGATGCTGTGGCCTTTTCTTCTGTGATCCTCTTAATATTAGCTATGAACATTATTCACACAAAAGTCAATTTTTTCAAATAATGTCTAATCACGGTTTATTGTGCTACAAGACCAGCAATAACAAATGGTAATTCATTCTATGATATAGAATAAATAGTCTGTGTGTACTGCAACATCCACCACCATTGAAGTATTCAGTTTGCTGATCAGGTGGACAAATACCCAGGTGAGAAAAAGGAGCTAGAAAGGATGTAGAATGAGATGGCAGAAGCAGTCCCCATTGTGATAGGCCCACACAAGGTTCTATGCAAGTTGGGAATTGAACTCCGCATTTTCCTGGTAGGACATCAGTCTCCCAAACCTCTAATATACCCGTGCTAAAGAACCACCTATTGTCTAATATGGCAGGTGCGGTCATTACATATGGTGAACATTGTTGCTCTTTCAACAAACTACAATCAAATAGTCATATAAAAAAATCCTGCCTTTAATTTAAAAAAAAAAAAAATATTCCAAATGTTGTGTTAGTTGTGTACATATTCACTACGCACATCATACATTTGATTTCACCTGTACAGCAATAATAGAGGTATTAGCCAACATTGTATCTACACATTTGGTATTAATTTGGATGGTGTTCTACAAATTGCTACCTTGTCTTTTCTGGATGACAAGTGCACTTTAAGTTACACTTTGACTGCTGACTAGTTGTCTAACCTTGTTGACAAAAATGTTGCAATAGCTGATGTAACACAAATGGGATTTCTCGGGTCATACTTTTCATATGTAAGCAATTTACCTAGTCTGTTTATTTAGCATAAACACACTCGCAGGCTGGTGGAGAAAAAGCAAAGTCCGTGTTTCAGAGGTGATGTCATGCACCCGAAAGCTTATTGTTGAATGCAGTGAAAGATTAATTAGGGTCTGTTTATATAGGTTGCTTAGCTGCAAAAATGAGAAAACAACCTAAAAATAACATTAGCAAACCCTTCTTTGTGAATTTCAGTTTTGCCATTTTAAAAAGAAAAACAAAAATGCAAAACAAAAAGTGTCATTTAGATCAAGAGCAATGTATCGTATTTACACAAAGACATTTATTGTAGTTTGAAGACACATTACTGGAGTATTATTGCTGTGGAGCTCTGTTATACACTCTGACATAATATTGCAGCTTCTAGAAAAGAGTTATTTGTAGCCAAGATGGAATCTGTCCCTTCTAAATAGGGACACTTGGGAGAATGTGGAGCTGCTGTGATCACTGTGTAATCAGTGCACAGCAATCACAAGAGCTGCACACTCAAAACAAGGCATGAGTATCCACGCCAGCTCTCCTGGTTAAGGTAGGAAAAGGAGGCTGAGTGAACCTCCTTCTTATTTTATGAGGTTTTATTCACTGGTGTACATTCCAGAAAAGTGATAGTTCCCCTTTAAACTCTTTCGCAATAGGCTCTCTAAAGCACACATCTTTATAAAACAAGACCCAATACACAGTGAAAACATCAACCAACTCGATTTTGGCAGCTGTGACTTCAAAAGCTTTGCTTCAATGCGGTTGGTCTTTGCCTGTTCGAGAACTTCGATGTTGGTGAAGAAGTCATTCCAATGGATGTTAGATTGTGTGGTGAAACACAACTCAGAGCCATACAGGAAAGTGGTCAGTACGGCAGCTCTGTACACACTGATCTTTAGATGTACCTCTCTATAGATGTGTGTTGTTCCAGACTCTCTTATGCAGTCTGCCATACGCTCTGTTTGACTTTGCCAGTCTGCTATCTATTTGTCAATCTTGGCATCTGAAGAGATGATGCCCAAGGTAGCTGAACTTATTCAATATAAATACCAGGTAATAACTGGTAGGTTCCACCTTACCATAAAGAGGAGACCAGAAGTAACAATTGACAGGTAATTGTCGGGATAAAAGTATCGAGTGTCCAGTATCCAGGAGGTAAGGCCCCTTGTGGCACATAATAAATAGAGCACCTAATTGCATCCTTAATGTAACCCAGCAGGAATAAACAATCCTTAAAAGGCAATAACCAAGCACTGTAGAGCAGCTGATCTGTTCGTTGTATAGTAGACAACCAGCGTTGTCAATCATTACCTCTGGTTTCCTTTTTATGGAAAGGTGATACGTGGTATTTTTATTGAGGAACTTCACTTATGTCCTTTTCCTTCTGCAGGATATTATTATATTCATTGGTTCCTTAGGATGCAACTCATGTGACTGTTACACTTAGAGATCTTTATATTCTATATACTTATAAATAAGAGAGACAGAACACAAAGTACCTAGTACATTTTAATAACCATTAACACTGCTTTATTAGCAGATACACAAACTCATAAAATCTCAGTCAACAGCAGACTTTTCCAAAGTGTAAGAAATAATACAAAAAGTTAAAAATCACAACAAGCTTAATACATTTCGCAAAACTGGCCAGGTGACAACCAATGTTAATGTGCTTTTACTGTACATTGCCATAACATTAGGCTTTCTTCTACTACTGGTGAATTGTGTGTGTGTAATATATATATATATATATCCATCCCGGGACCTATGAACAACGTTCAGCACAGGACATAATTGATGGATCAATCATTTGGGTTTGCAGCATTTATCTGCAGATAGGTATATCCTCAGAGACTGGAGTATCAGTGGATCTTGGGGTTGGTTTACAGAACACGTTTGCAGGAAAAAGTCTTACAATTGAATGCTTTTCTATAGTAAGGCACAGATTTATATGCTTATCATAATAAGCCATATTATTACCATGTAAAGATAGAAAACAGTCACACCTAACCACCCGCTACGGTGCCGCTAACAATTAAAACAGAAAAAGTGACAAAAAAACAAACAAACATCAGGCAGTGCCAAAAAGTGAGCAAGACATACATTTCTTATCCTACGAGCCCTTGAAAGTGAGCAGTGACTCTCTTTCCATCCATGAAGGATATAATAAAGGCTATACAGTGCACTCATAACAAAACTTTGAGGGAAAAAAAAATAAAAAAATAAAAAAAGTAAAACATACTTCATAAACACAGATTTACAAGTCAATGAATGGTTACAAGCCACCCAGCCCTATGACCACACGTGCAAATAAATGGATTGTGACTTTCATCAGATAAGACTATAGAATTTGTATAGTAGCTAGTACATAGGTTAAAGTTATAACTAAAAAAAACAAAAAACCTTCTTCTGGAGGTAGAACCATAAGATAATATCTTATGAAGTAAAATATATATTACTAGATATATGTTAAAATATCTTATGCATTGCATACCTCTTACTATTGTGTGCTGGTTTAACTCCTCAAAGAGCAATGATGCATGGGGCAAGTTATAATCTCCAGGTATTTGACCAAATATTGATCCTGCCCTTAATACAACTACCAGCATTGTAGCTGGCAAGAGAGGGTTCACGTTATAGCATGAGTCTTGGGAGCCATAGTTAAGGACTATTTCTGTAACTTTATTACCTACTGGGGAAACCATTTATATTACTATTGGGAAAGTCATTTATATATTTATACTTAAAAAAAATAAGTTTTATTTACACAACTTTAAAGGGACACTATAGTCACCAACACAATGTTAGTTTAATGAAGCAGATTTGGTGTAAAGATCACTGCTCCATTCTCCACTATTTAGGAGTTAAATCACTGCCCCTAGTCACACCTCCCTGCATGTGACTTGCACAGCCTACCTAAACACTTCCTGTAAAGAGTCAGCTAATGTTTACACTTCCTTTATTGCAAATTCTATTTAATTTAGAATCTCCTGCACTGTCAATAGCTTGCTAGACCCTGCAGGAGCCTCCTGTGTGTGATTAAAGTTCAACTTACAGATCAGGAGTTACAAACTTTTAAAGTTAATTACATCTGATTGAAAATGAAAGCATTTTGTTTTCATGCAAGCTGTGTGAGTCACAGCCAGGGGAAGTGTAGCTAGGGCTGCATAAACAGAAACAAAGGTGATTTAACTCCTAAATGGCAGAGAATTGAATACTGAAACTTCAGAAGTATAAACTATACACAGAAACTGCTTCATTAAGCTAAAGTTGTTTTGGTGACTATAGTGCCCCTTTAACTTGCATCTATTGATTTTATTGTGGGTGAACTCTGAGCTACACTGATACACACCCAATCTTCCGAGCTCCTAGAAAACAGGAACACCGGGGCAATTAAATGGACAGAGGATTTGGAAAAATAGACAGGAATTGTCCTTTCTAAAGATGGACACTTTGAATGTCCCATCCAGTTCTTTCCTTGGCAGTGGAAAACAGGTGATATCTTGGGATATCTAATCTGGAAGAGTACTCCTGTACAAATGGAGTAATATTGTTTTCAGATTACTGGCCTGATAATTCTGTACACGGAGATAATGTTTAATCTAAGTGAAACAGCACCTGTAACCTACAAGGTGACAAGCTCTATGCTACAAAATTAAGTTGTCCAGACAACAATGAATCATCCAGCATTACTGGAGAGGCTTTTGTTTAATAACTTCCTTACAACTTGTTACGGACAAAATCCCTTATGATCCCCAACCATGCCCTCTTTACAATAATCTAAACCTGTACACTTCCAAATCACAAGATTGAATAAAATCTACCAGGGAAAACTGATGTTATTACAATATTGTATCTGTGATGGAACGATGATCTGCATTATAAATTACTCAATAAAAATGCAATGTGGCTCAAAGCAAGTTTTTTAAACTATTTTTTAAAAGTCAGTAAAGATGATGCAATAGCATCACTAGGATTGGTTTAATGCAGTGTAGTGTCTCATAGCATCACCAAATCATGGACCTCCTCCCATACCAGACGGTTTGAGATCCTTTGTGGTCCAGTGGTGAGCACTTCTGGTCTCCATCTTTACTGGGTGGAATTAAATTCTTGTTGCAAATTCCAGCTTTCTGATGTAAGAGTTTTGCCTCAGGTTACCACAGCAAGGTTCCAATACGGTCAGGGATAGCCGGATTTTGCAAAAGAAATACGCAAGGTCTGCAACCAATGAAGGTGCAGACCAGAAGGTCTCAGGGCACTCATTCAATAGGGGCATGTGGCTGTTGAGCGAGATCTTTGATCTCCCTCATAAGCCCAATAAGGTACACAGCACCCTCTGGCTTGGTTGCCCAGGTCACCCTAAGGCCTTTGCCGCCATAAGATAGCACCAGCCCTGTTGGTGTCACAGGGTGCAATCTGCACCCCCATAGTGATGCCGGTGGATGATGTGGTAATCCTGCTAAAATCATTTTTAAAAGCATACACTTAGGTGCTTTCGTCTCAAGTACAAATGATCAATTATTTAAAATTAAATTAAAAAAGGCAGAAGAAAACTTTTACCTTTTTGGCACTTGAGGGGAATTTTAATTTATTAAAACACCGTTTTTAAAAAGGAATTTAAATATAAATATTTACATATACTTAAATTCTAGATAACACATTTGAAGGAGGAAAGGAGAAAGCACACACTTTTCTCTTGCATGAATGGTAAGATATTGATGTTGCTGTAGATGCTGTATGCAATATCTCCTTATGTTCGGCCAGAAAACTAGTATGTGCGGTTGGATTGCTAAAAATTGCACACCTGCTTATCACAGAGTTTTGACCTCAGCGTCTTATATTTTGGCTTTCTAATGTGGTTAAACTTCCCAATTAGCAAGTATAAACTCAGTATAAAATTAAAAAATTTCAGCTCAAAACAAAAACCTTTTGTGAGCAGAATACACAACTTAAAATCAGAGGACACCTGAGTACATTAGTCAGACTCCCAAGAAACAAGCAATCGTCTGCCTGGTTTTTTGATGCCCCACAATACCACTTGCTGACAGATGCTTATCTCAATGTTACTATTTTTAGTTTTAAGTCTTGGTGTCCCTTTTCTCAGGGACATTTGTTCCAACACAGAACACAGAGTTTTACAAGGGGCAGTGGGCCTTGTTCCTCCGGCTCAAACTGCAAATTTAAGACATTGAGTAAGAATGAGTATAATAGCCGTTAAACCTCATTATAGAAGCTCCTGGAGTGAAATATTAGACTGTTTTATGCACCCTGCTCTTTGAGGCTAAATACAATGTTGATACTCTTAACATACAGACATTTCTCAGGGCCAACTATAAAGAGTGATATCATCAATTAAATAATCACTACTGAATTGTCAATTCAAATTATGTACAAGAGGGCAAATCCGAAACGATCCAGTAACGTGGCAATGTGCCAGGGATGTCCCTAAATCACCATAAAGCAATCAAGAGAATGGTCAATGCATTCCTTAACTTTTAAACACATTCACAGCTCATACATGCCCAATAACGCACATATGGGTTTAGGAGAATGTACATGATCAGGATACTTTGATATATGGGTTCTAGAATCTCCATCTTGGGGTAACTTTATTGTAACATTTCTTATTACAAGTGGACAGTATGTTTGTTTGCAAGTGTGACACCTCATAGAATATAATCATTAAAGTCTCTTTCATGCATTTTGTGATTTTACAGATGTAGAGCCCATTAAAATCCACAAGTGTTTATTTCAGCAGGGCCTTGTTACCTCTTATTCCAGTTCTCCTAAACTGTCTCAATTTAATTGCGTGTTTAATTTTCCCATTTAGAGAATTAATAAAATTATATCCTGCACTTCAAAATGCTGTCATGTATATTGTATTTTTTAAGAATTACCTGGTTTATTGTTTAGAACAGTCAACAGAGGACACTAATAACTAAGATAACATACCACCTACCTGAGTTGTCTCCCACTGGTGCCCAAATCAGACTCAAGAACTCAAAACATACTGCTCTCTGATTACTTAAACACAAGTGGGTCAACCCACCTGTTTTTTGACCTTTAAGTGGAGCTTTTGGTTGGATGGACTTACTATATTCTAGGCTGCACTGTGCAGGGTCAACTCAGTGAGGTATTTTATTAAGCTAAAACGATAAAACTAAGTTGTAAAAAGAGCAAGCTACTTCAAACAAGCACTCAATAACCTAAAAACAAAATGATTGCTTAACGTAAAACTGCCTCTGGTGATCTTCCCAAGTTAAATATCTCTAGGCACAATGGGGTTAAAAAAAAATAAAAAAAATGTAATTTAAAAAATAAACCACCTTAGCCGTTAAGCTTATAGCCCAGACTGTAAATAAAAACAGAAGTACAATTACTGAATAACTCACTATGAGGACATGCCTTTGTGAACATGCTTGTTTTCGCAACAGAAGCCTCTATCACTGTTTCCTTGTCACAAGAGCACAGTAATGACCGCACCATATCCTCATTCAGTCCCGCCAACGTGTCCCCTGTGTGGCAAGAGCTCACAAACCAAACAAAGTGCTGTCTGGGTGTTACTTAAAACAGCTTGTAGACATTGTTAACATAACACTGGAGGTGATAAAACCAGCTCCCACACCCACCCTCTTCTTTTCTGGTTTTGTAAAAATAGTGTCATCAGCACCGTGTGTATATTTTTATCTTATCTGTCTATATAGAAGTTATAACCAGCTGAGGCAGGCCTGAGCATCAGTGAAGAAGAGGTATGCGGCCATGGTCATTGTTCATGCCTGGTATACTTTTGCAGCAAAGAAAGAGATGGTGGGATTGGTGGGGTGGTGGTGTCGAGAATAAGGTCACTCGAAGCGTCGCAGGTGATTGTAGAGAGACTGCACATAGGTGAACACACACATGGGATCTGGCTTTCTACCCATCATTAACATGTCTTCCACTTCAATGAGCCGGTCACAGTGGGCAAACTTCCTGAAATTGCAAGGGATAAAGAATATGGTTTGTAAGAGGGAACTGAAATGGTTTATATAATAATTACAAAAAAGCAAGAGCATTCCATGCATACATACATACGCACGCACGCAGAACCACACTGCAAGAATAGAAGATTGTATTTTTTTGTAACGTTCCTAGAATGCCATGCAATAATGAAATGAGTAGAAACTGATTTAACATTGCCCTCAATTTTTTAGTATTTCTTTGGGATTTTTTTTCTCTTTCACTCTCTTTCTCTCAAACATGAAAGGCCCTCTCCTCACTTCAGCTTAAAGGGACTTAATTATGCATTTTTCCATTGGGGGTATAAATATATAAAAACAGCTTACAACAGGTGTCTACTGCCTTTGCAAGTCATCCCCTTCAAGCCACACCCAGACTTTCTGTGACTGTCCAATCAGACATTCCAATGCAGCTCAATGAGAAGTCTTTGGAAGGCAGGTGCTCTGGGCAATTGCTTCCTCTTGAAGGAAGTAACAGGACTATTTGTCTGACTGACAGCCAGCAGGTTGTAACAAGCTTAATTTATAAAAGTGCCAATTTCTATTGAAATCTGCACAGTTTGTAAAATGAAGAGACGACACACTCTTCACACATCAAGAGTTTCTGTAACCTTGAGTATTTTAAGGCTCCGGAGAGAAATTGGCACTTTTCTAATTCAATTAAGAAACACCGGCCAAGTTGTCAGTCAAAGGGCAGGGGAGGTTCTTTCCCCCTCTTCGATTAGCTCTACTGAACTAATGGAAGTGGCAGGCGTAATCTGCTAAAAGGTTTGCAAAGGCTGCAGAGAGAAGATTGTCAGCTTTTGAATGTATTTTTTTAGATATGCCCACAACGACCTCATGCATAAATAAATTGGGGGTATATTTACTAAATAGCACCCACCTCCCCTTCGAAGTGTTCCTTTAATAATTATTTAAAATTATGTAATGGGGCTCTTGCATTACCAGGCAAGCAGAGTTAAAAAATAAAATAAATAACAGTATCACTAGCAATTTAAGGAAACTGAATCTACCTGACTTAATGTCAGTCATGTGAGAATGATACAATATCAAAAGGTTCTGGGTTTAGCACTGGTTAATCAGATGGATGGACCTTTAGGGGGAGGAAAAGGCTGGCAGTGGGGCTGAAGCTTTTAAAATAGTCAAAAAGCACCATCCTTCATGAAGCAGACGACATGCCGTGATCGTGCCAATGTGCTTTGGGGCTTGCTTCATCCCGTGCCACATTCTTTGTATTTAATTAAAACCACTGTGACAGGAGTTCACTTCTGACCCGAACTTCACATTTCTATTTCTAACCACAGGATTTCTGACACTACCTTCTACTAAATCCCTGGGGATTACTGATGGTGCTTGATGGAGCGATGGTAATGCCACAGTTTGCATTCACCTGCTCCCCATGTGCTTGGATTTAAGGAATGGTTGGCACGGCCAAAGAACAAAATTATCACTGCTCTAAATCACTTCCACTGTACGTCTGCAGAATAACATCAATACCCTACTCCACTAATACTTGGGAATAAAAGTAGAAAGTGCAGCAGAACTGGCTGATCAAGTCAAGTCAAGTCTAGATAGTAAAATAAAAAAAACAGTCATGGTTGTGACTTTACTTTAAGCCAGACAATTGTAATTTTTAGGTTTTGACAATTTGTAGACACCTGCACAACAGGATGTACCGGAAAATAATTTCACTTCATTAGACCCTTTCCCACAATGACATCAAGCCAAGACTGTTAGAAGGAAAATAACTTCTAGGGTAGAAAGTAGAAACCACAGCTTACATTCCATCACAGTAGAATGCTACTTACAGGGTGGCCCATAAGTCCCAACTCATCCAGCACACAGATACACTGGATACATAAGATATACGGATGGGTAGGGACTTATGGGCCACCCTATACACACCACATGGGAGAGATTTAAAGGTAAAAGGGTTGAGGTTGTCTGGCTAGATAGAGGACAGCAGTTTTAAACTTAATGTCCTGCACTGTACAACCAGCAATAAAAATGATTAAAAGTACAAAAATAAAAGTATACAGAATAAGTAAAAGAGACCACTGCTCTGTCTGTGTTTGTTAGCAATCACAAAATACTACATGGAGATTGTAAGTAACGGTAGCTTCTTTGTTAACCCCTTAAGGACAGAACTTCTGGAATAAAAGGGAATCATGATGGAATATTTCCATCATGTGTCCTTAAGGGGTTAATAAACGCCTTTTTGCCACTCTAAATCATCCAATCCATGACTGAAGGTCCTGCGGCCTACTACACTAACAGTCAGTACGCCTACTTGGCGTTCATATGTTGAGAGAATGTAAGCAGGAAACAAATATATATTTAGCTGCACTAAAAGCCTGTTGTTCATCGCTTGGCTAGGATCAATATAGGAAGTACTCTGATTAGGGAAGACATTTGTAAAGATGTCGTTATTTGCATGTTTTTCTACATCTATGTAAGCAGGCTTTTGTACTAGAAGTGCTGTGTTCTACATGTGAAATGAGTCTCAGAATGCGCAGACTGTCTTTGGATCTTGTGAGCTCTGGACTGGTCCACATTGCACCAATGGCAGCTGCCTAGTCTTGTTTTAGAAGTGATCACTTTGGAAAGGGAACATGATCAATACACGTGGGACACTTGTCAAGCAGCAGCTGGGGATTATCAATACATAGAAAGCCCAATGGCGTAAAAAGATGATTGCAAAATAAATACTTTACAAGATGACTCATGCTGACATGCTAGTTAAACAATACGGAGACAGAAAACTTAACAATGTTCATAAATTAAACATATTTAGGTGACAGGTCTAATTTAAAATGCAACTAAACTCATACAAGAGGGTCAAAAAAAACAAACCAAAACAATGTTTAGTTTCGTGTCTATCCTCCAGGGCACAATACTGCCGCTGATAGCCATTGCGTTGTTCCCACAATAACACAATTGCTGTAATATGGAACGGATAGAAACCCTGGCTGGGTAGATAGTCATTATGAAAGATTTTAGTCTGATCAGCTGTGAAGTCTCACACCCAGGGTTATACACTAAGGCGATAATGTTCAGGAATTCAATGTGAATTCAAATTGAACATAAAATGTTAGACCAGAATAGTGAAACTGTAAACATGGCTGACTTGGCGAATTTTTCCAATTGAGCTATTTTGGCCTCACATTTGAAATTCACTTTAAATTCAGTTTGAATTCAAGACGATTCTCAGTTTATTGGAACTTTTTTCCCCCTTTTTGGTCACCCACCAAAAGAAAGGGTATTTAGAATCTTTACCACTGCAGACTTCAGAGTGCCCACATTTGTCAGGAAATTTTTATTTTCTTGTGTTACATTTTAATAACACCTGAAACATTTAATGATTACCGTATATACTCGAGTATAAGATGAGTTTTTCGGCACATTTTTTGTGCTGAAAAACCCCCACTCGTCTTATACTCGAGTGAGTGTCTGTATTATTGCAACTTACATTGCCATAATACAGACAATTTCCGCTGGGCTCATTACAAGCCCAGCGGTCCTGTTGGGGGCTGGCAGGAAGCGTTTACTTACCTTTCCTGCAGCTCCTGTCAGCTCCCTTCTCTCTCCTTCGGTCCGGTCAGCTCCACTGCAAGTCTCGCGAGAGCAGCGGGGTCAGAGCGTTGCCACGGGTTACCGTGGCAACGCTTCACACGGCAGTCACATCGCGAGACTTACAGTGGAACTGACCGGACCGGAGGAGAGAGAAGGGAGCTGACAGGAGCTGCAGGAAAGGTAAGTAAACGCTTCCTGCCAGCCCCCCTCCTACACAGTGCCCACCACTGGACCACCAGGGAATTAGAGCCCCACTCCCTGGCCAGCTAACAAGCAGGGAGGGGGGATGAAAAAAAAAAATAACATAAAAATATTAATAATTTTAAAAAAAATATTAAAATAATAATATAAAAAAAAATAATAAAAATGCCCACCACGGCTCTGCATCACATATACTCACACACACACACACACACACACACACTGCATTCATACACACACACTGCATTCATACACACACTGCATTCATACACACACTGCATTCATACACACACTGCATTCATACACACACTTGCCTGAAGGGAGCATGCAATGCATTATGGCTCAATAACCAACATTCCACTTTGTTGAGGAGAATGAAGCTGTAATATTCTACAAGGTTAGAAGTTAGATATGACTGCACACTCTGTAAACACATAGCACACAGATGACCGGCATCTCCACAGGGGTGACTAGGGGAGGTGGGGGTAACTGACATAGTATGAAGTCACAGTGAAAAAATTTCTAAAACAAACACAATGGCCATGTATTGTGAGTGAATGTCCACAAGAGAAGAGAGATTTAGAGCTTATTTTGCATTCGGCTGTTGTACCCAGAATGCCGGTGTTAGAGCAGGTTTAATGTCCACCAGTACTTTGCTTTAAACTTGTTTTACGTGTGTTGTTTTGGCAACAAGGTAACAAATTATTTTAGACATATTGAAACAATGGAAAATCCTCCAAAAAGCCACAATGTTTATTAAATCCATACCTACTAATGCTGCTGGATAGTATAGACACAAATTCTATACTTGCCCACAGTCATGCTCCCAGAAGAAGGGCACGTTGAGCATAGCTGTAAAGTAGGCATGACATCCTGACATGTGTGCTCTAGTTTGTCAGGTTACCCAGCCAACTATCAACAAGGGCAAAATTACCCTGAGATCACCAAGTACATCTCCACATCTGTTTTTAGTGCACCTTAAGTAATCAGTAATTTCCGTGCATGTTTTGACTATCAATATTCCCCAATCTTGTGTTGTGGCTAGTTGATTTTGGTTTCTGATCTCCATAATCCTTACACAGATAATGCATTTGCATTGTTGCCATTCTTGTTTCATTGAAATAAGATTGTTATGGACTATTCTTTTCTCTTTCCTTGGCAATTTGAAGGCCTGTCATTGCATTATTATTTTTTTTTTATTAGTTTCTACTGTTGTACGAAGTAGACCTATACTTTTAATGCTGGATCCCATCAAACAACAAGTTGTTTAATGGTAAATCTTAAAGCAATCATGAAGAGAAACCAAACACAGAACGGGTATTGTTCTAGAAGATAAAAAACCCAGAGAGCTGAAATTTTCAATTGGATCATAAAACTGACCCCCCAAAAATCTAGAGTGTGTGGTTCTACCCTCTCTGACAGTTATATGTTGTATTGAATCAGGAAGGATAGAACAACACTGTATGTGGTGCAAGCAAAGTTCACTTTCTCTTCCAGAAAGGTTTTAGTCAGTCCTTTGATATTTCAAACTATTCACAGAGATGCCAACTTCCCAAGCGAGAGGAGTACTGGATGCTCACTTTACCAGCTCTACTGCAAGAATGTGCCAGCTGCCAGCTCTATTTGCAGAATGCAGACCTTTCATTAGAGAGAGAGTTTATAGATTGCTACAGAGATGTATTTAAAGGGACACTCCAGATCACTAAACTTTGAAGAGTGTGTGCTTCTTCTAAAAATTAGAAATTGGCACTTTTATAAATTAACACAGTTACGCTCTCTGGCTGTCAATTAGACAACTGGTCCTGTTACTTCCTGGTTTAGTTAGCTCAGTGAAGCTATACTCGAGGCAAGTAATTGCCCAGAACACCTACCTTGCAAAGAATTATCATTGAGCTGCATTGGGAAGTCTGTGATTGGACAGCCACAGAAAGTCTGGGAGGGGTTAGAACGGGAGGGCTTGCAAAGGCTTTAGACTAGAAACTCACAGCTTTTGCAAGTTATTTTAGATATACCAAAATGAAAAAAAAATGCATAGTTAAATGCATGCATATTTTTCATTGGAGTATATTTACCGTAGTAAATAGTGATATATATATATTTTTTTTATTTGGGAAGTGAAGAGTATCTTTTAAAGTTTCATTTATAGCAAACACTCTCAGGCATGAATCACTGATACAAAAAAAAATGATTAATAGGACACTGGTGAGTTTTGAGCCTTGTTCTTAGTGATGTTTGTCTATTTCTACATTAGTATATTTAGTAATGTATAACTCACATACATCTTAAAAATAACTTTAATATGGACTAGAAGTATCAATTTAGTTTTATTTTTGGATCAAGCGAGTCTTCTGTGTTAAGCTATTACTAGGGATGTGCATTGGGAAAATATTCGGTTCGGCATTCCAAAATTCAGGACTTCGGCACTTAGGTTCAACACTTCGAAACTTCAGGACTTCGGATGTTCTCTTGCAGCCGCTTAGTAGATAACTCCCTAATTCCCATGGTATTAGGGAGCTATCTACCAAAAGGCTGAAAGACCTACATTGTTTTTTCAGCCAAATTTACTAATACGAAGTAAAAATTACTTAGTATTAGTACATTCTGCCCCTACTCGCAATACTGTGAGTAGGGGCATGTCTATTAAACAGTGAGCAAATGGGGCCCCCCTCCCGAGCCCTACCCGTGCCATAACAACACTCTGATTGGTTGATTGAAAGTAACCAGAGAGTTATGAGTCAAATTACACAGCTTGGGAAAATTCCAAAGAACTTTCCCACGCTGTGTAAAATGACACAGAGCACTCTGATTGGTGGATTTCAAGCTAACCAATCAGAGTGCTGTGACAGGTAAATGTAGAGACTTACCTGTCAGTCTCTTCCTTTACCGGTTAGAGCACTCTGAGTGGATGGCTTTTTTTGTTTTTGTTTAGTTTTTTTCAAGTGTGACGGATATTATGGTTTTTTATTTGGCCTTTTCTAGGGCTGAAAAAAGAAGATTTTAGAAAAAAAGAAGACATCACATTTTTTTACAGGTACTTAGTTAGTGTTCCCCCCTCACGATTTTTAGGGTGAGGGGTAGGTAGGGATTTAAATTTTTTGGGGGGAGGGGGTGACTAGGGGATTGGGGACCCCTAGTCACCTGGGGGGGGTACGATTTTTCCATTTTTATTTAGGGTCCCCACCTGCCGCTCAGGGGTAGGGGGGGGGGAAGGACAATAGGTCCCTCCCCCCTTTGAAGTATTTTAGGGCCCCCACCCACCACTCAGGGGAGGGGGACAATAGGTCCCCCCTCTTTTACAATTTACTTTAGGGCCCCCACCCACCGCTCTGGGGTGGGGGCCAAGGGGAGGACAATAGGCCCCCCCTTATTTTACTTCAAGGTGTCCCCCCCGAAGTGTTTTATGGCCTCCACCCACCGCTCTGGGGTGGGGAGGACAATAGGTGTTCCCCTTATTTTACTTTAGGTCCCCCACACACACCACTCAAGGGTGGGGGCCGGGGGGGAGGACAACAGGTGTCCCCCCCTTATTTTACTTTAGGACCCCCATCCGCTGCTCAGGGGTGGGGGACAATAGATCCCCCCTTCAGTTTAAAAGCCCCCACTCGCGTGTCACAGGTGGGGGCTCGTGAGGGGGGACTAATTTTTTGTTTGTGGGGTTTTTTTTTTTTTTTTTTTTTGAGCAGCCCCACGGTATAGCGAGTAGGGGCAGAATTTAGTAATACTAAGTAATTTTTACTTAGTATTAGTAAATTTGTCTGAAAGACCAATTTAGGTCTTTCAGCCTTTTGGTAGATAGCTCCCTAATACTGTGGAAATTAGGGAGTTATCTACTTACTCATCCCCATCCATTGACTGTAATGGAAGTAATTTACATTTTATATGAATGTGTGTTACTTGATTGTTGTAAGTGTTGCAAATGCTTACAGCTGAATCCTGGCTATGTTTGTATACTTTTTATTTAAACTGGTATACAGTGTAACATTCTTCATTCTTCCACTTCGGCAATTCAGCTATTCGGAATGAAACGAATTGCGCGTCTAACTATTACTACATCAAATAGATTGTTCATCTCCTATAGACTATAAGCTCGTTTCAGAAAGGCCCTCTTCAGCCTATTGTTCCTGTAAGTTTTTGTAATAGTCTCATTTATTGTTAAATCTCCCCCTTTGATAATATTGTAAAGCGCTACGGAATATGCTGGCGCTATATAAATACCAGTAATAATAATAATAATACTAAGATTTACTTAGAGCACCTGGTTTTACTTATGTATATTGGTCAGTATTGGAGAACATATAGATGTAAAATTAAAAAAACAAACAAAACTAAAACTTACTCTGCTGTGGAAAATGCCGTTTCAAAATTTTGCTTGTGATTTGTGGGGACCATTGAATCATAATCAAAAGCTTCTGGGAAGAAGGAGTGGACCAAGGCACAGAAAGCCATTCCATCGTTCCAACTGGACGAGAAGTTCTGGAGGTCAATGTTCTACAACAACAAAAACATGGCTTAGATTAGAACAGCCTGCAGCACAGCAAACCATATAAACACAGACTTTTCCCTCCAATATATGATTTACTAAACTCATAATTTAAAAGATTTAAATGCATTAGATGCATTGGTCAGTAGGTCAGTATAATTTCAAATTTCAGAACAAGGAGCTTAGATATGACTTTTGGAATGTGGTACTGTGATATGCTCATCCACTCCTGAGCAACTAAATTATGCTTTATTTTAGGTTCCCAGTTCTGTTTCTAGGTAAAACGTGTCCCTGTTTCTCTGGATAAATGGCTCCACCCTAGGTTCTTCTCACTATTATGGTTGCTTTTAGATTTGCCCTGCTTATTTACCCACAAACAAGAGTGGTGGTGGAGTTTAGTGATGGGCAGGATGAGGCAGATTCATTTTAAATAAACATTCTAATTAAAATATACACTATATGGACAAACGTATTGGGACACCTGACCATAACACCAACAGGGACTTTTAGGACATCACATTCTAAATAGACATTAACATGTAGTTAGTTCCCTCTTTGCAGCTATAACAGCTTCCAGTCCTCTGGGAAGACTTTCCACAAGATTTTGGAGTGTCAGGCACTGATGTTGGACAAGAAGGCCTCACTCACAATCTCCGTTTGTTCATCCCAAAGGTGTTCGATGGGGTTAAGGTCATGGCTCTGTGTGGGCCAGTCAAGTTCTTCAACATCAAACTCAGCTCTTCAGAATGACCCATTTTTTTCACAAATGTTTGTAAATGCAGACTGCATGGCAAGGCGCTTGATTTTAGACACCTGTGGCAATGAATCTGACTGAAACACATGCATGTAGTGTGTCCCAATACAGTGTTTAAAGGGAATCTATAGTGTTTCTATAGTATTACTAACACTATAGTGCCTTCTGTACCTCCACTCCCTCAGCTCCCCTGCACCTGTGGCACATAAAGGGTTAAAAACCCTTTACTTACTCACCTGATTCCGGCGCCAATCTTCCTCGGCAATGGGTCGTCACTATGCCTCCTCCAACGTCATCTCATGGGGGACCTAATAATGCGCGTCAAGCGCAGCAAATGCATTAGACCTTTTCATATAGGAAAGCATTGAATCAATGCTTTCCTATGGGAATTTCACTCATGCTGGATGCCCAGTGTTTAGGGGCTCAGAGTCTGCTACAATCCAGGTAGTCTGGTAGAAAGTCACTAGAGACAGTCTTAGCACTATTGCAGTTTCTCAAAAATTACATTAACATTCCACCAATAAACTGAAGTGGTCTGGGTGCCTATAGTGTTCGTTTCCTTTTTTTTTATTACAATATTAAGCCTTCTTTTTGTTAAAAATCTTTAAAAAAAAACCATAAAAAAACATACCAATATTCCCATGTCAACACAATCTCCTCACTGCAGCCCATTCTTCTTCTGGGGAGATCATGAACATTCATGATCTGTGTCCAATCAGATGCTTCTCAGAGATGCATGTGCAGCAAATAATGTTATCCACCCATCTTCTATTTGGAGCATTGTCTGTTCATAGCATCCGGCGTCAGCATACTTTGTATGCTGACACCTGATATCAAACAGATTCGATTATTTAATCTTTTTGTGTCAGAAGCCCCAGGTGTCTGTCTGACAGCCACCAACAGGCAATGCAATCACAAAATGTAAACAGTTTTCCGTTGCACGGCTGCAGGGACAGCACCTAGACCTAAAATAACTTCATTAAAACAAAGTGAGTTTGGGAGTGAGATTGTCTCAGTAAGTAGAAAATAGACATGATGCTTTTAACAGAGTAGCGTTACCAATAGGTTTTGCATGAAAGCTATGCATTGTTTCAACTGTTATTAGAGGGTTACTCCAACCATCATAACAACTTCTGTTTTCTGTAGTGGTTATGGTGATATGAGTATAGATGTGCAGTGTTTCAGCTTAAAACACTGCACATCCAGGACACACGTTTTAGGCAGCCTGGAATGCTGTGCCTTCTCTATGAGAAGCCTTTGATTGGACCTTGACAAGGCTCTTAAGATGTCAGACAGGGATGCGTCAAATAGCGCTGGGGAGCTTTGCCCGGCAGTGGATTAAGGAAAGTTAAAGGGACACTGTGGGCACCCAGACCACTTCAGCTCATTGAAGTGTTCTGGGTGCTGTGTCCCTTTTGCACTTAGTGCTGCAATGTTAAACATTGCATTTCCAGAGAACTGCAATTTTTACATTGCAGCACTAAGTCTGCCCTCAGTGGCTGTCTACCAGACAGCCACTGCGGGCGCTTCCAGGATTGTAATGGACTTTTGATTTAATGTTTTCCTATGGGGAGGTCTAATGCGTGGATGGAGGGGGGGGAGGCAGAGGGATCGGTAGTGCCAGGAATACAGCTTTGAATTCCTGGCACTACAGTATCCCTTTACACTTTAGTTTAAAATGCTCTTTAAAGCCTTTTTCAAGGTGGGACAATTAGAACAATTGCATTTTTCATTACTAACAATGAAAATTGGTTTGAGGAACCCTTTAAATGGTTACTCCATCCACCATGACCAGTTTAGTGACTTGAAGTTATATGAAGTGATTCAATTCACTATAGTGGTCATAGCAGTAAGTATGTGCAGCGTTTCTGCTTGAAACGCTGCACATACAGGAATTAATTTTAATTGTGTGCTGGGCAGCCTAGTGTCAATTCTGTGCATATTTTATATCTGACGTCAGTATGCAAAGCACACTGGCGACAGATGTGTTAATCTTCCGCCTTGCAGAAAGAGCGCCAGCAAGTGGAATATTGTTTTCCCCTCACTCCCAACTCCCCCTGCTAATTGCAGTTGAGCCAGCAAAATGGTCCAATCACAGGCTTATTTATGAGCCTGTGGGGCTCTTGTGACAATAGACAGAGGCATGGAAGTTAATGACGCAAGCTTCTTCTGGCTCTGGATTCCAGGTAAGTAAAAATGTTTACTTTTGCCAATATTATGCGGAAATATGCCCTCCCCCCCCATTAAGACTGTTGGCGTAAACCTTAAAAAATAATAATAATTCAGTGGGCTTAAAATAATATTCCCACATGGCGATTTAAAAATTTATGTTATTTCAGCAATTTGGTTGATTGAAAAAAATATGTCTACGCAATTTGCATGCTAGAAGAGAAAGTCAAATAATCGGATATAATCACTAAACTTAATTCTAGCTAAGTAAAATCTAAACTGAAATATTAGTGTCGCTGACTGAACGGTTGCTGTTGTCGACTACATTTGTCATGTGATCAGGCAACTATCAAGTAGTTCAAAAAAGAAATGTATCAAGTGGCTTAGACATAAAAGTTTCCAGATTTTACAACAATATTGAAGCCCATTGTCCGGCGGTCTCAGAATATTAGTTAGGACTGGTTGTGCAGAAAGTTCCAAAGTGTCTTTTCGTAACATTGCTTTTCGTTTTGTACAAGAATATACAGAGGACATTTTTACACAGCCCTAGGCTTCAGTAACAGAAAGATGGGGTTAACAAAAAATCCTCGGCTTATTTTAGATTTAAAATTAGAACAAAATGATATCGACTTCACTGCATCTTGTGTTGCACACAGAGCAGAACAAAGGCTTCCTTGTGTCAGTTCTACACACAATGTATTGGCGATGACACTTCTGGACAGCTCTGAGAACAAGATGGCATTTTTAGATATGCAGCCTCAAATAGCCCTAATGTCTCTGCACTCTCTCAGTCCTGGAAAATGTCTGTTTTTACCCTCCTAAAGCCATGCTCCAGAAAGCCAAACTGTGTGCAGATATACAATGTGACGTGCGTAGTTATGCACATGTTTATGTATTACATTCACAAGTGGCTGTGCGTTCGTAACTATGCTTGTTATTCTCTCGCTATTCCCATAAACACACTGTTTCCTTCCTTAATTTCCCTGAAAATCTCATAAACAAAGATAAAGTACGGAGAGCGGTTTCAGAACAGTTATTATGCACACAAAAAAATAATGCCCTTTATGTTTTTAAAATGATCATATTTTAATATTAGTTATTTTGCTTTATATATTTGTTACATATTGTATTAAAAATATATAACAAGATATCTGGGAAGGATTTGAGTTTAATGATTTTAGTGAAATTTGATTTAAAATAATCAGTGATTTGGTATGATAAAAAAAAAATGTTGCTTAAATTACATTAAACATTTTACTTAACAGCTAGAGATAAGCAGAAACATTTAAACTTTATTTTTGTAAAAAAAAAAAAAGAGCCCACTGGTTTTCTTTGGGATCTTTCAAAAAAAACTTTGTTCCATCATAAACAAAGAGATAGACTTATTCAATAAACTTCAGTTTTTAACAAATTAAATAGAACTATATTTAGGCAAAAAAAAAGACAAACTATGACTAAAGTTGAAGTGGAGCGTTTCTCCAAACCTGTGTTTGAATAAATCTTTCCATTTAGATTTAATTTGCTAAAATGTGGAGTTTAGTGAATAAATCTGAACATGTCAAACAAACGTCACGTCAATGAAAATTACATGATGTGTTGGGTTTCTTTTATTATGTTTTCATACTTAATTTTTTTTTTATATATCTGTAAGCCCATAACATAAATGAAAAAATTTCCCCTACGAAAAAACAAAATAACTATACAGTATAAACTTTTCAGGAAATACTGAGAAACACATCAGTCAGACTACATTTTAAAAGGACTAGTCTAATATAGGACTATTATACTTTCAATACTTTGAATTTACACCTAGAGTTTATAAGAAAGGTCTCTAGAAGACATCTGCAGAGTGGCACGCACAGACGTAAATAAAATAGCATTATTACAGGGAAGGAAACACATTCCTAAACAGTATTACCTTGTAGCCAATCGTTTTTGAGCGACACCATTCCAATAGGATCTGTTTAATGCTGCTGGCGCTGGCAACACCAAAACTCTGAGACCGTTTCAGCTTTACCTTGGATTCCCCCTTGCCCCTATAAATAGCACAACAGGAAACGGTTTAATAATGAGAAAGTGCACTCACGCAGACTGTAATTTCCACTATAAATGCAATTAAAAAAAGCAACCTGACTGGTACATTGAACGTACAAAAGGAATATAAATGAGTCAAGACCTGGATCGTGCCAGAAAGGATATTATATCCTATCCCCCCTTCCCCGCCCATTACTAGTGGTGTTTGCTATCCTTCAATACAGAAATTTAAAGCAAACAAACTACATTGATACAGAGTTAATAATAATGTTATAATAATTAAAATCAGATAAAGTACAAAAACGAATGGGCTCAAATGGAAGACTAGCTTTTAGTGAGGGCCATAAATGTATGACTAAGAAATCTAAACACAAAATGCATAACTTCAGATGAAAACATGATACAGACTTAAAGGGACACTTCAGGCATTAAAAACGGCACAGCTCGGCCATACAACATTGGACAGTGAGTGGAGCTGCAGGGAGACAAGAGGCCAGAATGACAAGAAAGGACAGGTATGTATTACGCAGAGGTAAGCAACGTTTGGCACACCAGATGTTTTGCACTATATCTCCCACATTGCTATTACAGCCATAATGCTGGCAAAGCATCATGGGAGATGTAGTCTAAACCACCTGGTGTGCCGAAGGTTGCCTACGCCTGTACTGAGCAGATCTCTACATCTGACTGTGGCTATGTTTGCCTTCCCGTGCATGTCCACTCAAAAGTGCTTTCTTGGCCCAATGCTGTGTATGTGTACCAGGCTATGAGAACGCGGCTTAGCAGAGGAACCTCTACACAGTCTAATTGTAATATTAAACATAATTTAAGTTTGCCATTAGTACAGAGAGCATTGCAAACTAAAATGCCATTATAATCTAGATGCGGGAAGACGTATACACTGTATGAAGTACATGATTCTCTAAGCTGGTTGAAGTTTTAAACCAGAGAGAGGCAAAGCGCTTAAGAATATCTGCAGTGCTGCTGCACTACTCCCAAGTGACACACAGTGACACAAATTAGCAATAGATACCAGAAAGTTGGAGTGCGCTAGAAACTGCAATGGAATCAGGGTCTTCTCTGAGTACTCTGAAAAAGTATACACAGTATATAGTGCAGACTATCTGTACATACAGAGTATACAAAATTAAAAGTATGTCTTGGGATCAACTCACATGGACCAGAGCCTTATCACCCCTGGCTCTGGGTTTGAATTGCTCCAATGGAGAGGGATAAACCCACAATATAGCAAGACAGGATACTCTTATGCATCAGATATAATATGTGATCCCATTGCAGTTTCTAGCGCACTCCAACTTTCTGGTATCTATTGCTAATTTGTGTCACTGTGTGTCACTTGGGAGTAGTGCAGCAATTATTTGCAATTATAGAAAATCAGCCAAGAAGATATTGCACCGAATGGTCCATATTGTAGTAGTTAGTCACAAATGAGAAAAAACAGCTGTTAAATAAAACATTCTTATAAATACCCCATGGGGTTTATCATTGCACAAATACATTATAATACAGCTGTTCTTAAACCCCAACTTGAGCCCCCATCCTATTTCACTTAATCTCAATATTTGGAACATGCAAATAATTTGTACAGGCTCCAGGCAACTGCATTTACGAGATTTATTACTACAACATCACTACCTTCCTAAATTCAATAGGACCCCACTGACACTGAACAATCTAATGAAGGGATTATTTCTGAGGATTTATTTATTTATTTATATATATTATATAACAAATGATGAATGAGACAATTTTACAATTAAATAATATACATGGCATTAGTTCTGCCACCAATTATTCATGTCCCTGTCAAAAAAAAGGTTACGAATCACTCCAATAATGTATGTTTTGTTTAAATTTTTGCCATTATGATTTATTATAAAGTGTCAACAAGTTTAGTTGCACTATAAAGTTTCAGGACATATTTTAACAGATCTTGAGAGCTCTGTTCACTGGCATTTAAGATCTTGAGGTTATGATTTATGAGGTTATAAATATGCAAACATAAATGTGAGAACACTTGTTAGTAAAGACAGGATTTTTTCAGCAAATCTTGAACACCCACTTATCTTCTCATTAAACAAGGCATGTACGAATTTCACTCAACAAATTCTATGGCTCGTTTCATAACACACAGATTTCAATATTCTGTGACCCACAACTCACCCACCCACCACTGATTAGCACTCAAACAAGTGATTTAACAACGAACAGTAACTGGAACGTCCCTGTCCCTTGATAAATCTAAAATCTTTAAAAACATGAAACATTATTCCATAAGATCTTCAAAATTGTGTGTAAAAAAATTGAGAAGTGAAATGAGCTAAACGCTAGTACTCTGTAAACCTTGGATTGAGCAGTAAATTTCAAATTAAGTAAGAATGGTGTGAGAACATGTAAAAATTTTCTCGGTAGACCTTAAATTCGCAAGTTCCTGGCCCAGAGAATAACCATTTAGCACGGCTTTACAGTCATGCTAAAACTACACGAGTGCAGTTACAAAGCAGAATATTTAGTTTGAACATTGTGTTAAAAAACAAAACAAAACATCAACGTATTTTTAAAAAAAACAAACAAAAAAAAAAACGACATGCAAAGTAGGTAAGTTAGGTACGAATGCTTCGTCACTCTGTGTGTGATCAAAGTGCCACAGTATGGTAAATTATGCTTTGGATATAAACCGCTTGCTACATATTTATACTATGCTTAAAAAGAATGTAAGATCAAAGTATCTATTTATCTATTTACATAGTAGCAATTCAGCTGGCACAATATATACCTTGTAATCCCTATTAGAAGTGATATCCTCTTATCTGCAGATGAAAGGTCCACTTAGGACCACTCAGTAATTCCACTTCCTCTTTACAAATATTAATATGCTCACACCATGCCATAGTAAAAGTTACATTTTATTGTGAATATAGCTGGAAGTGTGGCAGGGGCTATTTTGGGAATTTACAGATGCCTTTGTGATTTATTGATATTTGTATAGGTAATTGGGCAGGATATTCAGAACAAGGCCAAAAATAAACTAATCTATCAACTCAGATACTGCAGTTTGATCATATAGTATAGCTTTCTGTACACCGTATACAATGGCACCGCTCCGTAATAACACAAAACATTCTGATCTTCAAGAACAGAGGTATCCCAGGAAAGGAAAGAAGGGCAGAAAGGTATGCCCCAAAAGATTAATATCAGCTACGATCATGGGTTAAAACTGAATGCTTTGAAATGTACAGTAAATCAACATAAACAGTGTAATAATGGTGACGTTGATGAGTGTGTGTGTTCTCTGGATATCTGTTGCATGGTTTATGTGTTCTCGAAGACTTTAACAGTATGTAGCACGACCTGAGGGGAAAATAAACTCTCTCTGCAGACATGTAAGATGTCTTTTAAGGTCAAAACTCACTTTTTAGTAAGATTTGGCTCATTCGTACAGTTTTTAAATGTCCACATCCAGGCAGCTCTTGCAATGTAAGAATTTCAGCTAAAACCTTTGCAGATATTTTTCTATTCTCTTTAGAAAGAAAAATAAAATATGACTGGTGTTTGCGTGCAGTGTAAAAGTAGAAACAGAACAAGAGAATTAAAAAAAAAAACAAAAAAAAAAACAAATGCATGCAAGTTTAGATCCACTTAAATTTTACTGGTTGTTGTATGGTTTCAATAACAAGCCACATAAAACGAAGGAAATTAATTCCGCAGGTACAAGTAAAGAAAAAAAACAAAAACGCAATTTACATTTTATAATGCATATAAAAGGCTTTTAGGCTGTGATTTAAATAATCCTGCAAAACAATTAAAAACACCAGGTATCTTCCAAAACAAATCTTGCAGGTGCATCAGGGAATGGTACTAGAAGATCCGCCACAAATCTCCGTATGCATAGCATCGCCCATCATCTTGCACCGGAACTTTTTTTTTCTTCTTCCCTAGGTCGGGATACAATAGGATTCAACTTGGACATAGAACGAGTTCTTAGTACGGCCAGGCTCAACACAAAACCCAAATTGGTTGAAACAAAGACTCTCTGAACAGGTGTTCATGTTAAAGTAGAAGCCAATGTCAAGGAAACCAGACACTCACTAAACCAAACTGGCACATTGAGTCGGGGAAACCAGAAGACTGGGTAAATGAGAAGCTCACCAGATCATAACCAAAACAGCACTGGAAATAAAAGAACACAATATCGAGCCAACAATACCCACAAAATAGTGCCTTTTTAGTTGTAAGAGGTGTTAAAATAGCACAAAGGCCTGATATCTCCTTTTCCTGCATTAATATGCTATAACCAGAACATGTGGCAGTACCAGTGAAGGAATGAGGGGGTTGAATGTGTATTGTAAGTATGAGTAAAGGTAATGTGACATCCTAGCAGTATTTAGTTATGCATACTCCCTAAATCCCCCTCCATTATGTGAGTTAACGTTAACTATGACCAGAGACTGACTTCCATACCTATTACACCTGGGATGATAAATTTGCTTTGAAGGCCCAAAAAAGGCTAATTTGTACATTAGTCACTGATTTACGTTTCAAAAAGCTTTATTCGTGTCATCAGATCGTTAACAACAGTACGATTAGTAGGTAACGTGAGAGATACGGAGGTCTCACGTAAACATGGTTAACAATCTTATCAAGCTTGTTTTAAGGAATCATCCTTGCCATTAAACCGTGTATAATGCTTTTAGCAGAGCATGCAGGAGTCGTCACCTTATGGGTATAACATGTAGAATGCCTTCAACTAGTCTGAGTGACCCGGTCAGTGATAGTATGGCTTGGATCAAGAAGCCATGTTGGGGACGTAGGTCCCAGTAGTATTGTCTAGGCGCGCAAGTAATTTAGTATGATCTACTGTACATCATAGTCTTAGAGCTGTATGTGTCTGAAGAGTATGTACTCATTTATGAGGGAAATTAAGGTTAGACCTTGGGATCGCGTGGGTGTTGTCGCCAGTCTTGCTGGCCCATAGGTGTAGGAGTAACTGTTAGATTCCATAGGGTTGGTACATCCGTCTTTTATATCAAAACATGGGTGTAATGAATAATAATAATAATAATAATAATAATAATATGTGGGGTTATTCACTAAACCAGGATTTGTCGATTATTACAAATTTACAATTGTTTAAAAAAGCACAAGCGGACAGATAGCTGAACTGGAAATTTTTGGTTTTCCATTTTGGCTATTCTGACACAATTTTCTTGTGAATCTTCATAATTTTAAGTTTACTGAATAAAGCCCTAACTGTAATGTGGTACTTCCTAACACATTATTATTATTAATAATATCTGAAATTAAACAAGGTCTATAAGGTGTAGCATTACACTTGTTTAAGTTTATAAGATTTTCTAGCACTACTGGATGCAGCTACAGAGACAAAAGTAGAACATGTAATAGAGCAAGCTATTCAGAGAATGTCCAGAAAACATTAAATTGAACCCCTTAAGGACACATGACATGTGTGACATGTCAGGATTCCCTTTTATTCCAGAAGTTCGGTCCTTAAGGGGTTAAACGTGACATGATAGAATGCAGACTAATAATATGTTTTTAGGTTTAAAATGATGTAGCTAGTTAACAGGCAATGTAAAGATATGTGAGAATATGTAGAGTTTACAGAATCTCTGCCAGGAAAAATAGGCCACCCACAGGCAAAATTCCAGATGGCTAAAATGATTTGTTCTACTATCAGTCTTTATCATCTGTACTGGTTAATGATTTCATTTGCTTGTATATTGAGGTTGTAAATAAATGCAATCGTTGCCAAAATACAGGTTAGGGATTCATTTAAAGGGACACAATAGCCAGGAATTTAAATATATTTATATTTTCAAATTATGCCCTTCCAAAAAAAATGACAATTACTAGGCATAACCTAGCATAACTCTAGGAGATTCTTCTTCTGGTCTAGGTCATTTTTAATGCCATAAACTTTTGTGGGTTCATATTTTAACCCTACCTACAACTCAGCCGATCACGTAGAATGAGTGCAGTTAATCGAAATGATAGTTATACCACAGGTACTCGGCCTACTCACAAACCCATATCAACTGTCCTTATTTTACGATCAACAGTTTTGATGCATTGCCCGAGGCCAGTTGTTAGGTACAGTGGCGTACTAAGGGGGGGAGTGGCAGGGGCGGTCCGCCCTGGGTGCCACGGGAGCACTTTCACAGGGGCGCATTTTGCCCCTGCGTCTTATGTAAAGGGTCCGGCTGCTTACGAGAGTATCTACGCTCGTTTCCCATCCAGCAGCAGCAGGTCCTCTGTTCTTGCAATCCGAGAGAGAGCGTTGCCATAGCAACCCGCAGCAACAGTCTCACTTATCGCAAGAACAGAGGACCTGCTGCTGCTGCTGTTGGATGGGAAACGAGTGTGGAGAGTTCTGGGCCCCACTTCACTGCCCATCTATGCTGTGCCACAGGACCAAGCAGGAAACGTAGTGTGTGTCCCCTCCCTGGACGCAGATAAGAGTGGAGGGGGAGAAAGCCAGGTAAGATTCGAGGAGGACGGGTTGGACAGGTAAGTGTCAGGAAGGGGCGGGGGGGGAGAAGGGGAATAAGTGCTGATTACCTTCCCCGCACTTATTCCACACAAGACACACACGCTGCATACACTATATAAGTTGCATACACTGCGTAGACTATAGATACACACTGCATCACTATACACACACTTATACATGTGTATCAGTATGTCTGTGTATCTGTATGTGTACCTGTTTGTGTGCCTGTGTATATGTGTCTGTGTGTCTGTATGTGTGTCAGTATTTGTCTGTATCTGTGTATGACTGTGTTTCTATGTAACGGCATGTGTGTACCTATGTGTCTGTGTATCTGTGAGTAGATGTGCATATATCTCAGCATTTTGCCTACACTACACACAACTACAACCCTGCAAATGTCAACACTACATAAAAAGACACCACCATAGTCATAAACCACACTACAGAAAAATGCACGCCTGCATTCAAATGCCAATACGTGCAAACACACCCGTATATTCACTCACACAAACTCCATGCAAAAATATGCTTGCATTAAAAATATACAAACACTGCTCAGTGCTAAATACATTAAAATGTAAAAAACACCTGCAAATGTTTTAAAGTGGGGGGTGCCAAATATAGGATCCGCCCTGGGTGTCAAATGCTCCAGGTACGCCCCTGGTTGGGTAGTCACCTTGATATGGCGGGGGAGGGGGCTTGGAGTTGTGCTTAAGGCGAGCGGAACACTTGTTCGAGTTTTGAGATTGTGAGGGAGGCAGATCAGGAGCGGAGCCAGCACAAACTAAACACAACCCTGGCCAATCAGCATCTTCTCATGAGGAAAGTTAAGAGGGTAGAGACACTGAATGTCAGTGCTGCACTGCACCTTTAGGAGCCATATGAGAAGTGGCCAGTGGAGCTATTCCTAGGACGTAATGTAAAAACTGAATTTTCTCTGAAAAGACAGTGTTTACAGCAAAAAGCCTACATGGACTGACTATACTCACCAGAACAAATACATTAAGCTGTAGTTGTTCTGCTGACTATAGTGTCCCTTTAACTGGTCTTTTTTTAGATCCTTGGAACTCACACATACCGTAATTTGTTACTGGTTACTTCTCTTACTATCTAAAATGCAGTTGAACATCTACGTGCAAATACCTCTATTACTGTTCTTGTCCTCTGTGATTCAGATAACGTGTGTGACATTTAAAGATGGTCAAGTGAATCGTAACAATAAAACAATTGAAACAAGTTTGAGGTGGCCATTGCACTAATTAACATCACCAGCATGAAATAACATGAACAGAATGCTTTCTAAAACTTACTAGCGAGTACTAAGCCTCGCAGTTCACATCAAGGTGCCAAGTGGCTCTATTGAAGTCTGGTTTTCATGAATAAAACTACCTGCTAACCGATTTGAAAGGCTCCTTTGCAAACTCACTTACAGGAAGTTTAGAGATAGTCGGTACTACTTGGTAGTTTCTGGGAATACATTACTCAGTCTTGCACAAGTCAGAGGTAGATATATTTCATATATAATCTCAATGACTAGTGAACTAAATAAACAAAAGAAAACAAGTCCTAGAGAAAAACAAAACAATTGAAGGAATCATAAGCTTACCCACACTGTTACAAATACACACTCTATATGTATGTGCTTGCCTGTGTATACTATATATAGTTATCACATTTACAGTAAATAATCAAGGTGTCTTTTTCTGGTGGGGGAGCCCTGAGAGTTCTGTGCTTTTAGGTTCTCCTGATGTGAATCTCGTCCTGTGTAAGTAGAAGGTTTACATCCCACTTACACAAAATGTCAATATTAATTGCAGGATCATAGGGGGTAATGTAACATATTGCTATACATGTGTGCACCTTCAGCTCAACTGAAAATAATAATTTAATGGTTCCAGCAGAGTAATTCTTCATTGAAGACTATAAGTCTGACTTCTTCCCTTTACGAGCTTTTCTACACTCAACGGTTAATATAAGATCCTTGCAAGAATGTACAGTTATTGTTTTTTAGTGCTTCATGCTGTAATAAACCTTTATGTCCAGATAGGCATCTGTTCACAAAAAAAAATAAAAAAAAAAAATATATATATATATATATATTGCTCTATATGTTTGCACAATGCATAGATCAAAATTATATCTTAAACTCACACCTTTTACTTTAGTGAATAATTATCACTCCTGTATTTTCTTGTTTGTAAATGGTGTAAAAGCAAAATTTGATTCATTATTTGCTATTATTCATCATCTATTGCTCATAAAACCGATCATGGGAAAAAAAGAAAATGACAATTGTAAAACACCTGAAATTTACACTTTATAGACGTAGCGTTCCCCTAGACAATGGAAGTAAACACTGCAATTCCTTCTATAAAAATTAAACAAATAATTGCCAGTTACATCCAATTACATTTTACGCGGATAAACATGAAGTAGATATGCATTTTCATGCATTTCCCCAAGCCTCATAAAAGCACCTACATAAATATAATTATTAAGTATTATGCAATGCTCTCATAACACTGCTTCTATAGACCAATCCACATGGCAAAGAAGGAAGGATATACACTCGTATGGTAAAATGCTAAAATGTTAACGTCATATGCAGGTGTTGGGGCACACTTCAACACCCATGCTATATAATACAGCAACCTAGATTTCTATTTAAGAACTACTGCTACAGATAATTCCAAAGAACAATTCTTTTCTTATGTTAGAGTTTCATACCTTTTTTTCCCCCAACTATGTGAATAACGTAAGTAAAAAAAAGATTTTTGAAAATGGCACTTGCATGATTTTTACTAGAAACATGTTCCGAGCAGCAGGGGCATCAGAGTAAATTCAGAGTGGAGTTGATTAGTACCTTTCCAAACTTACAATAGGTAAGGAAGCAAAATGTGTCTTACTTGGAGCTGTCATTGTCGAATTTCTCAAAGAAAGCTTTGCGAGCTTGCGTGCCCGAGGACCGTGGAAGAGTCTGGGACCTCACCAACTCCCGCTTCTTTTCAGCTTGGCGACTCACTGCAGGTGGAGGAGACTGAGATTTGGGAGTGACATCGAAATATCTGTCGGTACTAAAAACGGAAATAAAGAAGGCTTACTTCAAGTTTACATGTCCGTGTTTATGGGAAATGATTCTTCCTACCCCATCTAAATTCAAATTAATCTGAAATACTTGTCTAGCAAAATGGAATGAAAGTTATATTGTATTCAACGATTCTATCGGTAAAAAAAACATTAGTTGTATTTGCATTACTACAAAAATCATACCCAATACTTTTATTTGCACTAATACTTGTTACTCATAACTTGAGTTATGTCCTACGTTTTCCTCTCTATGCTCTACTGCACTACCTTTCCTCCCGTTTCTATTGTTTCACCATTTTATTTCCTCACTTTCTGCAGTACCGAAAAAAAATGCTCTGTTGTATATGGACCACATCACTTATCAGTATATTAAATCTGCCTTGCTGAACAGATTTCTTCGATTTAGCCCCTATTAAAGGGACACTATAGTCACCAGAACAACTACAGCTTAATGTAGTTTGATTATGTCACAAAGGGGCGGAGCCAGCGCCAGCAAACCCGCACGGCGCTTGAAATAAGGTGACTTTTAAAATTTTATAGAGGTGCTAAGGGGGTGGGGGGGGCAAGCCACCTAAATGATGGGTTAAACACTATAGAGTCATGAATAAATGTTTGTGTTCCTGACCCTTTAGTGTTCCTTTAATATCAATGCATAGTTTCTTTAGCAGCTTATCTTTAGGGATTTTCGCCGTACCAGCATTCCCAGCAGGTTTTCAATGTGTTTTACAACCTTTGTTGAGGTCTAAAGATGCAAGGGACGGTGAATCTTGTGTTAATCATTAACAAATCTTGCCCCTTTTTTCAAATCAAAGGAAAAAAATATACCCCAGGAAATTTTGCGAGTTGTGGAAAAATGAAGTGCTTCATGAAAATTTGTTTTAAAAGTGGCATCTTTGGTCCTCGATAATGGCTAGCATTGAGGGATTTACATTGGGTTCTAGTGGAATGTTCGAATGTTTTTGAGTTGATGTAGTTTAACTTCCATTACTGAGAGGAAAATACCACTGAAATAATTGCATTTTTATGTAGGTAAAAATGACAGACTGACAGCCGTGCTTTTCTATTTTTAAAATTCCTGTAAGAAAGCTAAACACAGAATAAAAGCTTAATAATGGAAAAGAAAATCAGAGCTAGGGGCATTTCTCTAGGGCCCCATAGCTCTGTCACTTAAACACTATTTGACATACTACAGAAATTACAAATAATTGGGAACGGTACCAGGAAATGATCTGTGCATAACACTATTATTATTACTAGCCGTAGATGAAGTGGCCAAATGGATGATCCATGTAACATTAATAACAATCGTAAAAAAAATGTTTAACGAAGAAGGAAAGAAACAAAGAAACTTGGGCTGAATGATAAAAAAACAAAAAAACTTAATTTAAAAATTTAGGCCAAGAGAGCCAATTTGTGAAAAAAAATTAAAATCTATTGTAGCTTTAATTTTGCAATTCACCACAACTGATCATTTAGTGAATATACCCTAAATATTTTTCTCTGGTTTGCAAACATACCTTGTGCAGTGTGAATAGTATATCAACACCGACAGAGTTCACTTATGTGCCAAATTCCAAATTATAGCAAAATGTATTGTGAAAGGCATTCTTCAGGTGAAAAACCTTTAACTGGAACATTCTATGGCTCAGCTACAGTCATAGCTAGACTATTTTAGCCTACGCTATACAATTCAGATATTCATTTGTTGCAGTTTGCAGGTTAGTGAAATAACCCATAAACCTATATTTCTACCTAGAGACTGTTGCATTATTTTGACATAATAGTTGCTTCCCCATTATGTATCTTTATTTATTTTTTATTTTTTTTTGGGTTAGAACTACTGGAGCAATGAGTGCCTGACTTTCCCATAGTAGAAGACTGGACGAAAAGGCTGCAGCCAAGGCACCTGTTGTAAATCAGGCAAGTTGTTCTAAGCTACAGTGGTTTGATAACTTTCTGAGTGATGATGTCAGGGCACAATTGCACTATAACCACTACAGCAGGCTTTCGTGGTTATGGTGCTTGAGGTATTTCTTAAAAAAGCCATGGAAACTAAAATCCCCCTTTAATCTTATTAATGCACCACTGTCAGGTATTTCCGCTTGAGATTTGTGGGAATAAACTCCTGGACAGACAAACCATCTAACAGGAAAATCACCACTTAAATACCCAAAATAGCTCATTTAAGTGACCTAGGGGTTGGCAAATTTGCAAACCTAAGACGCCAAACTGACCTATACAGAAGGCAACTTTAGAATTGCAAAGGCCAGAAAAGAAGTAATTTTATTAAAAATAAATAAATTTAAAACAAAATATGTGCCCTAAAGGTTTATAATGAAATGGCTTATTATATTCAGAAAATACATCTTAAAATAAATGTCCCTCTGTGTAATGACTGTCATTGTGATATATTGTTCATCTGCTTCTGTGAAATGTAGGACATGTACAGACAATTGTATAAATCACTTGTGCACACACTGTACATCTTTCCCTCTCAGCATGACGTATCCTTAACTTCAGGCCAAGCAATCAATCACTCCTGATCATGTGATCTACTACAAAATGGTGGCAGGGTGGAAAACGCACAGAAATTTTAAATATCTAGAAAAGCTGGTTTGAGGGTGGGGGAGTTTGTTTTGTTCCATTGCTATTTATTTTTTGTGGTTGAGCATATAATGCAATTTTCTTTATGATTTTTGGTGATTGCGGTCTTCAGGAACGGAAACCTTTATAGTTAGACAGGAATCTAGAAAAACAAGATTCTCAGGGGTTTGTCACACACTTGTGGTCACAGGTCAGCAAATTATTGCTTATTCCCCTACGCCAAGTTTCTCACAGGTTTGAAGTGACCCTGTCACTTAAACACTTTACATTAAGCAACGTGTAAAGTTGTTCTAGAATTGATAAATGTGTATTAAAATTATGAGATTAATAGTTTCATTTGAGCTAAAAACCCATTTTGTTTTTTATTCTATGCATTGGGGCTGATGAGTACTATAGTCACTGCTGCTTCCCAGGAGTAATGGGAGTTTGAGCGTTTAATCTTCCATGTGTGTAGCTTAAGCTACCTGACTAGTAGACATGTGCACCAGAGAATGATTTCGTACTAAATAAACATGTACACGAATTCCGTCTGCAAACCATTTGTTTTTGAACGGAATTCGTTAAAAAATCATTTGTTTTCGTCCATTAGGATGAAAACAGCACTGCGCATGCAAAAAAACCCTCCTTGTAATAAAAAAATATCCCCCCCCCACATTAAAATCTATAGGGGTTAAATCCTCACGCATGCCCCTACTTAATTTTCTTTTTTGAAAGCAACCAATCACAGTGTTATAAGTCAAATTACACAGCATGGGAAAATTCCAAAGAACTTTCACATGCTGTGTAAAATGACAAAGCACTCTGATTGGTTGGATCTGAAGCCAACCAATAAGAGTGCTGTGACAGGTAAATGTAGAGACTTACCTGTCAGTCTCTTTACTTACCTGTCAGAGCACTCTGATTGGTTGGCCTTTCCCCTCCCTGCAGAGCTCATTCTGCTCCGTGTCCTCCATGGGTGAAGATGGATATTTTTTTTTGGTCTTATTTTTTTTTTTGCGCTCTGGTTTTTTAATTTTTTTTTTTTCAAAGTGCGACGGGTGTTACGGTTTTTTATTTGGCCTTTTTTTGGGCTGAACAAAAAAACGAAGACATCAAATGGCAAATATGAAATTTTATTTTACAGGTTTACTTTATTGCCCCCTCCTCATTATCGTGGCGAGGGAGGTAGGGAAGGTATTTTTATTGGGGAGGGGGGTGACAAGGGGCTTGGGGATCCCTAGTCACTTTATTATTTGTGATCCCCACCCACCGGTCATTGCTGGAGACCTTGGGGGGACATTAGGTCTGTCCCATTATTTATTTCATTAGGATCCCCACCTGCCGCTCATGGGTGGGAACCTGGGGGGGACATTAAGTCTCCCCTTTAGTTTATTAAGGTCCCCATCTGCCGCTCATGGGTGGGGACATTAGGTGCCCCCATTATTTATTTAGGGTCCCCACCCGCCACTCATGGATGGGGACCAGGCGGGACATTAGGTACCCCGTTTATATTAATAGCCACCACCCGCGGGTGCCCCCCATTTTAGTTATGTGTGTTCCCCACCATTGGAGAACCTGCCCAGTCACTAGTAGTTTTAAATGACAGCGAGCAGCCATTAGCATGTGGGAGGATTTAACCTCCCTTTTATTAATATGGGATCATAGTGACCCCCATAGGTTTTAATACAGGGTTGGGGGGGGATTTATTTATTACAAGGAGGGAGCTGGTAGCGCTGCCGTCTCCCTCCTTGTTTTTTTTTTTTTTACACGCATGTGCACTGTTATTTCCCGTGCTGTGGGGGTTAATTCCCCTGCAGCACGGAGTCTATTAAACGAACAAAACGAAATGAAAAGGTAATGCATTCGGCATTTGCCCTATCGTTTCGTTTATATTTCGTTTGTAGGGCTTTCGTTTACGTTTTAGTAACTGAATACGAAAAAAACTCGAATTTTCGGACAAAATCGTATTTGTACGAAAACAAATGCACATGTCTATTGCCTAGACCCTATTATGCTACTTGTATAGCACATTCTTTATGTCATCTTAAATAGCATCATCTTAAAGGGACTCTAAGATGCATAACCGGTACTGCTCAGTGAAGTGACAAGAAAAAGCAAACTGCTCAGTTAAGGAGTGTCTCATAAATCATTTACATGTAATATTTACACAATACTTAACAGCATGTCCCAGACTTCCTCTAATTATGTTGTTTGCTTGTTCTGTTTTATGACACAGTGGCACTTTATAGACAATAAAATGTAATCTATACATTGAGCTAGCCAATTGCTTTGAAACCTACAGATAATGTTTTGTTTGATTTTGAAAACTGTAGCATAGTGTGTACTACTGCACTGCATTCTGGGATTAAGCCACATGCATTTCATTGAGCCTGAAGCAGATATCTGGTTAGAACCTTATTTAAAAGGGACACTCCAGGCACCAATACAACTTAATGAAGGAGATCATGGGCAGGGGCTTACCTTAAGGAACAGCTTAAGTTAAGATGGCACCAGAGACCTCCTGGAACTAAAACAGCTTCATTAAGAAGTTGTTATGGTGCCCAGAGTGTTCTTTTAAGATTTACTTAAACTGCCATGACCACTTCAGCTTTTAGAAGTGGTGATGGTGGTAGGCGTTTGTATGTGCAGCATTTCTGCTTGATATGCGGGACATACAGAGTTATCAGCTGAGAGCATACCTTCCCCTCTTTCATTTGAGCCCTCCCAGCTCAAATGAAATGAAAATGCCTCCCTATAGTTCTTGATGTGCGTACTATTTTATTTTTAGTCAGTACCATTGTTAAACATAGATCTGCACACCAGTCAAGCCATATGACTTGCTTTCCCCATAGAAAATCACATATTTGCAGTGATGTTACTACTGCAAAGGATTTTGGTTGGGCATATGCAAATTACACAGCTAAGAATCACAGTTTTTTCCTCATTATTCCATTTTAAACATGGATTCCTTGAAGTTTATGTTTGCTATACACAACAGCTTCGAAACACATTTCAGGAAAAGATACCAAGCCAGTGAATGTCCCATGGACAGCTGTTTCATTGTTAATGCAACTCATCAGCATGAGGTTGGTTACTGGCTTGCTACGGAGGCTTGGCGTTACTTGCGGAGCACAAACCAAGAAAGTTATGGTGGGGAAAAATAGTGATTGAAAACTCCTGAAGTCAGTGGATAGTCAAACACAGTTCTACATTAAACACAGTTCTAGACACCAGTCAAGCCAGACTTGCTTTTCCCACATAAATCACACATTTTCAGTAGTAAAACAGTGGTGTAGCTATACTTTAGGTTCTTGCACTAGTTAACACGTGATCAGGGCAGGCTCTGTCACAAAGCATTTTAGAAGTATGTGTAATTAGAACTAATAATCAAAGCGTTAAAACAGATATGTCACATTTTTAGGGATAGTTCAATTTTTACCTACTGCAAACTGTTACAGGAAGAGCGCGGAAAAACTTACACATGGTAAATTTTAAACACTTCAAGAAATCGAATATCTTTTACATGTAGAGTGCACAGAAAAACTAGAACATTAGTTTACAGATGATATTTATAACACGATTCACACATAAATAGTGATTTTAGTACCTTTCACTAATCACTGAAGAACTTGACACACTGTAGCTCTGGGAGGATTTTGAAGCCAATATGCTCTTTTCTACGGGAGACGGAAAAATACAAAATGTTTTTGGAGCATTTACATACATATCCAATCACACGCATAGTACTACCAAGATTGCAGGAAGTCTGGAGAGCAAGTTGACAGCCACTTTATAAAGGGATCAATTATTTTAATCTATATTAAAACGTGTTGCATTTATAAAATTATCCTTAGGGTAAATAATTTATATATTAGTAAGTGCAATTCATAAAATAAAAATACATTATTTTATATATATACCTCATATACAGATACAGTATAACATACATAAAACCATAGTGCTCCAACGTGAAGTGAAGGCAGCCAGGCTGATTAATATAACATGTAAGGTGACCATAAACTTTTCACACTTCTTTCATAGGAGTTGATGTTATTACATATATAGTTATTTCATATATTTATGTATATAAATATCTTAATATATGTAATAATCGGTTGGAGGCACATACACAATTTGAAATATAAGTTGAGAACTCTGTCTGCCCAACCTGTAAAGAATTTATGGACTCATTAGATCCTCATTTAGACTCAAGTAGATGATACATACTAGATTAAAAAAAAGAAACACTCCAGACCCCTAAAGCATTTCAGCATGCTGAAGTGCTTTATGTGTGAAGAGTGAGTCCTCTTTTTTCATTTTTATTAAAAATCGAATTTCAGTATTTCAATAGAAAATGGCCCTTTTATAAGTTGACTTTCCTGGCAATCAGACAACCTATCCAGTTAGTTGTTTGTGGTTTTCTCAGAGCACCTGCCTTGCAAAGAGTTCCCATTGAGCTGCATTGGGAAGTCTGTGATTGGACAGCCACAGAAAGTCTAGGCGGGGCTAGAAGGGGAGGGCTTGTAAAGGCTGCAGACAAGAGATCTGCAGCTTTTGCAAGTTTTTTTTTTAAAATATACACTCAAAATGTAGAATTAAATGCATGTGTATTTTCATTGGGGATATATCTACTAAACAGAGATATATTTTATATTTTTGGGCAGTGGAGTGTCCCTTTAATATTGAACAACTCCAAGTTAGCACATTTCATTTCCGAGACGATGAGGTTTATCTGTTAGTAAGGGGATGCCTGTGGTCTAGTGTTATCATCAATGAGCCAACAAGCTTACTATGATAGCTACATCCATGTTTTAATAATCTTTTGCCTTGCAGCAGGATACGCAACACAAAGATCATCTCACCCGTGCTGGTTGAAACACCCATTGTTCTGGCAACACTGGCATTCCAGGTTCTGACAGCACCTAGCAGACGTACAAAGAAAACACAGAGATAGATACAAACAAAAGTGTTTAAATGCTTAATGCAATGTATATAAACTTCATCTTTACAGTAACCAGGTCCCCTGAATGTATTTATAATGATGTCATCAGACCAGCACATGCTTTTATAGGAGGCAGAGACGTGCAAGACTGTACCAGTGGAAACAGGGGGGCAGATAAAGGAATTTTGAACATTCTTTCTCAGCGCCAGATGTAATAACTATTTCTAATGAAATGGAATAAACTCCTGTGAAGTTAGTTTAAGAATGTTTGATTGGATAAATGTCACTTAGCACAGCGATTCACTCAGCACACAACTAAATGTTCACACTAATAAACCTATTTTGACATGCAATCAATCACCCTGCATTCTATAGTCAAGATTAGCTCAAAAAACAACTGCATTCTAAAAAACTGTAGCAAACTGCCCTACCGCCTGGTTTAGGCCAAAACACCACTTGAGAAGTTTATATTATTAAAAATATTTGGTTAGTTTATTCAAAATCTAATTTTCACCCAATTTTACTGTAGGCAGTTCCCTTGTTATACAGGGTGTACAAATATCTTATTAAATGGAAAAACAGCTCTGAGAAGAAGTAGTTCTAAAAGATTTAGGGCTATAAACTAACAGAATACTGAGAATAATATCACGGATTGCAAGAATTTATGTGTATAGTAATTTAAAGAGACACTATAGTCACCAGAACCGCTACAGCATAATGTAGTGGTTCTGGTGTCTATAGCCTGTCCACTCAGTCACTCAGACGGCCACTAGAGGTGCTTCCTGTGTCAGTGCTGGCATTCAATGTATCCGCACTGTGCATGGAGGTGCTGAATATTCCCCATAGAGATGCATTGATTCAATGCATATCTATGAGGAGATTCTGATTGGCACAGTGCTGCATTTTGCCGCACATGCGCAATAGTCTCTCAGTGTTTTCCTTTTGGAAGTATTACATTGGCTGAGATCATCAAGATTGAGTATCTCAGCCACAAAGGTGGCACCAGGCGAAGCCAGCTGCGGCAAGACCAGCGAGGCATAGGAAACAGTTAGTAAAATGACCTTTAATCTCCAAGTAGAGGAGAGTCGGGAACAGCAATTTGTGCTGCATAGTGTTAGGAATACATGCATCTTTAAAGGATACTATAGTGTTTCTTTATTGATACATTTTTAAAGTGATATTTTGAAAAATATTTTCATATTTATCATTTTCATATTTTACATTTTGAAAAAAATATATTTTAAAAGCATATCCAAAAATAATATAATCGAGGCCCAGATATAATATATTATCTAAGGACGCATTATTTTCTGATGTACCCTTGCAAAGAATGGATTTATCAGTCATGGATTTCCACTTGAAGAGGCGAAGATTCTATTTTAAGTATACAGATTCTCTGTGCATGTAACACACATACAGCTGTCATTGGATGCTAACCTTGAGTGCTGCTCGGCTTAGGTGACATCTCATGTGGACTTTTGACATCATGTGCAGGCTGGTGGCTATTGCCATTGGTTGTGCCAGGTTGGGACTCTGCTATCACTTTTGTTATAGCAGTGACAGGCATATGTGGCTTCCTCACAGATAGTGCTGGAAAATGTTCCTGGGCAGAGGGCATGGGAGCCACAGAAACTGGATCTGGGGAAATTTTCACTTTGTCTAGGGAAAAAAAAAAAATTATAATACTGAAAGTTATAATGCCATCATTTTAGTGAGAATTCATTTATGTGATCAGCCTATCTTTGGGCCAAGCATTGCATGTGATCAGTCTTTGTTCACACAGTATTTCATGAGAAGGTTTCTTACACAACTCATAATTATAGACATACCAATCAAAAGAAACACAAGAAAAAAGAAATAAATAAAAAAACAGAATTTTTTTTTTTTTGTCAAACACAGGATACTTTCTATTTATGCCCATATAAGGTAACTAAATTGGCTATCCTGATTTTATTTTTCCATACAAGGATTTTTTTTTAATTTCATCTAGACTTTTTTTGTTTGAACATTTGCAGACCCCCATGGTGTAATAAATATATAATATGCATATTACAGAAAAAAATATTTATACACGCACAAAATATCCTCTTACCAGACAGAGATTGGTGTCCATTCTCCACAACTGTAGATACACTGGTTCTTGAGGCCTCCACATCATTCGGTGCCTCTGGCACAGAACTCTGCCAAGAAATTGAACCAAATGTAACATAAGCTTGCAGGTGATTAACAGTCACATTTAAAGCATGAGGGTGCAGATTATGTCAAAATGAATAACCGTTTCATCTTAGAGGCTTAGCAGTGAACATGTTCACATATTGGATGGTTGGCATCATTTTCACAAAATATTATATTCTGATTTGGAGTAAAGGATCATGTTAATACCAGCGTCAGCAATCTAGTATCATGTCAATGCTATGTGATACTTTGGCATCAAGTATTGATTACATTACTGCAGACACTAGATTTTAGATAAAATGACCAAGTGAAAAGTGAATCTGCGACCTTAATTTGCTTACACTATTTTCTGTTTGCTTTTTAAGTCAAGCATTATATCTCCAGTTATGTTAGTACCAGGACAGCCAAGAAGGATGATCAGCATTCGGATGTGCAAACTAGTGTAAATATCACAGTTCTGCAACAGGTATATACTGTTTAACCATTTCTATTCTTGTGTACCTCTGCAACATGTAAGAAATAAAATGGTTGGAACACGAACACACACACGAACACACACAACATCTTGATAGCCAAGGTCACTCATGGTTCCTACTGGTTACTCCAATTTCATCTACTCTGTATATTAAGTTCACTGTGGGATCTAAAGCTCATGTAACATGCTGCCAAAATCACCCAACCAAAAATGTGTAAAACAAAATTCACAACCAATAGTAAGTCAGAATGAAACGGTAGCAGGGCACTTTGCTTATTTTTAGATAGATTAAGGATTTAAAAACATAGATGGAAAATGGTGTTGTACAACTTCACCTTCTTTATTAGTTTATTTGAAAAACAGAGATGAACGTCCTACACCAGGACCATCCTGCCACAGCCCAATGTCCACAATATCCAATCCATAGGCTATCAGACCTTTGAAGCATAATATGTATCATAGGAGATTAAGAAAGACATAACCCAAGGTAATGGGGGTTGGCTATAGATGCCCTTGAAATGTATATTATTTCTCATTTGTAAAGTGCAGAGTACTGTAAAGCATTCCAGAGAGATATCACACAAATCTCATAACTAAAAGGTAAACAAAGAGAGAGGTTATCATTTTGGTCATGCAAACAACATCATACCTGAGGCATAAATGGGATTCTCAGAATCCCACTTAAAGTGAAAGCATTAAAAGACAATGTCTAATAAGAACCCAATCATTGCGATAAATTTGTTTTCTAAATCTAGCCCACAATAAAAGTCAGAAATCAGGTTAAAAAAAATAAAAAATGAAATAAAAGATTTTCTAAAGGAAACATGTCGGGTAGCTCATATCTGAAAGCTGGAGATTCTCATTGTCTTTTACAGCTTAAAATTATAATAGACACAGAATTTGCCCAATAAACCATTATTATCCAAGATGATTATAAAGTACTTTGGCATTATATGCAAGGAATAATAATTAAGTCAGATTAGCGCCCACTAGCCCCATTATTAAGCAAGTGGGCTGTGCAGAGTCAGGAATACTTCCAACACAATTAATTACTTATGTAAAATGAGTGTGGTTGCTACAAGCGCGTTGGTTCAATGCATTTTACTGGTAATTTTCCTTTAATACAGACATTAGAAGGGGTTTCCAGTTATTTGACTCTCACAAAGACAATGTAGTGTATAGAATAGATACTCAATCTGGAAAAACACCTGATGATAATTCTAGACATATAGAACATATGAATTTATTGGACTTTAGTTTATTGGACTAGTTATGTCAAGTATTTCTGTGTTTAAGCCTTCTGGATTTTATACACATAATGTCACTGATTGTTTTGGTAGTGGTTTGAACAATGTTACTATATGAACAAACATGGCAAATGCCAAATGTACAAAATGCATTCAGTGTTTCTGAAATCATATTGTGCTCTTTCGACCTGTCCAGGTTTTCTGTAAACACTGCTACAACTAGAAAGACAAAAGTCATATTTTGGTGTCAGTCTCTAAGCAGGATGCAGTGCCACCCCCAACTCATTAGAATTTCCAAAGGGGTGAGGGAGGACAAACAAAATCAAAGGGATGAAGCCAACAGTGACTTGTTTACTCAACAAATACCCCTCTTCTCGTTCCCTTCACTCTGAGAGTGACCTTCTCCTGTCCTATCACCATTTCCCACAACACTAACATCTGAATCTTATGCATGGAAAGACCGAATGGCCTAATGAATGTGAGGCGCTGGGCGTGCATCAGCATTAGGTCTTCCCCCATCGGCTAACATCAGCAGAGAAAAAGGGACATCAGCGCTGGAATCTGGTAAGTGTAAAAAGGTTTTTTTAACTCCATTTGGAACTACATAGTGTTAGTTTTGTATTCCTAACACTATAGTTTTCCTTTACCCAATGCAATTTGTATTAACAGGCCATGGGTTGTGATTTTACAGCTGAACACTAAAGCATGATAAATCAGTTCTAGTATCTCATCTTAAAAGATAAATAAAAGCCTTGCACAACCAGTGCACTTCCCTCCATCAGGAGGATATCACGCCAGGAACATTCTGTCTCAAAGCATGCCAGTTCATCTTACAACTTATCCAGGCAGTGTTATCTACATAATTTGGGTTATTCATTGGAAGATTTCCACCTCAAGGAACTTAATGAACACAAATAATGCTCTATTGATATGATCTGAGGAAAAAAATTAAATCTATTTTCTGTGTCAGCTTACATGACCTGCACAGTCCACAGCATTCCTCCAGCTTTATCTTCAATTAGTAAGGAGTACAGTGTGACCTGGAGACCGGAGTTTATTAGAGGGATTAACTTTGAGAATTAAAATTGTGTGTCTTCACCAGCTGGTTTTTGAAACGGTTAGCAAGTGTTTTAAAAGCATGTTGTTGAAAAATAAAAAATCACAACAATGTAAAATTATTCAATCGATGGAAATTAAAAGAACTCTTAGGTTTTAACTAATTTGACTGAAGAACATTGGAAAAGGATATAATCGTTAACATGCACAAATCCAGGGCACATGATCCGTGGGACCGTCAGGAGTGGAGCTCACAGCACTCCCCCACGTGCCAATCACTCCACGTAGAGTGGCAGCGTGGGCCACGAAAAACGCGTAGAGCGGCTGTGCGGACCACGAGAGACACACACAGAGGGGCTGGGGAGAGAGAGAGGTGTAGGTGCTGGGAGGAAAGAGAGGATAAATGAAAACTCTTCAAATAAATATTAGAAAGGCACATTTCTCAGTCTGTACCATTGGATAATAAATATAAAAGAAACAAATTGAGGGTTAGTAGAGAAGTAAAACAAGAGATTAAAAATAAGAAAAGAGAAAAGAGAATTTAAAGGGACACTATGGTCACCTGAACAACTTTAGCTTAATGAAGCAGTTTTAGTGTATAGAACATGCCCCTGCAGCCTCACTGCTCAATCCTCTGCCATTTAGGAGTTAAATCCCTTTGTTTATGAACCCTAGTCACACCTCTCTGCATGTGACTTGCACAGCCTTCCATAAACACTTCCTGTAAAGAGAGCCCTATTTAGGCTTTCTTAATTGCAAGTTCTGTTTAATTAAGATTGTCTTATGCCCCTGCTATGTTAATAGCTTGCTAGACCCTGCAAGAGCCTCCTGTATGTGATTAAAGTTCAATTTAGAGATTGAAATACAATTATTTAAGGTAAATTACATCTGTTTGAAAGGTGAAACCAGTTTTTTTTTTTTCATGCAGGCTCATAGCCAGGGGAGGTGTGGCTAGGGCTGCATAAACAGAAACAAAGTGATTTAACTAAAACTGCTTTATTAAGCTAAAGTAATTTAGGGGACTATAGTGTTCCTTTAAAGCATTTAAATCGGACAAATCAGAGGCATCCTATAGAAGATATAAGGAAGCCAATAATGCTTGCAAAAGGGCAATTAAAGTGGCTAAACTAGAAAATAAGAAATTGATAGCCAAAGAATCCAAAACCAACCCCCAAATTTTTTTTTAAGTACATGAATTAGAATAAAACATAAAATGAAAGTGTAGGTACACTGGAAACAGAGATGGGTTTGTTAGTTAATGAAGACCAGGAAAAGGCTGAAATCTGAAATAACAATTTTTCTTCAATATATATTAATGAGGATCCTATGGCAAGAGATATGCAAATGATTGCTGCAAAAAACTTGCAGATAACTTGTGATTGGATAACTCGAGACAAGGTTCTACATCAGTTAAAGAAAATGAATGTAAATAAAGCTCTGTGGCCTGACGGTAGTCACCCACGAGTACTTAAGGAGATAAGTGGGGAAATAAGTGAACCTCTGTATTTAATCTTTCAAGATTCTTTTGTTTCAGGTATTGTACCGGAGGATTGGAGGAAGGCAGATGTCGTTCCTATATTTAAAAAGAGTTCAAAATCCTTGCCTGGAAATTATAGACCTGTGAGCTTTACTTCTGTGACTGGGAAAATATTTGAAGGGCTATTAAGGGATAATATTGAGGAATTCACAGGGAAGAACTTTGTTATTAGCAATAATCAGCATGGTTTTATTAAACATGGGTCATGTCAAACTAACCTAATTACATTCTACGAAGAAGTAAGTAGAAGTATAGATCAGGGTGTTGCAGTGGATGTGATCTACTTGGGTTTTTCCAAGGCATTTGATACGGTTCCTCATAATAGGTTAGTCTACAAACTAAAATAAATTGGTCTAGATGAATATTCTTTTTCTTGGGTAGAACATTGGCTTAAAGGACCACTCTAGGCACCCAGACCACTTCAGCTTAATGAAGTGGTCTGGGTGCCAGGTCCAGCTAGGGTCTCATTGACAGCCGCTAGAGGTGCTTATGTGCTTCTCACTGTGAAAAATCACAGTGAGAGCACGCCAGCATCCATAGGAAAGCATTATGAATGCTTTCCTATGTGACCGGCTGAATGCGCGCGCAGCTCTTGCCGCGCGTGCGCATTCAGCCTACGGGGAGGAGAAGAGGAGGATCGGAGGAGGAGAGCTCTCCGCCCAGCGCTGGAAAAAGGTAAGTTTTTACCCCTTTCCCATTTCCAGAGCCGGGCGGGTATGTTTTCGAGTATGTTTTCCTGGCACTATAGTGGTCCTTTAAGGATAGAGGACAACGAGTTGTCATTAATGGTACATTTTCAAGCTGCACAAAAGTGGTAAGTGGTGACCCTCAGGGTTCTGTTTTATGACCGCTTCTATTTAACATATTTATAAATAATCTTGAAATAGGCATTGAAAGCCATGTTTTAGTGTTTGCAGATGACACAAAACTTTGTAAAGTCGTAAAATGTGAGCAAGATATTGCTTTGCTGCAAAGGGATTTAGATAGATTTGGGGACTGGGCACTAAAATGGCAGATGAAATTTAATGTAGAGAAATGCAAAGTTATGCACTTCGGGGTCAAGAATGCACAATCAACTTACATCCTAAATAGTAGTGAATTAGAGGTAACCACACACGAGAAGGATTTGGGAATTGTTATAGACAACAAATTAGGCAGCAATATGCAATGTCAATCTGCAGTTGCTAAGGCCAGTAAGGTTTTGTCATGCATAAATAGGTGCATAAATTCTCGGGATGAAAATATAATTTTGCCTCTTTATAAATCGCTGATAAGACCACACCTTGAATATGCTGTGCAATTTTGGGCACCTGTTCTAAAGAAGGATATCATGGCACTGTAAAGAGTTCAGAGATGAGCTACAAAATTGATAAAAGGAATGGAGCATTTTAGTTATGAAGAAAGGTTAAAAAATGTAAATCTCTTTAGTTTGGAAAAACGGTGCCTCAGAGAGGATATGATAACATTATACATATATATTCGGGACCAGTACAAACCATTATCTGGAAATTTATTCATAAATAGGGATATACATAGGACACGAGGTTACGCATTTAGGCTGGAAGAAAATAGATTTAATCTAAGGCAAAGAAAAGGTTTTTTTACAGTAAGAACTATAAGGATATGGAATTCTCTGCCTGAAGAGTTGGTTTTATCAGAGTCCATACAGATGTTTAAACAGCAATTGGATAAATACTTGCAAAACATAACATACAGGGATATAATTTCTAATTCATGGGGTAATAGCTGCTTGATCCAATGAGATATCTGACTGCTAATTTGGGGTCAAGAAGGAATTTTTTTTCCTAGTTTGTTGCAAAATTGGAAGCGCTTCAGACTGGGTTGTTTTGCCTTCTTTTGGATCAACAGCAAAAACATACGTGAGGAAGGCTGAACTTGATGGCCACAAGTCTCTTTTCACTTTTCAGCTATGTAACTATGCAACTATGTGCTGGGGGAGAGAGAGAGGGGCCGGGGGGTCAGAGAGAGGCGAGGGGGAGGGAAACAGAGCATGCTGAGAAGCGAGAAATGGGGCAGGGGAAACAGAGCGCACAGAGACTGGAAACAGAGCGCACAGGCGCACAGAGAACCAGGCGCACAGAGAGCTACAGGAAACAGGCGCACAGAGAGGCTGGGAGAGCACAGAAACTGGGAAACAGGCGCGCAAGAGGCTAGGAAACAGGCACAGAGAGGCTGAGGAAACAGGCGCACAGAGAGTACAGAGGCCTGGGAAACAGGCGCGCAAACAGAGGCGCTGGGGAAACAGCAGAGCGCACAGAGAGGCTGGGAAACAGGCAGCGCTGGGAGAGAGGCTGGGAAACAGGCGCACAGCACAGAGAGGCACAGAAACAGAGCAGAGTGGCACAAGCAGAGCACACAGGGAAACAAGGCGCTACAGAGTGGCGGGAAACAGGCGCGCAAGAGTAGTGAAACAGGCATACAGAATAGCAGGCGCAAAGTGGCAGGCGCACAAGTGTGAGGAAACAAACGCACAAGTGAGAACAAGGCGCACAAGTGTGGCGACAACAAATTAGCGAAACAGGCGCACAGAGTGGCTGGGAAACAGGCACAGAGTGGCGCAAGAGCAAGGCGCACAAAGTAAACGCTGAAACAGGCAGCGCAAGTGGCTGGCGAAACAGGCAGCACAGAGTGGCGAGAAACAGAGCGCACAGAGTAACACAGGTAGCTGAGAAACAGGCGCGCAAGTGGCCACAAAGGCGCACAGAAACAGGCACAAGTAAAGCGAGGGAAACAGGCGCACAAATTATGGCTGAGGGGCGGGGAAACAGGCCGGCAAGAGGCGAAAACAGGCAGCACAGAGTAGCTGAGAAGCGCACAAGTAGCTGAGAAACAGAGCGCACAAATTAGCACAAACAAACGCACAAGTAGCGAAGGCGCACAAGTAGCTGGCGAAACAAACGCACAAGTAGCTGGCGAAACAAACGCACAAGCGAGTAGCAAGAGCGAGAAAACAAATGGCACAAGTAGCTGAAGAGCATACAAATTAACTAGAAGCACAAGTAGCATACAGAAAACAAGCGCACAAAATTAGCTGAGAAAACAGAGCGCAAGTGGCTGGAAACAAAGCAAATTAGCTGAAACGAAACAGCGCAAGTAGCTGGGCGAAACAAACGCCTGCAAGTAGCTGGAAAGCAAACGCACAAATTAGCACAGAGAAGCTGAAACAGAAAAGCTGGAGAAACAAAGCGCAAGCACAAAGTAGCTGAAGCGGCAAACAGCTGGAAACAAGGCACAAGTAGCTGGAGAAACAGGCGCACAAGTAGCTGGGGGAAAACAAACGCAGCTGGGGAAAAACAGGCACAGAGTGGCTGGGGCATAAACGTGGCACAAAAGAGGAAAACAAACGCACAGAGGTAGCAAAGCGAGCGCGCACAAGAGTGGCTGGCAGAGCGCAGGGAAAACAGGCGCTGCCGTGGCTAGCAAACGCTACAAGTAGCTGGGGGCACAGAAACGCACAGAGTGGCACAGGGGCTGAAACAGAGCACAGAGTGCTGGGGCTGGCGCACAAAGTGGCTGAGGCACAGGCGCTGCAAGGTGGCTGGGGCTGGGAAACAGGCGCACAAGAGTGGCTGGGGGGCTGGGAAACAGGCGCATGGCTGGGGCTGGAAACAGGCGGAGTGGCTGGGGCTGCGAGGCGCTGGGGGGAAACAGACGCACAGAGTGGCTGGGGGCTGGGAAACAGACGCACAGAGTGGCTGGGGGCTGGGAAACAGACGCACAGAGTGGCTGGGGGGAGAAACAGACGCACAGAGTGGCTGGGGGGGAAGACGCAAGGGAGTTGTAAGAGATACACAACGAGGGATAAGACATTCAAAAATGGGGTTAAGAGACACACAGGTGAAGATGCATTTATTTTGGGGGAGGAGGGCAAAATGCATCATTCTATGTATTGCAGCGGCAAATACCTTTTAAGGCCTGGCTAGTAAAACAGGGCTTCAATTTGTAAGCCATGTTTTAGGGTAAATCACTAGAGAGTGACGTGTAATTTGCCAATTCACCTACTTTGGTCTAGAATTCTAAATTCACTTTGAATACCTGACAACTCACACTTTAGTTAATAGTGCTATGCATTTTCATTACCAAAAATATTCTTCTACCACCTGGTGCATCATTCCCTGCTGAAATGTGCCTGAATAAAAAAAAAAATAAAAAATAAAAAAAAATATATATATATATATATATATATATATATATATATATATATATATATATATATATATATATATATATATATATTTTAATTATTCATTGCATTAATCCTTGGGAATGATTTCAAATTTTTAGCCCAACAATAGAGACATGAAGGTTGAAGATTCTGGTTTGGATTTGGATAGGAGTTTCGCTTGGATACTTCACAGATTTGTGTTAAAAGGTAAATGCTGAGAGGGTTAAGAAACATATAGACTGGGTTTCTATTGTATTAAATGACAATACTATAATAGTCTGATGCAAACCAGTATGACAGAAAAAATAAAAATAAAAAATAAAAACAGACAGAAGGAAGAGTTGAGCTACATAGTGTTTACTTAGCGCACATGATCTACACGTACGTAGAAGTCATAACTTGTTTCTAAATGTAGAGCTGGATTGCTGGTCAGACTACTAAATGAAGAGGTGTATTTCAGCTGTATCAAGGCACACCAACGTCTTTATATACTGTTCTAAGTTGCCTCACGTTACAGTATCATCGAACGAAGCAGTTTCACCTGACTGAGAAAAATCACAACTTCTAAAACCGGTGTCTCAGGATATTTGATTCACATTCGGTTTTATCTACTAGAAACAGACAATGGCAGAGAATTTACAAAGGGATTGTGCAGTTTAAGATAAAATGGCAAAGCCAGAAAATTTATCGTATCAAATAATTTTTTTTGTTTTTCAATTCTCCAAAGTTCCCGGTTTAATGAAAAGACCCCATTGTGTTCCAATTGACTTTGTGCTACTTTTATCAAATGCATATTCTACAAGATGAGTAGGATCTTGCGAAAAGCTAACTATATTGGCCAAAACGTTGTCATGTTGTTCCTATTCCAATAAAAGGTCCTCAGTATGATGGAATCTCTGTGGCTGGATTTGGAAGTATTCCAATGTATTTGCCATCCCCCAAGCATGGAGACCCTAAAATTTATATTTATATATTATTTATTTACACCATTAAAGTCAACATGGTGCCTTTGTCACATTACTAACAACATATATACACACCTATCCCATTTCTTTACATATAAAAGTGGTAGATTTCTGAACATGAGTACTTCCAGGATAACCTTCTAGCATTCAGTTAAAAATACTTCTTGATTATATTTGAGTATCCATCACAATAGAGGTGTCTGTGTTTCCTCCCTGGCTTTCACACTAGCTATCTTTAAACAGGGTTATCAGGCCAACACATTCCACAGATGTCCATCCTCCCACATAGATTGACGCTTCTGTTTGGAAAAAAGCCCAGCATCTGTGGAGCCAGGGTTCTCGGTCTAAACCATATCACTGGCCTCCATGTCAACACAATAGTTAACCTTTGTGTTGCTAGAGCCGTGAGTCAAACACATAAAAAAGGTTCTACACAAAAGAGATGAGTAATGTTTATACAAACTGAGGCTTATTATTCAGGAAATGGATGGAAAAATATAGATTAATGGAGCAGAAAAACCTATATATTTATTCCTGGGATCAGTAAGAAATTTGCTCCGTTGGGTTTTGCCTAGAAAACCTGACGTCAGATGTCTTACTGAGCATATCCTGTCCCATCACCAGTACTCAAACTTGCTACCAATAATATTCCAAGGACAATGGAGTTCAGGATTGTCCCAACTGAGACCCTATACAGTCAGACAGCACGTCTGCTTGTTGGACAGACTAATGTGTCACACCATAGAAATGAAACTGGGCATTCAATAAATCTTGTTTCTATGCTCAGTCTTTTATCATTAAAAGGTCCTCAGCCCTGCTGCATGAACAAGAAAAAGCTGAATTTCGTTTACAAAAAAGCAATTACCCGACACGGGAAGGCCACCAGGAAACTGATGACAACGAGGTGATCAAGATGACACCACCCAAGCGACATTCTGAGCAGTGTTCACCCGAAACTCCCATGAGACCTACAAGCATGGCAGGCGCAGGAGAGACGGACGCTCTCCTGCTACCGCGACACGCTGAGACCCTGAGTCCCTGAGTCTCATAGTCAGAGACCCCTCACCTATGAGACACTGAGCTGGACGCAACAATCTGCACAGTGGGATCACACTCAGCCCTTGCAGGGCGTTCGCTGACTGAAAACTGTGATGAGACTCTATATCAGGCAAAGTGCCTGCTGCATATTTCCTTACCTAAGTTTAATAACCCTAGGCGTTTAATTTAGGCTACAGTGAATCTAGTAACTTTTTTTTTTTTTTTTTTTAAACGGGGGATTGGAGGGGTATTGTTATTTTCATTTCTTTGCTTAAATGCCAACTGAACCTACACAGGGTGTGCCTCACATCCACATATCGCATGTACACTCACACACTTCTAAACCATGAGAGAAAGTCTTAGCTTACAAGCATTAACTCACGTGCACACCTCACTCTCACATCGAACACGCTCCTGTGTACTAATCTAGAAACCAGCTCACGTAGACATCAATCTTATGTTTATATTGTTTATGTGTTTACTTTTTCTCTGACTGCATGCATTTTTATTATCAAATACTGCGCTATGATGGGGCAACCTGACTACGAAGGCACACCTGACTAGGTCGCGGTATGACAAAAGCCTTATATCAGATATCACGTTTAAACTCTAGCAAAGCACAGCAAATATGATGTTCTACTATTACCGGCGCTCAAAGTTAACCTTATGTGTTATTCATAATTAGTTTATATCCAGCAAGACTTAACTTGCATAACTTCTTGGTATTCTACTCTTACTTAACATGTATACTACATGTTATTATGCATACTCATAGGTCTAGATAAGATTGTTTATGTATCACAAAACATTGTGCATATACTCATGCCACTATTCAACCTGTATACAATGTGTGCGCTGTTGTGGCGTTTGATCTTGCAATGTACTTACCTGCACAAAACAAAAAATAAAGAATTATAGAAGGTCCTCAGCAACCTAAACCTTATTAGCAGAGTTTAGCTGCTCCTCACTCAGGTTTATTCCTCCTACACATAGATCACGTATTTATTGTATTTCACCCTACCTATGAAGTGGTTGATCATTAGCACCAGTGTGGTATAACTGTTTAATCATGCACCTTACTACATGCCTACAAAACCCAATACATTGTGTAGATGTACCAAGAAGAATTGATATGGTTTTGAAGGCAAAGGATGGAGACATCAAATACAATAATGATTTAAATTCTTCTTCTGTTCACTCACTTTGCATTTTGTTAATTTCAAAAATGAAAACTAGTCAGTCAAATTTCTATTTTAAAACCTTTTTTTTTTAAACAGCATTTGTCACAGTGCCGTGTATATAGACCATAGATTAGATATGTGTATGTATGCAAGCATGTGTGACTGCTTATTTATATTTAATGTGTGAATTATAAACCAGTTTGAAGAACATTTCAGCTGAGCTACTGTGGGCATCCTATCATCAAATTAAAAAAAAAAAAAAAAAAAGATGGTAAAGAAATGGCATGGAGGGGGCGGAACCTAACCAAGCTTATTACCAGTGCAGCTCTCTGACTCCAGTGCCCGTTGGCATCCGCTCTATACATAGATGTCAGACAAATGGAACTGCTGCTAAAGGTGAAATACAGATCAAATAAACATTTGCTTGCCAGACTTCTTGGGGATAAAATTAGGCCTAATAGCCTCTTGCTAATTTGGAAGGGGCTTTATACTGTAGAAGATTTTCTCTGGATTAGCAGCAGACACAAAATGTTAAAAAACAAACAAACAAACATGTATTTGTATTCATTTTATTTTTGCATATTTCTTTAACCCCTTAAGGATCAAACTTCTGGAATAAAAGGGAATCATGACATGTCACACGTGACATTTGTCCTTAAAGGGTGCTCAAAAAAAGAAAAAAAAAAACACACACACAAAAAAAGGGGCCAACTTCCAGCCTGAAGTACCCCTTTAAAATCTGACCAGCAAAGCCCTTACATCTCAAAGTAAACTCTTTAACTTTGAAAAGGGACATTCTCAGTCAATGAATACTAAACAAACCAGCTATGAGTTGTTATGAAAATGTAGAAGTATAAACTTCCACATCTTTGTATTCCTAATACTAAAAAGTGTTCCTTTAATGAGGGAGGCAATTGTCCAAGTTCTAAACCAAAACAAAACCTAGAATTCAAGCTATTTGCCTCTTTCACGTTACGTGCACACACACTTATTATATATCAATATATGTAGAAGAAATAGAGCTTTCATGTCACATAAAATATTAATAAAACAATTTAATCTGAATAAAATCTGAAAAAAAAAAAGGGTGGGAAATCATGACTGGTGTATAGTCGCCATATGGGCAGTCGGAACCTTGGACAACCATCCCACATACCTATCCCCAATAACACGCTGACACTAGGAATATGGGAAAAATTGTCCACAGCTTTATTAACAAACAGAAACGATACTAATAATTTAACATATATATAACACATGGGTCATTGCCCCCCATCCTCCGCCCTCGCATCTATACCTTCACTAAATATCAGGGCAATGACCCAACATAAGCAACACATAAATATATATAAATAACGCTTTAACTTTACTCCAACATGAACCGATTTGAATGCAACCATAAGTAACCACGGTAGGGGTATACCCAGATACCCCTACCCCACCAGGTTCTGAGCCACCTCCAGGACTCGAAACCCACCATCGACCAGTGACCACAATTCTTCATGTTCCTCACGTTCCTCATGGAGAGCCTATTTTTCCTTCCCTAGCTCTCTATCCCGCCGCTGTGACAAAACGGGATAAAAGAAAACAAACCCATTACAGGGAGGGAGGGTGGGACAAACACAGCTAGGTAGGAATTAATGTGCACATTTTTAAAATGGCTGCCTAATAAATAGCCAGCCCCCATCCCATAATCCCACAGTCCTGCTTGGTCCCTCCTATGCCCGCCTCCTAACCCCTGTCAAGGCCCTTTTCCGCTAAGCTGCGCTCTGGCTACATGGGGCTACAATACATTATTTTCCCAAGTTCTGCATTGCATGTTAACTGTGAATTTCATAATACAGTTACATTTTACTGCAAAAAACAAACAAAAAAAACACACATATTGCGGTCATGTCCCACAAGTAGGTTTTATGGGGTTTTGGAAAGTCACAGGGACAGATATAGGGCTTGCAAATTAAAATCTCTGGTGTTTCTGCTGGGCTTTATGAATACTAAATAGAAACCTAAAACAATAATTGGCAGCACAAAAAGACTTCCGAAAAAAGAATCTTGACCTATACAAGTCCAACAAAATCGAAGTGTCGACAGTGTAGGGCCTGTAGGGATTTTGTTGGACATGTATTGGGAAAGACTTTTTTTGAAAGTCCTTTGAATGCTGCCAATTATTATGTTTATTCATATTCCATTTTATTGATATTTTTGTTGAGTGCTGGAATTTTATATGCTGAGGGTTGTCTGAGTGCAGGGTAAGTATTCTGGAGGGAGGCCCTAACAGTGTTACAGCCCTCCTGTTGTAGGACAGCATTGGACATCCTAATGGCCGGAAGGGGTAAATGTGAACTTGATACATAAACCAACTTTGGCATAATACCTCAACACTTTATTATAATTTGTATTTTATTGAGTTTTCTCACACAACACACACTTCAACAATTTATGAGAGAAATATCATGTGAAAGACAACGGTTCAACAGTTTCTTATTCCAGGCTATCTGTGCAGGTTTACATCTTTATTGTATAGCATCGGGGCTGCTTCCTGTGTGGGCCCTCCCGTGGGTCGGTGTGCGTGTAGGCTGCCCTGGACTTGGGGTCGCCCTTTCTTTCATATGTTAACTAGGTGCTAATGCCCACTCGTGCAGCTGTGGTAAGTTGGTAACTATAGTTTAACTATTTACATAACCTCTAAGCGTTCCCTGTTATTAGGCTGTGTATCATGTGCTTGTCCCCTGGTCATAAGGGGTCTTGAATTCTCCTGTCTGGGCTAGCATTGCAATGTCATGCGGGCAGTCTCCTCGAGGCTTGCAAGGTCATAGTGGGGGACTTGTAACAGTCGTGTGATGGTCTTAGGTATGCGGTGTGGGGGTTTAGCGGTGTGCGTCGGTTTTGGCTCTATGGGCTCGCTCTGGGTCCCTCCCGATTACCTGCAGGCTTCTGAGGAATGCAGCTTGGTTTCCCCTTCCCTCTGGGCCACTAAGTATCCCTTTGCTCCCCACCTATATTTGATATCTGCCTCCCTTAGTTGTTTTGCCACCGGTGTGAGGTGCCTCTTTGCCATTAACGTGGCAAACGGGAGATCCCCGTATATAGCTATTGTTGAGCCCTCAAATCTGATACTTTTAATCTCTCTGGAACGGGACATTATGGTGGACCTAGCTGTAATGTCCCTAGTGACAGCAATAATGTCTCTCGGTGCTTCCTCTGGAGCAGCTGCCGCCTTTCGGATCCGGAATGCTGTGGTCACCAGTTCCGTGCTTGGTGCCTTTGGGGCTCCCATGTGGTGCAGTAAGAGGTGTAGGAAGGGCAGGAGGTCTTCTCCCGAGATTCTTTCTGGCACTCCTCGAAGGCGTATGTTCTTCCTTCTACGTCTGGACTCCATCACCGTCACACTTCTGGCAAGTGTCTGGACTTGATGGGTAAGTTCCTGGATCTCTTTCTGTGCGGTTTGTAGCTTTTGGTCCCTGGCTCCTTCTCTGGATTCCCCGTCTGCAATCCGTGTGCGCAGGGTTCCCAGCTCGGCTTGTGTTGCCCATAGGTCCGCCTTCCACACTTGTCTCATTTCCAGCAACAGGTTCTTTATGTCCCGTTTGGTAGCCGGTGAGGAATCCTCGTCGGATTCGGACTCGCTTTTGTTGCTGCTGGCAAGGCCAGTCCCGGTATGTTGCTCTGTCTCTTGTGTTCCCTCAGAGGCTTCACTATCGCTCAGCTCTGCCGGCGCCATTTTAGGAGCGACCCGCGGGGTAGGCCTTTCAAATGAGAGCCTGATGTCGGGCAGTTGACGAGTCTCCTGCATTTGGGGTTTCTTATTTTTATGCCCCATTATGTCGTCTGGGTGGGGGTTTCCGTTTTGTTTTTGCTTTTGGAGCGATTTTAAGGGTGATTAGACAACTTTTGTGGTTTCTGTAGCGGAGCTCCTTTCAAACATGTCTTGCCTGCAGCTTGATCAGCCACGCCCCCCACCTCAACACTTTATAATTGAAAGGATTGCTATCCTGTATCAGAGTTTTTTCACAAAGTGCACCTGCTCTTTACAATCATTATCACCCCTCCATGGTAAACTTTAAGATCTATAAACAGGGACCTTTGACACTGACAAACGAAGACTGTAATGAGAGACAAATGGCAGCTTTCCCTGCTTGAAACAAAGGGAAATATATTGAGAACATTTTTTGAAGTGAAATACTGCTAAAATGCAGATTGGGGCATAAAATGTGTTTTTTTTTTATTAGAAACTTTAAAAAAAAAATTTTTAAAACATTATTTTAACATAGGCATGTTATTTTTAGATTGCACTTAATGGTGTGAAAGACGTGGTATGTGCTTTTTACATGCAGCTGATGATCAGATGGAGTCGAACACATAAAACCTCAATAAGCAGTTTGAGGTGCTCGGTCAGTGTGTCTGCAAGAGATATTGTCTGTTTGGGAATTAAGAGTAAAACGAAGTTGGCAAAGCATCATGGTAATTGCAGTTCTACAACAGCTAGAGCAGGACACCTATTTAGAGCTAGGTAGAGGAACACTATAGAGTTAAGAATACACTTTGTATTCCTAAGTCTACGGTGTTTCTTATTTGCAGAGAATACCTATAGACTTAGAATTGAAAATTGAATTACAACATTTAAAGCTAAAAAGCCAAACTGTAGCTACAGTCAAATATGAAATTGTTTTAAATCTGGGGGAGGGGGGGGTGGTTTAAATAAAGTTTGCATTTTTATTTTAACCCAAACTGACCCCAAAAGAAGACATAAGAAATGGAGGACAATTTGGTCCAAATTCTGCGTGGCAGCAATTGGCACAACACTTGCATTTGCCTATGGATTTAAGCACTAAACAAAAACAGCATCCTGGAATAGAGAGAAAGCCACATTTGAGAAATTAGTGTCTGCATGTATGAATATATATTGACAATAGGGCTTTGAATTGCAGTGTAGAATTATGGAAAAAGCTTGTATTTGTCCGAGTGGAAATTTCTCCTCTTCCATTAGGGAAGCAGATTAATCTAGGAGCTATCGAGGCAGATCTGTGGAATAATGTTATTTAAATACTTAGAACACTTATTCTAGTATAATCAAGAAATATTGTATTTATTTACAAAATATATAGCATTCATACATGGAGTTGATCAAAGACAGCTGCTCAGATAAAACAAAACAGTCATCATCCCAAATACAGCCTTACTTCCATTACATAAACATATAGATGCTGACATGTGCCACACTGTCCTTATAGATTAGAAAGGCATATGTGTTTAAACACACACAGACGTGTAAAAAGCTATAAACCATCTTCCCGTAGCACTCAGTGATTATCCATCATGAACAACAGAGTTATGTCCCAATAACTGTATTCTCGAATGCACTGAAGCATATTATCTGGAAACAAAACAACCAATGATTTATAAATCTTACTCAAAACATTTGTGTTAATGTCATAACATCCACAAGTGCTGTGCTGAGTCTGTAAAACCACTTGGAGAAGGAACAACACATTTTATTTACGCTAGTCATCCGATGTCTAGAAGGACACTTGCAAGAGAACAAATCTCGAAATAAATGAATCAGCCTTAAATAAAACAGTGCGTGGATCACAAGTCTCATAAGACAAACACGTACAGCACTGCTTGTCTTATATCTGCCCTGTTTGTTTGTTTTTTTGGAGCTGTACATTGTTCATTTGCCGTATATTAGGAGTATTTATAGGAATATGTAGCACCTACAGGAAATCCCATCTGTCATATAAATGCACTTCATGAGTAACTATCTTATCGTAGTGGAAGTGGGGAATGGTGCTCTGTGGACCACAGGTAGGAAGTTCAGCTGCCCTATAAACCGTTTGACTATTTAAAATTGGAATGGTCAATGTTTATTGTATTTATTTAGAAAATATTTTACCAGGAAGGATACATTGAGATTTCTATCGTTTTCAAGTATATCCTGGGCCCACTAACACTGCATAATTAAATAGGGTACAACTTAATATTAAAAACACAAAATAAAATATGTTTGGAGTGCTCCTTAAAGAGGTTAAATTCCAGTTTTAAATGACGGCAACTTGAATTACCGTTCTATTCTTACACCTACATGAGAACAGAAAATTGACTTTTAGAAAGATGGCACAAGACGGTTGATAGCAATGGACTATATCTATACATGCAGTGATTATCACCAGGATATTACTTTACATTGCATTTACATAGGATACAATTGAAGTCACGTCAGGAGAAACCAGTAACATCAGTCATCAATGATGGAAGGCTTGTTGAGGTTTCAAGTGTCTGAAGACGTTACAATTAAAACAACAGTAGAACTTTTTGTTTTTTAATAAAAGCATGTTTATAAAAAAAAAAAAACAAAAAAAAAAAACATGTTTTTATAAACTGTTTTCTCTAGACTCCCTTAAAAATGCAAAACAAAGTTTTGGTAGGCTGTTGTGTACGTGGTTTTTGTTGTTGTTTTATTTTTAATGTCCTGTGGTAAATCATTCCAAGTGTATTGCAATATTCTTCATAACTCCTCTTTCGCCTGTCTGCTTTATATTCTTTTTCTTGTCTAAGGACCACACAGCTTTGGCTATATGGACATCATCGATCTGAGGAGGCCAATCAAATTGCATGAAGATATCAGAACTGCAAAGCGCTGCTCTTAATAGTATTGGCAAAGTCTTGGTATAATGGTTTTATAAATGTCTTTAAAAATATAAATAATGTTTTTTAGCATGAGAGCATACTGGGACAATTTTCAGAAGGTACATGATAGTTAATGAAAATCTATTAGATAATCCATTCTCAAGTCCATTGACTTTGTTTTCCCTTTGGCTGCAATGCTCTAAGATTACATAGAAAACCCTTGCCTCATACTTTTTGGCAAAAAAACAAAAAAAAGAAGTGTAATAATTGGAGTTCTAATTACTGTTCCATAAGACGTTCTGTCATGGATTTTAAGGAAAGGGTTCAGGTATGCCCCTAGCTGCCCCATTAATAAATTTGAGGCCTTTATTGACGTAAACAGATTCATGAGGAAGTTATGCCTAAAAAGGTTTTTTAATAAAAATAACTCACTAGAAAGTAATACAGAAGAGAATGCAGCCTTAGAATTAGTTGATAATGTAGGATGATTATGCACACCAATTTTAAGAAAAAAAAAAAAAAATCTACGTTCTACCCTCAACATTTTAAATCGCAGAGTATGCGAGTATTTGAAAAAGCATGTCTTGAAGAGTTATATAAAATAAAACCCCTCTCAAAATATCAAGAAAATATGACCTTGAAAGAAAAACAAATGCTTAAAAGCTTTAAACAAGACACCACAATTGTAATTAAACCGGCCGATAAAAAGGGGGGTAGTAGTCCTTGATAAAGAAGCTTATCTTAACGAAATAAGGAGACAACTTCTACTACCTACAAAAAGTTGAATACTACTACTACCTACAAAAAGTTGAATAAAAATCCCACTGCCGAAATAAAAATAAAATATAAAAATCTTTTAGCAGAAGGTCTCAATAATGAGGTATTAGACAAAAATGAGTTTGCATTCCTCCAGACAAAATATTCAAAAATACCTGTTCTGTATGTCTTGCCTAAAATACACAAAAGTTTGGATAATAGTCTATCCCAATTGTTTCTGGGATAGACTATTTTATCACAATTTATTGATTATTTCCTTCAACCTCTAGTGAGGACATGTCCCTCATATTTGCAAGACTCTGAGTCTTTTAAAAAATTTACAAGAACAAAAATGGGAAGAAAGCCTTTTATTGATTACCTGTGACGTTACAGACCTATACACAATAATTGAACACACAAAGGGAGTAGAGGCAGTCACTTTTTTAAATCAGTCCAAAGATTTTTTTTGATATTCAGATTGATTTTATTATCAAAGGAATACAGATGATTTTAACCAATATTTTTTTCTGGTTTGATGGCGATTTTTATCTACAACTCGAGGCACTTCTATGGGGACCAGGTTTTCCCCCAGCTATGCTAACTTGTTTATGTCCCACTGGGAAAATTCGTTTATATACCAGGGACATAGCTGGGGAGCAAACCTGGTCCTATACAGGCAATATATAGATATTTTTATTATTTGGAAAGGGTCTGAAGCATAATTTAATTCATTTTTTAATTATCTTAACCTTAATTAGTGGGGGATTAAACTCACCAAAAATGTAAGCTCAGAGACCATTGATTTTTTGGATCTCAACATCCATATTTCGGAACAACAGTTTAAGACCCGTACCTTTTTTAAACAAGTGGATATAAACAGTTTTATAGAAACCAGCAGTTGCCATCATGACCATTGGCTTCAGAATATCCCTAAGGGTCAATTTTTAAGAATAAAAAGAAACTGTTCAGATCAATCGGATTTTATTACACAGTCGTAACTTTTAAAAAAAAACTGTTTTTACAGAAAGGATACTGTGAGAAGAATCTCCAAAAAGATACAGACAATATAAAAGATTTAGATAGATCGCAATTGCTAAATTATAAAAGGAGAGATCAAAACATACAAGCGGAGCAAATTCCACAGATTTTTAACTATTGTAGCAATATTGGGACATTAAAAAGAATTATAAACAAAAATTGGAATATTTTAAAACAGGACCATGACATCCATAATTTTATTGGTGATAACCCTAAATTCATTTTTAGAGGGGAAAAACATTTTTAAAAAAATTTAACGTCCAACTATGTAGAAAAACAAAAGGAGAGCAGTAATTTTTTAACTAATTGGTCTAAAACAGCGAAAGGATTTTATCATTGTGGTAACTGTTATGCTTGTAAAAACACTAATGTAAGTACTAAAAAGAAAGATAATTTTACATCTAATATAACAAAAAAAAAAAGGTTTAACATCACTTCTTTTATTCCATGCGATTCCAGCAATGTTATATACTTGCTACAATGTACTTGCGGTTTACAATATATAGGGAAAACCTCTAGACCCCTAAAGACAAGGATATACGAGCATGTCAGAAATATAAAAAATGGTTTTACAAATCACAATGTATCTAACCATTTTTTAGTTAAACATAAGTCAAACCCTGAAGAAATAGAATTTACAGCAATCCAACAAGTTCAAAATCATTGGAGAGGGGGTAATACTGCTTTTAATTTAAGTTAAAAAATAATCTAGTTGGATTTTTGAACTTCAGACATTATGCCCTAAAGGGTTAAATATTGACTTTGAGATAGGTCCTATTTTATAACAATTTCTTATTATTTTATTTTTCCATCAAACCATATTTTATGTTTTTACTTAATATTCTGTATTTTATAATCAATTGAATATATATTTTTAATCTTTATTTCTTATTGAAGATTACTGTATTTGTTACTTATTTTTTGGGGACTAATACCAAATTATCCTATCTTTCATTGCCCTTCAGTTTTCCCTTTTCTAATATGGCTTCTATATGGACTTGGACTAGGAACTCCCTTGGCTCTCTTCTCCTCCCCTGATGATTTATCAATATGAGAGAATATGTTCCTGCACGGCCACCATAAATGGCGCCGGTGTGACGAAACCAGAAGTGACGATTTCCGGAAATGGCGAAAACCGGAAATGACGAATCGGAATGAGCCGCAATGTGCGGCCATGTTGAGAAGGACAAGAACAATACATACAGACCAGAGGATGCGAGCGGACATATTGGAGGAGGCAGAAATACAAGAAAAAATTGTTTGCTATATATAAATGATGATTGATGCAGTTGTAACTACACATGCACCTGAGGAAGACCCATTGCAATGGTTCGAAACGCATTGTGCTTTTTATTTTGTATTAATAAAAGTATTTACTATAGATTCATCTGGCTACCTGGTTCCTGATCCATTCTACAGAAGACTGCAAACACCTTCTGAGGGGACCGAGCACAGATATATCCACATCTTATTGATATATTCCGCTTTCATAGCTTAGAGCAAACTTAGAAATGCTCTAAAGATTGTGAGTTCTCCCAAGTCTTTCATTTTTAACATTTGGTGTCTAAATGTACTACCCTATGTTGGTTTTCTGTATCTACAGAGCCTAGGGATTACCTACATAACCCTGGAGTTATATCAAAATTGTGCAATCACCTTTTCTCCCGTTTTGCTATAAGGATTGCAGTGAAACAAGACTACTGGATGAATTGAAAATATTTTATGGAGTGCAATCATTTTTTTTTTTACTTCCCTACAAATGTTTGTGCACATTTCTGAAAATACAACTTTTTAGAGTTGAAGTCAGTACTTTGGTGTCAAGACTTTGCCGATAAAAGACAAGCATGTCCATCTCCAAAAAGTTATGAGAATTAAGCAGTGTTTATCAGATGTTGGTAGACTTGTAGGTCTTCCAGAGTTTTCTTTATTTAACTAATCTAGCTTCTTACAAATGTCTCTACACTAGTTTGAGCACCACACTGTGAACAGCTGGTTAAGTGGGCTGATGCTTGCCAAGAATTGCCTTATTGAAGCAAGGCCATTTTTAGGAGGTCAAATATCGTAGCAACTTTTAATCCGGGTACCTTAGGCATTCTATGTACAATTTAAATCCATGTCCATTTGTTAGTTTCCATCAAGGGACTCAACTTATTGAGTACTGAGCGCCCTGGACTGTGGCTCTGCCTAAAGCTGAACATAGCCTGGTTCACTAAGCAGTGAACAGGGTTACGTGAACTGATAGCTGCTGTGGTACTTGCTATCAGTGTTTAAAATGACTGAAACTGCTCTAAACACTGATAGCAAGTACCACAGCAGCTATCAGTTTCACATAACCCAGAACACTGTTTAGTGAACCAGGCTTTAGGCAGAGCCACAGTCCAGGGCGCTCTCTTTCCTGATTCTAACCCCCATTATTGCCCCTAACCCCCCTCTACAGCCCCCAGCCCCCATTACAGGTCCCAACAACACTCTTGCCCCTAAGCAACCACTTCAGCCCCTAACCCCCAATACAGCTCAAAACACCCCAGTATTGCCTCTGATCAACCAATACTGCCCTTGACCCCTCCACTACAGGTCCTGACCCTCCACTACTGCCCCTCACCCACACACAGGTCCTGACCCCCCACAACAGCCTCTTACTCCCACCTCTGAGCCCCACTACTGCCCCTTATACCCATTACAGCCCCTAACCCCCACGTACTGCCTGTGATCCCAATCAACAGCCCATCACACACCACTACAGTTCCTGACCACCCCCCTTTAGTCGATAACCTACAGTGCTGCCCCTATCTCTGGCAGCTGCCTTTAAACCCCCAATACAATTGGAGCTAACACTGATTCTCCCTTCCCATCTTATGCTAAATGGAAATTCCTCTACTTTTTACATGTTTTTCTTACACCTCACACATTGCCACACCTATCACTTACAGTGGCCCCAACTTTTCACTCATCGCTACTCACACAGCTACACATATCACTCACATCTACCCACAGTCACAGCTATAAACAGAGCCAAATGCAAAAGAATAATAAGCGCTCTCTTCTCAGGGGTGAGCAGCAGTTCACCAACAAGGTGTTCCTCTACCTTGTGATAAATGGACAGATAAAATAGAAAGGTGAACAGCGCTAAAAATCAGAATATACCTGGGTCCACTATATCCCAAGGTGGGGATTATTCCACCTGAAATTCTCCAAACTAGAGCAGGTCGTTGCTCTAGTATATAAATCCATAGACGGGGATTATTCCGTCCAGGCTCTTAACACCGAGCTGATATAGCTCCTCAAAGTTTACTCTGCTGGCCAGTATTTCTACAAAACGTATGTACATTTTCTGATTTTTAGCGCTGTTCACCTTTCTATTTTATATAAACAGAGCCAGCCTTATACATCACGCACAGAAAGCCACAACAAACACCTAACACATAGATACTACACTTATAGCCACCCTACACAAGACACACACCCACACCACACATCCACTCAACAATTAAATAAATATTCACTTTACATAACATTAAAAAAATAACATAGGGGAATAATTTCCTGATACACATCCTATTGAAATGCACTGCACATCCCTATGCGCAGCACGTGGTGGCTTTACTGGAATCTGGGCAAATAAGTGGAGATTGGCGGGTCATATGGTTGTAATGTCATAACTTGGGGGGGCCAGCAAATAATTTTTTTGCCTAGGGTGGAAAAAAATCGTTCCACCAGCCCTAGTGCCATGCATGGAAAATAGGCTCCCCAATGCTTCTCTATGGGTCTAAATCTAAAAGATTAAGAAGAAACTAACATTAGAATATATATTTCTAACATTAAGAATGTGCCTCTAACAAAAAAATCTTTGATTCATTTCTTTACAAAAACTAAAAAAATATTACTAGATTGTTTAAACTATGCGATAAGACAGACATGGTCAACAAATAACACAATGCAGTATGCAACTTGTCTCCAGCAGTACCAGTAATGGTTGAACTATAATGTAGCCTTTTGTCTAATGCATAATACTGTAGGATTTATTTTAGATTACAATAGAAATATGTCTGGACTCCAGTTTAATCAGTAACACAGCCGACAGGGATTATTAGATTTCCTAATTCAGTGCTAGGCCAGAAGGGAGTTGAAGAATGAGAATGGTTTAAAGCAGAGATCAGATAAAAAGTTATCATCACATTATTTCAGTTTTGTTATTTCTGAAATAAACCTGTTAATTAATAAACAGGCAAACAATTCACTCTGTTACACACTATGTATGTAAACATTAAACCTTGGTGGTGAAATCATGCAAGTAATTTGCATATAATGTTACACCCCCCACCCCCCCCCACCAGCTTTTTTTAAAGCTTTATTTCGTATGTAAAAATGGTTAAAAACGTTACTTATTTAAGAGAGACCAAAATCAAGGAAACATTGTGTGGAACACAAATCACACTGTAGGATTAGGAAGTACTGCAACACAATAATAATCATTATTATTAGTAAAAATTCAGTTTTAGAGTATGGCTAAATAAACTCCATTGATTTGTACACCACGAATGGATTTTTGAAACAAGTTTGGTTGGTCCACAATAAATTTGCATAGCTCCTAAATTTACACACCAACCCCCAAGGTTTAAAGTGCCCCATATTTCCAGAGATAACTTACACTGAAATCGCAGAGCCGTGACAAGTTACAGGGAATCCATGAAGGCTTTTCTTTATCCATTTCCAGCCAACAGATAATCATTTATTAAGAAGTCTAGGTTCTATAACCAGGACATACTTGAAAATGAGAAAAATCTCAATGTATCCTTCCTGGTAAAATATTGTATAAATACATAAATACACATTTAGTAGTTGGTATGATACCATTAGGCTTCATGAGCCACCCAGGGTTCTTTGCAAAAGTAACACAAACATTGCCATTGAACTAATGGCACCGTATCCAAGGTAGCCATCAGAAATCATGGGGCTCCATACAGAAACATTCTGAGAAGCCCCTGGCATACCCTTAGACATGCGCACACGTACAGACATGTATTTGCAGACACAAACAAGCACAGTTACACACATTCCCAGATATACATTGCCATAACACACTCAAATCCCTACTTTTAACTACCCTCCTGTGTGCATACAGCTTGGCTGCAGGATGGTAGCTTACCAGTGGGAGTTCCCTGTAGCAGTGGGGAAGCTCCCCTATTCACAAGTTTAGCAGTTTGTGCAATGGGAAAAAGTTATATGAAATTACTTCCTGTTTACTGTGAAAAAAGATAGTGTGCATAGCAAGGATGTTCAGGGGCCTAAGTCAGTGCAGCTCCTATCGAGATCTGGTTTGGAGGGGGGGGGGGTGAGATAGAAATATTGGCTGAGAGTGGCATCTCAGATTATCTCAGCCAAGGAGGCAGATCGGGGGGAGCCAAACATCATGCTGGCCATTAAAAGGACCACTCTAGGCACCCAGACCACTTCAGCTTAATGAAGTGGTCTGGGTGCCAGGTCCAGCTAGGGTTAAGAGAAACTGCTATGTTTATAAATGGGTTAATCCAGCCCTCAAATCCTCTCATTGACAGCCGCTAGAGGCGCTTGCATGATTCTCGCTGTGAAAATCACAGTAAGAACACACAAGCGTCCATAGGAGACCGGCTGAATGTGTGCGCAGCTCTTGCCGCGCGTGCGCATTCAGCCGAAAGGAGAGGAGGAGGATCGGAGGCGGAGAGCTCCCCGCCCGGCGCTGGAGAAAGGTAAGTTTTAACCTCTTTCCTCTCCCCAGAGCCCAGGGGGAGGGGCACCCTCAGGGCACTCTAGTGCCAGGAAAACGAGTATGTTTTCCTGGCACTATAGTGGTCCTTTAAGCATCTCCTCATAGACATGCATTGAAACAATGCATCTCTATGGGAAAATTTTAGCGTCTCCATGCAGAGCGTGGAGACACTGAACGTAGGTGCTGCACCCAGGAAGAACCTATAGTGGTTGTCGGAGTAAATGCCACTCGAGATGTGCCTAGGGAGCAATGTAAACACTGAAAAGACATTATTTACATTAAAATGCCTGCAGAGACTTACTATACTCACCAGAACAACTACATTAATCTGTAGTGACTATAGTGTCCCTTTAATATATATATACACACAACTGAACGACCCCTTATGTCCTGGTAGACTACAGTAGCACATTTTAAGACTGAGGATATGATAGCAAGCCAAGCTAAAAGGAAAGTTTCCCTCCCTTATACTACACCACTTTCTCAAAAGCTTACATTTTGAAAGATATGCTTTATATTTACAAAACCATTACAGCATATGTTAGCTCATGTTTTCCATTACAGCTTGTAATCCTGTTATATTGATTTGGTTATGTATTTTTCAATTTCCATGGTATCAAAATGTAAACAAAACTACACAGGTGAGCTAAAAGGAACAGGTTTGAGTCCTAAGTGGGGATTTACCAAAGGGCAAGTGATTACATTGTATCCATATTCTCCAGAACTGGCACCCAAAAAGCCCCAAGTGAATACCTTCTTCCTTGTTTAATGATTGTGCCAGCCCTTAAAAGAACAGGTCAAAAACAGTAGAAAGAATAAATGAATGTCTTCCGCCTATAAAACAAATAACAGCAGGGCCATTCACTTAAAAGGGACACTATAGTCACCAGAACAACCACAGCTTAATGTAGTTGTTCTGGTGAATATAATAGCTCCCTTCAGGCATTTTCATGTAAACACTGCATTTTCAGAGAAAAGGCAGTGTTTACATTGCCCCTAGGTACACCTCCAAGTGGCCACTCCTTAGATGGCCACTGGAGGTGCTTCCTGGCTCAGGGCTGCACAGTAAGCCCTGCCGTTCAGCATCCCCACGCTCTGCATGGAGACGCTGAATTTTCCTCATCTCTCTACGAGGCGGTCCTGATTGGCCAAAAGGCATTTGGCCCCACCCCAGTGCCGATTTTAGCCAATCCAACATGGGAAAGCATTGGACTGGCTAAAAATCGGCCATTTTGATGATGTCACAATGGTGCGGAGCCAGCACCGGCCTACCTGCGCGGCGCTGGAAATAGGGTGAATTTTAAACCTAAATGGTGGCTTTAGCACTATAGTCTGTGGAAATAGCATACATTGTTCTTGTACATTAGTACATTGTTCCCTTTAACATAATAAATACACATACACAGGCGATATTTGAAGAATAGGAAAAAATAGAAAAAGAAAATGAAACCATTTCACATTGTCTGATTAAAAGAGAGAAGGGGAAAAAAGCCTTCGGCAAAGACAGGTGTGAATATTTACATAGAGGTCTCAAAACATGACCCTGGCCTGTCCTTTAAAACTCAACCTACCAGAACACCAAATCCCACATTAAATGTAAATGATTTCCATAATGATGGGATTAACCTGCCTCAAACCACTAAACCCATTAAACATTTTGTAACAATAACGTCTTTACAGCTCAAGCGCCTGGAATGTGCTCATATTACACTGAGAGTCAGCACAGTGCAGTGTAAACTTTAACCTACTGGTGACTATCAAAAGGTTAAAAGAGTAGGCAGGGACAACTTGAATCTCATTGATGCAGACAGGCTAGTACAGTTCAGCTCTTTAAACTATTCACCTGTAGCACACGTGGTTTTGATCAGAATATATTCATAAGTAACAGATGCACAGTGCAGAGGAATGGTTTAATAGGAACATATATTTAGGAATAAACCAATTTTAAAAAGTTAGAGTCATTTCAGCGCAGTCAGGGACAGTCACCTTCCTGCAACTGATCCTCCTTCAGTGAAATACGGATTAATTTGTTCAATAAAAGGCTTCTTATAGACAAACGGTGGGCACATAGGATGTGTGTGCAGCAATCGCCACCATTAGCCAATCCCTATGAAATGCATTAGCAGTGTTTGACATCATCAGGTTTCTAAAGTATGGCTGGCATGGAGTCATGGGGGTCACAGTAGAATGGCTGGTGAATTCAAGGTTTGCTGTAAAGCACAAATTCAATTACACGTAGAGCTATATGTACTGGTGTCAGGAGCTCTGTCATAATGTGTTTGGAAGTGGAAATATTACCATAAATGCAGCAAACTAGACCCGCTCCCCTAAATTAATCTCTCAATGTTGGTATGCATGCATCCGACAATGTCTTCCTGTCACAAACTTCAAGCAGTCTTCAGATGAAAAAAATAAGAAACTACATTTATTAATTTATTTACCTTCTGCTGGTTTATAGAATGGATTAACCTCAAATAGAATTGGGTGTAATATGTACATTGTCGTGGTCAACATACCCCTGGCCCCTCAAACTAGCACTCCGTGGCTGACGTCTGGCACCACCATACTGCACGTGCTGGTGTCAGATGATTTACATAAGCCCCAATGCCGTGGTCAGAGGCAGAGTTACACCTTCGGAAGTAGAAGATTTACTAGGAAACTCTGCACATAAGGAGTTTAAATTCTGCACATACAGACCTCAGGCACCATGACCACTTCTAATCACTAAGAGATCATGGTGCCTTGAGTAACCCTTTTGAGCAGCGTTGTCACGGTCTGGAGTATTTACATATTTTGCAAAGACTCCCAATGGTTACTGCTCTACTTGCAGTGCAGTGGTCAGGGGGTGCAAGAAAAGGTGAGTTTTACTTACCCAAGCCTGCCCCACGTGGCTGCCGCTATCCTCATCTGGTCTGTCTTCCTCAACTCCTGGCTCTCTATCTGCTGGGAGCCCACATCGAGCAATAAGTACAACACTTAGATGTATGGAGGATTCCACAAGATCCTCCATCGACCATGCTTTTTTGCCTCCAGCCATTACTAGTAGAGAGTAATTACAAAACATGATAGTGGTAGCTCTGCCTTTTGTCAGGTTTTAATCAGTCATTGGTAATATACTAAGGTAATGTATACACCAAGACAAAGTAGCGCCTAATTTATCTTAGGATATCTTTTGACTGTGTTGGAATTTCACTAATTTTTGAGGTGACAGGAAAGGAGTGACAACCACTTTAAATAAAAGCTTTTTAAAAGTACATATTAAGTTGACTGAAGGGTCAAGTCCGTCTCGAACTGCATACTCAGATTTTTTTTTAGTTTTTTTACCTACACTACCCATAATTCTCTGCCCATCACAAACAGCATGAGACAAATACATGGACTAACTAATGAAAATACGTATTTGAGTGACTACCTTAACTTGAAGCAGATGTAGAGTCAATTGTATCAAAAGTAGTCCGCAGCATAGCATTTTTTATATAATGGTTCTAAGCCCTCACCTCCTGGTAGTCAGAAAGATGGTTTATCTTCAAGGAAACAGCAATTAAAAGATACGGCAACTGGAATCACGACTCTACCACTGCTCATTCAAACTTAACTCCTTTATTGTAGACTTCAAATAATCATTAGTGAGATACAGCGGTCTATGGCGCATGGCAAACCCCACCACAATGTTTAAGTCTACAATACAGGAAGTCATTTTGTATTTTGGATGAGCATTGGTGGATTCCCGATTCCAGTTTTTATTAATAACTATATAGTCCATACACACACTAGTACAAGTTTACTTAGGGAGGCAATGTAAGTAGAAACTCTAAAAAAACAGCCATTTTTTGTATTCTTTGTAGAGATGTAACATAAATGTAGTTTTTTTTGTTTGTTTGTTTTTTAAATCTACAGCCATCTATGAGAGTTTATTTACTACCCCTCTTTCTTAATTCTAAAAGGTAGTCTCTAATCCTCGTGAACTATGAAAGTGAGGATTAAAAGCTCACTCTGTCTCTTAAGAAAGCATTAGCCATTAATTACATGAGCAGATTGAAAGAAAACATAGCCTACATGCCAAAAGATGTTACAGCTGTGGGCCTGGTCCCAAGGGGACTACAGACAGCCAGCTGTGGCAAAGTGATGTCATCAGGAACCAATCACAATGCCTCCGGCCAACAGATGTCTGGCGAAAAGACTTGTTACAGGATGGAGCTTTCATTAAAAAAAATTATTTTCTCCAGAACCAGACAGTATATCTCACAAATGATGAAAAAGGGATAGTTACAATTGCCTATTCCACCAAAAATATTTAGTTCTTATCTTTGATATTTATTGCACCTTTTAGTCTGGGTTGTAAAGGAACTGTTCATGAAGATAGCTTTGGCAGACTAAATTCCAATGACTATATACAAACCTTTCTCTAGAGCAGGGCTTGACAAATTTGTTTGGAATCTAGGAGCCAGCTAAAAAAGTTAGGAGCTAGTTTTTTCAAAACTAGCGAAGTTTAATTTACGAGAAATATACAATTCTTAAAGGGAAACTATAGTCACCAGAACCACTACAGTTTAATGTAGTTGTTCTGGTGCCTGTAGCCTGTCCCTGTAGCCTTTTCAATGTAAATACTGCCTTTTCAGAGAAAAGGCAGTGTTTACATTGTCACTAGAGGTGTTACTAGGCCGCAGTCACTCAGACGCTACTAGAGAGTCCTTTGTTGGACCTTGGTTCAGCGTATCCACGCTCTGCATGGTGGTGCTGAATGTTACCCATAGAGAACATGCGCAATATCCTCCCAATGCTTTCCTATAGGACAGACAGACAGGGAAAAACATATATCTCTATCACGCAGGAAGAGCAGCCCCACCAGACCCCAGGGAAAGTCCACTCAGCTCTCCCAAAGGTTGGGGGGCTTAAAATGGAAAGTGTGTGTGTGTGTTTTTAAATATATATATTTAGATATAATATACGTTATTGATCATATAGGATACAACCAACGTCGTCACCATCTTCCTTTGGGTCTTATGATATTTTTTCCATGTTCTAGGTTACATCAAGAATTACAAATACCAACATCTGGGGACAACAAGCCACCATGAAGCAAGTTAAAATGGTGCCATAGCAGGGTTAATACCCTTCTAATGGCAACCACTAGAGGCACTCTGTGCAGTAAAAGCACTTCCTGTGTTCTTTGAGTGAAACTCGGTCATGTGATGTCAAACATCCATGGAGATGTTGAACGTCATCAAACAGCTCATAGGAAAACATGGTCTTCTATGAGAAGCATTTGATTGGATGTCCGCGCGTTGCTCACTATGCACCGTGTCCCCAATGCTCCTCCATGAAGAGCATTGGATTAGACAATCGTCGAGGAAGCGATCCCTTACTGATGAGGTGACAGTAGGCGGAACGAATAGCAGCGCACAGGGAGAATAGGCGCTGGAAAATAGGTAAGCAAAACCATTTATTTTTTTATAAAGTAAATTGTATTCCTCTTGAGAGGGGATCAATCTTATTTGGGACTAGGGCACATAGTGTGTATTCCCAACACTATAATGTTAATTTTGTATATATTTTGGTACAAACGCCATTAAGAAATGCATATTCCCCTTTTTCAGTTACGCAATTCAACTGAGTTTCAATTCTTTGTCAGTGCGTTACACTGTTTCCACACATTTGAATGCAGAGATTTTAGCTACGAACATATTAAAATGAGAAATAAAAGAAAAAGAAAAGTCAAAAGTTGAAGAGGTCTTATTTCAATTCAGTGGGTGTGTAAGGAATGTATGCTGACTTGTTGAGACACTCAAACCAGGCCTGTTTTAAAGGGAAACTCCAGTGCCAAGAAAACAATCCGTTTTCCTGGCACTGCAGGTCCCCTCTCCCTCCCACCCCCAATCCCTGGTTGCTGAAGGGGTGAAAACCCCTTCAGTATTTTACCTGAGTCAGCGACGATGTCCCACATCGCTGCTTCTTCCTCCGCCGCTGCTCCTCCCAGTGATTGCGTAGGCCAGTGGGCGAGACTGATCCCGCCCACCGGCCGGGGAGACCTAATGCGCATGCGCGGCAATGCCGTGCATGCGCATTAGTGCTCCCCATAGGAAAGCATTGAAAATGCATTTCAATGCTTTCCTATGGGGAAATGAGCGATGCTGGAGGTCCTCACACAGCATGAGGACGTTCAGCGATGCTCTAGCACAGGTTTCTTGTGCTAGAAACCAGGAAGTGCCCTCTTGTAGACAGCCACTAGAGGTGGAGTTAACCCTGCAATGTAATTATTGCAGTTTATAAAAAACTGCAATAATTACAGTTGCAGGGTTAAGAGTAGTGGGAGTTGGCACCCAGACCACTCCAATGGGTATAAGTGGTCTGGGTGCCTGGAGTATCCCTTTAAGTGTTTTTCTGCTTTTTTTTTTTTTAAATGGTCAAAAAATTATACAACTCAACACTTATGTAAACCAATTAGTAAAAATTAAGAGGAAAAAGGCCTATTTAGGTGCCTTGCATGGGTCATAGTGCAAGAAGCTACTGAATATTGTCAGGTCATCTTATTTTTGAATTTTCATTCACAAATGGCTAGTGGCTTAATCCTCTCCTGCATTTCCCTCCAAATCTGACACATGGCAAACGCATACTCAGACCATGCAGCTCCCAACTAAAAGGTGCATGTGATCTTTAAAAGAGAACACTATAGTGTCAGGAATACAAACATGTATTCCTGACACTGAAGGTTTGAAACCCTGGTTCAAAAGGTGCAAAAAAAAAAAAGAAAGAAAAAGAAAAAACACCTTTTTTCATAAATGTATGATTTCAGACAATACAATGCTTCACATAGGCAAAATGTCAAGCTACAACAATCAGCATCTCCTCATTGAGAGCCATTGAATCAATGCATCTTTAAGAGTAAAGTTTAGTGCTTCCATGCAGAGCATGGAGATGCTGAACATCAGTACTGCACACAATGCAGAGTGCGGAGTGAGTGACTGCCAATAGAGGTGTTCATGGGCAGTAATTTAAAGCAGTGTTTACATTAAAAATCCTGCAGAGACAGGCAGTAGACACCAGGACAACTACATTAAGCTATGTTCAGGAGACTATAGTGTCCCTTTAAATATACCGTAAAAGATGGCTTAAAAGGGGCACTCCAGACTCCTAAAGCACGTTAGCTTGCTGAAAAGCTTTATGTGTAAAGAGTATGTTCCATTTTTTTCATTTTGGAAAAAGTGCAGATTTCAGTAGAAATTGACACCTTTATAAGTTATACTGGTTATACCCCCTGGCTTTCTGGTTTGGTTAACTCGGTTGCACTCAACTCAAGAGGCAGCAATCGCCCAGAGCACCTGCCTTGCAAAGACTTCTCATTGAGCTGCATTGGGAAGTCAGTGATTGGACAGCCACAGAAAGACTAGGTGGGGTTAGAAAAGGAGGGTTGCACAGGCAGTAGACAAGAGAGAATTACAGGTTTTGCAAGCGTTTTTTTGATATAACTACAATTTTAAAATTGCATAATTAAATACATGCAAGTTTCAATTTAGGGTATATCTACTAAACTGTGATTTTTATTTATTTTGTATTTAGACTGTTGAGTGTCCCTTTAATGTTGCAACACATCATTGTAAAAATAAATAATATATATATATATATATATATATATATATATATATATATATATATATATATAAAAATAAAAAGAACGATCACATAAATATACAACATTTTACATTTTGTAAAGTCCTACGGAATCTGTTGGCGCTATACAAATGGCAATAATAATAATAATAATAATAATAATAATAATACATGGGGTTCTTTTGCTTTCTGGTTTATTAGGACCTTCTAAAATTACTCCAAAACTGGAAAAGGAACTCAAAACATCGCATACACAAAGAAAAACAGCAGTCAGCTGCTTGAGACTGGCTTTTAATTATACATTCTCATCAATCTGCCTGTTTGCTTTCTGTCTAGTCTTACACTTTGGTACAAGGCACTGCAGTACTCAGCTAGGAGTTAACATCTGTTTCACAATGTAAACACCACTTTACAAAATACTCACATATACCAGAGCTGGCAAGGGAGTCGCACAGGTTTAGGTTGAGCGGTGACAAGAATATAAATAAAAATTAAAAATATCACGCGAAGAGAAAGCAGCGAAGCAACAGCTGCAAAATCCATTGAAAATCAAGACGTGTACATTCATTCACCTTAACCTATCCTTGACTAGTTGATACCAATCACGGATAATATTTATGGATTTCTGTAGTTAGTATAGTTAATTCTGCACAAATAAATTTTCTTCTTGTGAAATTGAGTCAAGGAATTTGTACTGGAAGCGACAATTCTTGCTTAAATTCTGACATAACAGCAATGAAGCTTAACCAACAATGTTATTAAAGGGACACTATAGTCACCAGAAAAACTACTGCTTATTAGGTTTAAACAGAACAGAGCAATGTTTAACAATAAGGGTTATAGTTGTACTAAGCAAATATACATTGAGCAAAAAAAAGACTGCCAACAGACTTTTTTTGCACAGAATTAACATTAGGTAGTCCAGAACAAAGTTCCAAGCTTTCCAAGTCATGTGTCCCAGAGGTGTAAGTAGCCACCTACACAAAAGTGCAAATATTTCAAACAGAAACGCTGCATACAGATTCCTGCCAGCATGACTACTTCTAAAAGCAAAAGCGGTAACGGTGGTTGGAGTAACCCTTTAAAATGGAAATGATGGGGCTATGCATAAAAAGTGTTCCTGAGAAGTAGTCTACAGTACAAAAAAGCGAGACAGTCACCATGCAAACGATTGGAACCATTCGGTTGGTGACTCAATCCTGTTGCCATGTTTTGCACCACTTTTCAGTACAGACAATTTTTATCTAGAATTCCCCATTTGTTTTTTTTAATATCTTTATCATATAAATACAACTAGGAAACTAATTTACTGCTGGAATCTCAGAGATGTGCTGTGTAGCATCCTCAAAGAGTTTATCAGCCTTACATACCTACAATTGCAGATCATTTTAAAATTAACCTTTTATTCTTTGAAAGAGCCAGAACTGGAGAATAAAAAAAAAGGGGGAGGAGATTAGTAAGAGTTAAAGAGGAACATACATAGTAATGTTTTACTGGTGTATGTCTAAAGTCCCATCAGCTGTAAGCCACTGGCCATTGCAGAGTAATTGCCCATTTTACTCCACTACAGCATTTATAACTATTAAGCGATACAAAAGTTCCAAAAAAAGTTATATAAAAGGATAAAAAAAAAAATCCCTCACATGAACTGTCAAACTGGAGAAGCAAAGGCTATTTAAACTATTTACATAGCTTCTTACTACATGTTCAGTGTGGATTTTGGGCAGGAACGTGAATAGTATGTACGTCTCACATTGTGTAATGTAACTAGACATGTTCTTCTTTATGAATAAAGTATGATAATAAATAGGACACATCAAAGTGTAAGGGTTACCGAGAGGTTAGACGAGGAGTGACTAAATAAAAGAACTAAATAGCGGAACACATTCAGTATTCAATGAAAGCAGTTTAACAACATAGTTCCAATATTGTATCAAAAGCAGTAAAGGGAGTAGTCGCCCAGATGGGATATGAAACCAGCTATAGATTTCCAAACATATCATCGTGCTTTGTTTAGCAAGTCACAATAGACATATAAGCCTCCAAGCTCTTAAACGCACTGTGCGAATGAGAGGGAGAGAAACTTACTGTATTTCAAGTTCTTCTGGGCACTTTGTTTGGTATTCTTGATGTAAAAGGAGTATTTGGTTATATAGAAGAAATCATTTATGCTTGGGGGAGAGGCGGATAAAGTCCAAAACCCCTTTACCAAAAAATGTCCACACCTGAGCTTAGACCATAAATCTATAAGTACACCATACACGTTTCTTCAAGAATATATGAATAAATGTGGAAAACAAAATGTAAGCCACAAAATATGTTATATGGCCTCCATGTTTTATGTATAACAGCTCGCTATAGACATCTAAAATTTACATGAAAATTAACAGATCAAACATGGCCATCAAATAAAAGAGGTGGAGGAGTACATATATGTTTAACAAGTTGTAATATAGTTCAGGAGTGAAATAAATGTAAATTTACGTAATTGAAGGACACCATTAAATAGACACGTCAGACTCTCAAGGCACTTCAGCTTGCTGACGCTCTTTATGGGTGAAGAGTGTGTCCTTTCCCCACCCCCCTTTTTGAAAATAAATAATAATGATAATAATATTTTGACAAATATCCATGGCCAAATTACTTCCTTCGTCATTGAAACCAAACTGAATATACTTCACAACATAACTTGACACAGATTTCTAGCACAAGTGGTTTTGTAAAAGAAGATGTCTGGAAACGAAGATGTCTGCCATGTGACCTACAAGACACTTATTTGATGGAAAAGAAGAACGAAAAAAAAAAATTGATTTTCAAAATACTGTAATGACATTGTTGTAATTTATCTGTTGCTTTGGATACAAACAAAAATTGAATTGTACTACACAGCGTAAAAGCACTACAAGCTTTATAGTGTAACTGTCTCCCCTCCGAAAGTTACAGCTCTTCATTCCCTTACCCATGGAAATGCAATTAAATCATACAGAACAGCAGCAGAGACAATAACTGCATTTACCTGGGCAGCACTGTTGCCAGGGCAATGTCATTGTGCTACGATGCTCTGGGTGCATATGTTTATAAATGCAACACACATGCATGGGAGAAAATTTCTTGCACAATCTTGTATTTTCCCAAAACCCCCTGGGTTACATTAATTCACAATCTGTGCTCTACATACAAAACCATGTATGCAAAAAATATGCAACTTGCTGTCTTGTGAACTAGATCGGTTCAAGGGAAGTGGCTGCTACAAACCAGTGTAACGTTAAGTGACCTTAATGGTGTCCTTCAATGAAATAAATTTGCATTTATTTCCCTACTATATTACAACTTATTAAAAACCATATACTCTCAACCATATAAGTACCAAAGGTAATATAGGGATCACAGGTCACAAAAGGTCGATGGCCATTTTGAAACTGATTTTTTTTTTTCATAAAAAAATAAATAAAAATAAAAAGTAAAATCACAGCAACAATAAAATATTTAGCATAACCTGTTGGTAACTTCTAGTTAGCTAAAGGTTTGAGCCAAAACCCCAACAGTAGCAGTATCGCTTTACTTTTTTTTAATTTTTGAAAAAACAAAAATTAAACCAAAACACAACACCCTGCTCCCAAGTCTAAAACCAGCACTTTACAACGTTGACCTTGATCCATTCTAGTCCATACATAATAAGAGCAGTGTTCCAATTATACAATATTGCTTTATGGCATTAGAATTAAGGATTAGCCTTTAGAATTGTACAACTAAAAATCAACTTAGAAAAAAACTAAAATTAAACCAAGGGAATGCGCAATGCCTGAAACCTATAAATGTTATAGGAATGCACAATGCCATGAGATGCTTTGCATGTAAAGGTTTTCATGCCAAGCATTAGTCCGTGCTGGCCTTTGAATTAAACATTTTCATGTTACATGATACAGCACAGTAAAAATGCCCATTGCATCTGCTGACTTTAAACCACCAACATTCGCCTCCGGTTAGGAAATAAACACAAAAGGCAAATAACTACCTGCTGCTAAGTACCTCTCCTGGTACCTACATAACCCTCACTCAAAGGCTGAACAATAAACACACACACATATAATGGAACCCTTAAAATAAATGCTTGATAACAATGAAGGAACCAAAGCTTACCAGAAACAGAGAAGACATGGTCCTGCCTAGGCTCTCTCTAGGACAATCTGACACAATGACTGGGCAAGGGGGCTACTTAAAGTGGTCAGCTATTTTTAACAATGTCATTAAAGGGGGAGGAAGGAGGGAATTCCACAGCAAATGTCCAGCAGTGAAAGACATAAGAGGGAGTTCTGCATATGGCCTCTTGATGACTTAAATTGCCATTGATGATCCAGAGTTCTTTGAAGACTGATCTATATTAAAACATTGTAGCTATTATTTCTTTTAACTCTCACTAGCCCTACTTTAAGTTGTTTATCTGTGCGTACATCCTGTTGTAATTAGATCATCCAGGAACACTATTTAGGTCCAGTTTCAGTTGCAGGGATAATAGTCACTGCTCCAATACAGAAAAAGAACATCTATCTGTAAACATAATTAATATAAAGTGAAATTAAACAGTGATAGAATCTCGCCATTGAGTAAGCAAATTTGGAAGCAGTATCTAATTCTGTAGGGTAAAATGAAAAGAAAAATTAACTTAAAAAAAAAAAAAAAATCAAGAAAAGCCTCAAACACAGGGTCTGAAAGATTGTTTCCACACATCTCCCAGAATACCATGCAAAAAACAGCTAGGCCACTTTTACAAATTTTCAATGCACTCTCTCAATAAAACCATTAATAACATATTGTCCCAAATAACCACTCTCAAACATCATACTCTGCCCCAGAGATGGACAACACCTCTAAATAGAATGTCAAAGGGTTTTCTTTTATTTAGGGCAGAGATCTATCTTTGTTTACTAATTATGGTGAAAGTTATTTACCCTTGGTGTCACTATAACTCACTCCTAGCAAGTAAGCTCATTGAGCAGGGCTCTCAATCCCACTGTTCCTGTGCGTCCACTTGTCTGGTTACAAATACATTTCTTTTAGTCCACCCATTGTACAGCACTACGGAATTTGCTGGTGCTATATAAATAATAATAATTTGGTTATAAGCTTCCAGACACCAGTACAGGGGATGGATAGGTGGGATTTCAGGCCTGTACCTATAACCTCATCTGCTAACCTCTCCGGACCTTGATGATTTTCCCTTTTTGTGCACTACAAGGGAAGGAAAAAGGGGTGGCCTTCCTGCAAAGGGTCAGTACAGTCTACAAAAGGTTGGAGGACTACACAAGGCATGAAGGCTATTTGGATATTTGTTTTCATTACTCTGTCACCATAACGCACCCTCTGATAAGTTAAGTCACCTCAAAGGAAACCCAAAGCACCCTAAATAAATAAATAAATAAATAGAGTAGCTGGTACCCAGTGCTGCTATGGGTGTAAGCCTTTCTAAATTTTGCTTATACACCCCAATATGGAGGGGGTGGGGCTATGAAAGACTTTGGAGAATAATGACATTAAACAGAAAAAAAATACAGGTAATATTACCCAAAATGATGGTACAAATTTTTTAATCAAAGTTATAAGGATACAATGGTTACCCAGGAATCAAACTGTAAAGTTTGAACATATACTCAGGGTGTTGCCTTGGAGTTGCCGATAATTGAGTTTTCAAGCATCCCAATAAATTATTTTCGCAGCTTTTTTTCAGGTATATAAACAAAATAATTTCTACAGTATTTCCAAGAACCGTAATCGGCATCGTAGGATACCAGTTATTAGAATTATACGCCATACTTTGCTAGGACAGCTTTGTATGTGATAGAACAAAACAAGCAGCCAAACATTTAGAATATAGAATATATAGCATGGTTTTATTTTCCTTCATTTAGCGTTATTTGTAAAATCCTCACGGGCATTCCAATTCAGAGTTTCTACGACAAACATTTTTCACACAAAATCCATGACATTTCCATGGAAGTTCTTGTCCATGTCTTTTACATCAAAATTGCATGAAAGTAGCACTGTTGCTATGTGAGATATGGTTGCTACGGTACCTTTGCTGGGCATACTGGACTGATGGCACACCTGCTAGGCACAGTGGGTTTTCAGAAATCCGAGCACAGCATGCACATGCGTAGTCTGTGGCTTTCCAGAGAGCAAAACACATTTTATACAGTGGACTGGGCCATGTATAAAGAGTGGACACGGTCAGTTTTATCCTTGACATGTGCACAGTCATTATTCGGCATGTGCTATAAATCCTCCCCATTACCTTTAATAAACACAGACACCAATTTTTCTGTTGGAAATATAAAGTACACAGCTTTATTATATTATCATAAATAAACATAATTTTAGGGTCATTGCCAACAATAAGGATATTTTAACCAATCTCACTTCATACCTAAATACCCACGGCAATAACCCCATACCAATATAACAGTATACATAACATATAACAAACTCACGGCATACCAAAGAGGCCCCACCAACTGTTAACTTGTAGGGGTGTACCGAGGCACCCCTACACCCCAAGGTTCGGAGCCACCGACTGGCTCGAACCTACCAACCAATTGAACCAGTCCTGCCTACTCCAACTGAGACCTTTTCCATGACCACTTCCTACTCCACCTACTTCCCATTTTTCTAGCCCTCCCCCACCGCGGTGGGACCAAACGGGGAACACTAATAACTACAGGGAGGGTGGGTGGGTGGGACAAGTAACAGGCTAGTGCAAGTTGAAAATTAAAATGGCCACTCTCTAAGATGGCCGCGCTATAACCCCCTCGGCCCCTCCTCCAAAACCACCTGACAAAGTCCTGCCCCCAATTATTAAAATCCATACATGCCTACTCTCTGGCCCGGTCAAGGCCCATTCTCCTTACTGCATTGCTCCATGGGCTACAGGTGTGAGAAGAGTCTACTTGCAGCTGCACGGAGCAGTGAACTTTACACTTAAAAAGTAAAAACTTTTTTTTTTGTAGATGTATATACATACACAAAATGTAAAAAAAAAAAAAAAAATATATATATATATATATATATATATATATACACATACACACACACACACACTTAATGTAAAGTAGTAAAGTAGGAAGTTTTACACACACATCCATTTAAGAGTCAATGTTCTAGTGGCCAAGAGTGCTTACACGTCCATTATGGGATGTGTCCTTCCCAGCAGCCTGTTTAAGTGGTGTGAATGTTTATGCAGTTCTCTGTAGTACAGTGTTGTCTGCATAGGAAGCGATGTAAAGCAGAGATGACACTGACTCAGTAATGTTACACAGGCCCCTGAACTCAACAAGTCATTTAGAATTCTATTTCCCAGGTTTGCACCTGGGAAGCATCAGTTTCGGATTCACCAAATGGAATTCCCAGCAGAAAGTGGTGTGAGATTTTCTCAGCTCCTTCAGCTGAGATCACTCTAAAAATATTAGCATGCGTTACATACAGCTATATGGAGATATTGAAACTTTTAAACAGATCACTGAGAAAGGGGCGTTCAGAACAGAAAATCATCATCAACATAGTTATGGTAGTATAAAAGAGAAATAATGTTAATATAAAATTGTTAAAATTCTACATTTGATAGCACACAGAAAAGACTAAATATCAGTCAATAAACTGATGTCAAGTTATTTTCTAATAACGAGAACACTTCTTGTATCAATTTCATGTGCGCTACAAAGATGCACACATTCTATAGACAAAATTAAATCTACACATTTTTTAGTTAAAGGACCACTATAGGCACCCAGACCACTTCAGCTTAATGAAGTGGTCTGGGTGCCAAGTCCGTCTAGGATTAACCCTTTCTGCTGTAAACATAGCGGTTTCTGAGAAACTGCTATGTTTACTTAGGGTTAATCCAGCCTCTAGTAGCTGTCTCATTGACAGCCGCTAGAGGCGATTCTCACAGTGAGAAGACGCCAGCATCCATAGGTAAGCATTGAGAATGCTTTCCTATGGACTGACTGAATGCGCGCGCCGATGACGGGGAAAGGAGGAGGAGAGTCTCCAGAACCAAGGGAGCCCAGCGCTGGAGAAAGGTAAGTGTTTAACCCCTTCCTCTCCATGAGTTTGTTTTCCTGGCACTATAGTGGTCCTTTAACCCCTTAAGGACCAAACTTCTGGAATAAAAGGGAATCATGACATGTCACACATATCATGTGTCCTTAAGGGGTTAATGTGCTAGAAAGTGTATAGAATATACATTATGCAATAATTAAGGCTAAAACCCTAAATTATGTGACAAAGGGATAAAATACAGTTATTTAACTAACAATGCACACAGCACCATCCCTGCGTATTATAAGCACAGCAGTGAGCACTGATGAACAGGTGTACACCTCAAACAGGCTCAAGAGCAACCTTCACATAATAGTACTGTTTGAAGTTTTATGTCTTGCGATTTTTTACTGCCATTAACAGTATTTTTGCTCTACATTCCTAAACGGAAGTCAAAATAAAAAATTACACCTTGCCCATTATTTCGGCATTAGATATTGCAGAATTTATTACATTAACAAAATTACTTATCCACTTTAATTATAGTGACTTTTTCATTTTAGAGACAGTCATAAATTGTATCTATGCAGGTATATTACAATTATTATGAATTTATATTACCAATAAACTTTCCTGGGGGGAAAAAAAAAAAAGGCATTATGCTGTCCCTTTAAATTTGACATTCTCCGCACTATAAAAATCTATGCAGTTTGCATAGGATATAGAGCAAGGAGGCCCCCTGTTGCTGTCTTCTTGCACATAGTTGCTTATAATGCAGTAATAACTATAAATGAGGTTATGTACAGTCTGACAGTTGCTGTTATCAACTTATTCTTCATATCTGATGAATGGAAGGTTTGAACTAATATCTGATAAACCCCCATGGGAAGACTCCAAAGTGGCAGGAATGAGAAGCCCCTGCATAAGAAGTCAAACTATTCTAAAACAATTTGACTACTTACAATAGGGATGTGCTGGGCACTCCTGGCACCATAACCACTACAGCACAATATAGCGTTTATTATACTTGGGAGATTTACTTGAAGCGGTCATTAATATTATTTATATGTCCTAACCACCCAGTTCATAGCCCCTTTAGTGGTGATATTTTAGAAAAATAATCTGCAGAATATAAATCCAGTAATCAAAACATTTTCTCTTGGATTCTTCCTTGATGGATGTATTTTCTGCAGAATATGATTTTTACATACTACAGGACAGCAATACCTGTGAGAAAGTAAAACAGATATGTGCTCATGAAAACGCAGTGGATCTAGGAACTTTTAACTGGATGGTATGCGCAATAAAAAAACCAAACTGGAATTTCAGCTTAACTACAGAAAATTACAAAAGTAGGATACGATTGCAGAAACACAAAATTACACAATTCTTTTGGATCAACAGCATAAAAAAATGTACATTAAAAGGTTGGACAAGATGGACTTTTTTCAACCTAGATTACTATGTAACTATATTCATCTTGGTCCCATGCTCAGCCGTATGCCCATTCAGTACCCACTCACCTGGGATTTCGCAGATACAGACAGCAGGGCATGACTGGAGTACCTTGTCTGTGCATCTCCGCTCAGTCCAGCTGCCCTGCTCAACAGCTCCACCTGGCGGCTTAGCCTTTCCACCTGCTCCCGCAGCTGGCGGTTTTCGCACTGCAGGTCGGAGACAGAGCGGGAGAGCGGCCCGGCCAGTCTCAGCACGTCCTCCAGTTGCCGCTCCACCCCACGTCTGAAACTGTCCATTTCCGAATGGAGCTCTTGCACTGCACTGCGCATTGTGCAATCCTCGTCCTTTCCTGCTCCGGCACGGCACAAAGGCGCCACAGGATAAACTGATACCTCCCCGCCAGGATCCATGCCGCACACCGAGCACTGCGCAGACAATAAAGCGGTGCTGCACGAGAGATCACCAGGAGACGAAAGCTGGGGGGGGGGGGGTTGTTTTTTTTTCTAGCAGTTTCTCGAGAAAGCTTCAGCACTAGAATGAAAGAGCATTATGCACAAGCACACCTTGCTTCCTAATGAATGGGACTACTGAAACCAATCAAGCAATTTAGATAAGTTCCTAGTGATCCAGGTAAAATGTGTACTTGCACTACTGCAATTAATAAATGGAATTTCACAAGTCCTCACTTCAAGCAGGAGTACCGAACAAGAGTGTAACTGGCAGTGCACTGCTGCCTACTCAGGTGTGATAGTGCACAGTCAGTGGAAGATACAGTGCACTGCTCCCTATTCAGTGGTGATGGTAGACTGTCAGTGGAAGATACAGTGCACTGCTCCCTATTCAGTGGTGATGGTGGACTGTCAGTGGAACAGTGCACTGCTGCCTACTTAGGTGCCAATGCACTGTCAGTGGAAGATACTGTGCACTTCTGCCTATTCAGTGGAAGATACAGTGCATTGCTGCTTGCTCAGGTGTGATAGTGCACAGCTTTGCAGTCAGCTCAGTTGCTTCTTTTTCAGCCTCAGAGCATTTCCAGGAACCAAATCCTCAGTGATGTCAGTTCTGCTCAATTTGCAACAAAACTGATACAGTTCTCCTGTGGAATCTTTCAAATGTCCAAGAGAGTGCCTTACCTGTGCAGTGCAAGCAGAGCACTGCAGTGCAACTAAATGCAAAGTCTAGTTTCTTGCTGCACAAAATAAATATATCCCGGTGTCAGTGCTGCTCTAGGAAGTGTGTTCATAAATCCCAGAGTGTGAGTGTTTGCTAGTGAGTAGGTCTGCCTGTGCACTGCTCCCCCCTCTCACTGAGTCAGCTGGAGGGAGATGCTCTCAGGCAGGGGAGGGACTGTGTGCAGGGGTGGGGGCTTCTCTCTCTCTCTCTCTCGTGTAACCATGCTGTGCCAAAATAAACACACTCCTTATCTCTCTTCAACGGATAACAGGAGGAGGGGGTGAGGTGACAGCCATGTGTAAAAGGCACAGTGTAGAATTGGGCGTCCCTGATAATGACCTACTCCTTTACATTCATTGTATACCTTTACATTCACTGTCAAGGGAAACTCACACAGAGCAGGCTTTGAATAAAGCACATTCCTGGACTAGACACACAATAACATATGACACCGCTTACAATCGGTTTTGGAGCTTATAAGACTAATATTGATCAAGCTTGTATCTGCTGGAGAGACCAGTAAATTGCTGCTGTGCAAGTGTATATATAATTAACTATTGCTGAAACATCTTCTACAATAATATCTTTAAAATAGTGGCCAAAAAACAGCAAATTAGAAATGGTGATCATCATTTTAGCGTTGCGGTATTGTACCCCCTTTTTAATGTTGTAAAGCGCTACGGAATAAGTTGGTGCTATATAAATGCCAGAAACAATAATGATAAGATCCCCATTGATAACAATTGGGTTAGGTAGTTGAAATGGGTTTATGTACCAACACACAGCGGTTCTGAATCATTCCCAGTACAGCAAAACCTTACAGAAAGCAACTCATGTCTAACTATTGGGGTTTATATACTAAGCTTGAACTTTAGCGAATTGAAAACCAAATTGCAAAATTTAGGCTAAAATAGTCAAGTTGTGAGCTGGAGAACTTTTCCATATCAACTATTTAAGCCTGTTAGCCATTCTGATTCTCGTTACTTCAATTCAGAGTTTAGTGAATAGACCCCAGTATGTTAGAGTGCAGAAATACAGCGACTCACCCACTAGTACAATTTCCTCTAATTCGACTACTTGGCTTGGTGTGAGTTCACTTCAGATGCTGCACAACATTGGGATTTGTAGAAAATTGATAGAATTAAAATCATTTTAGTTTCTATATTAAAAATTTTAATGCACTATCTAATGCAGGGGTGCCCAAAAAGGTAGATCTCTATATGCTTTAAAACTACAACTTTCATGATGCCTTGTCATATGAAAGGCTTGCAAAGACATGCAAAGCATCATGGGAGCTGTAGTTCTACATCTGGGGATCTACCTTTTGGGTACCCATGACCTAATGCATTTCAAAAGATAGAACGGGTTAATTCCAGCTTAAAGTGTCCCTTTAACTCACTGTTTTGATAGCAGAATCTATAAAAACATCTACATCCTTTGTCAAAATGGCAGGCAGCTGTACAGAAGCTACATGAGCTACAGTGCAATCTCAACGCTATAGGCTCCAATATTTCCTATTTATCATTGTATTGTTATTGCATCTTGAGTTGTCTGTTTCTGTTTAGCTCCGCGTGTTCTAGATTCTAAGGGTTAAACTTCTTGCTATAACTATGAATCACCGATTCAAACTTGTCTAGTGACAAATGAGGCAGTGTGAGCATGTACTGTAACACAAAAAGTTTATTGGAAATGTTTCCACCTACACACACACTCTTTAGAGACCATGATCCAAACCCTGAGCTATGTATAAAGTCCATACAGCATGTAATTGTTATGTGCAAACAAGCCAGCCTGAGGAGACCCACCTGCACTCACTTTTCACGGGTCACTGCTTTTAAAGAGAACTGATGCAGGGTTTTGTCATAAAAGGATGGTGGCCTCTCAGTTTTCACAGATTAACATTTCCACATAGGTTTGATGTGATTAAGTGCTTTCTCTGACTGTGTAAGGAAGGCTTCTTTGGGTGCTTATCTGCTAATCTCTGTTCTTTTCCAAATTCATGAAAATACATTTGGAAGCAAAAAGTAAAATAAAATGAAACAGTTGTTCCTTCTATTCCCTATTAGCTAAATTGAGGAGGTAGATAAATGATCCCCATTCCCTCACGCCATGAGCATAAGGGTTAATAAAATGTGTCCCATCCACTTCCTTATTAACTTATTTACATTGATGTGCATAATGTGAAGCACAAACAGAAGAACTTTTTTTTTTTTTATAATTCTTATTTTTTTTTAAATGCAGTAGTGACAAATATACAGACATACACACCCATAAACATATTGTATGAACAGTAAGCGTCACATGAAAAGGTGTACATAGGTTGTGCTTTTTTTTTTGTAAAGAAATATGCACCAAACCAGCATCGTTAGACGAACTCATTTAATTGAACGTTTCATTCATTTGTTCATTTTTAACCTTTGAACGCTAACTGGAGAAGCAGAATCGTAGATTGCTTATACAGTGTTTATGCCATCCCTTGATGGAACTGCAGCGTGCAGCTAAACTTTTGTTGGGTTTATGCTTTTAGCTCATCTTAACTATGTTTTATATTTTGCCTCCATTTATTGACAGATGCACGCATGTTCAGGCGTTCCTTACATAGGACCGTGCGAGCGCATGTCATGCACTGTCACATACAACATCTCTAGTGGCTTTTTAATTGTTTTAAATTTAATATGTTACATAACCTTTAACTTTACAGCAGACTTCACTTGCCGATACCGACACTAAATGCATACATGAATAGCTGGGGGATTCACTATCTCAAACTACAGAGGTTTAGCATTATGTTTTTCCAGTATTACGTATTTAGTTTTATTTTTGTCAGAGCAGTTTTATGCATGGGCGCCTACAGAATATTTTTGTAAAGTAGTAGCCCAATTGCAGATCTCTGGGGTTTACGTCTGAAGTAACATCATGAATGCGATGTGACACAAGCACAAACAAGTAAACTAAATTTAAAACAAAATAAAGCAGTTATTGTGTTTAATTTGAAGTCCGGTGGTTCACTTCTTAACCTTGAAGAAATACTTTTTGGTTTCAATTTGATGTAAAAAGTTTTGTAACTTGTATATTTGTGCACTATGCTGATGCAATGCATTACGAGCCTGGTATAAAACTTTTTCTATGGCTGCGTTTTATTCCGAGTCTGGCTCTGTCCACAACAGCTGGGTATCTACCTTTTGGCCATCTCTGTCCTAATTTGATTATGCACCTGTCAAGCTTTCCTCCAGATCGGTGAATAGTCAAGTTTCATGTTACAACTCTTATTCGAATACGCAAACCAGGTTCTACCGTTACAGGCTGGGCTGCCAGATAGGTCATTTAATACCAGATACTAAATAATATCACATCTTCTTGTGGCTTATTGAGGAAAGCTTTGGATAAACTACCAAGGTTATTCACTAAAGTGAGAAGTACATTTGAGTTCAGACTTAAAGTCAATGTAGCTGAAATGAAAGCCTAATTGATTCAGAGAGTTCTGCCGTTTTTACTTTTATTTTGAAATTCACTTCAAAATTATCTTGAATTCTCACTTTGCTGAATAACCCTTTATATGACATTTATTAAAGCTATTCGTTACACACTGTAAGTTAGCAACAATAGCACAAGCTATTAAAGTTTCCTTAAGCATTTGCCGTCTTCAGGATTTTCACATTCTTTGTTTTTTTGTTTTTTTTTGACATTCTTTATTTATTGATTTATGTAGGTATAATTGATACAGCACATATTCAGCCGTACATAAAATCATAACAATAACTGTAACAGCGAAGGTACAACTTTGCCATCTACGTGGCCACAAGCAAACAAAATTGGCGATGTGACTCATGGGTCGCAAGTAATGTGCTGTCGGCTCAGCTGTCGCCTCAGCAGTATCAAGCGGAGGCTCGCATCTAGCACTATCTCCTCTGTTTTACCCTAAGTAGCAAGTCTGGTAGGACGGCCCCCGGCCAAAAGCTTTAGTAATGTCAACCTAACCTCAAGACTAGACCAGAGAAGCCTGCTCAGAATATAGGTGCTGTGTTGCGCCCTTTGACAGAGCTGGCCCCTAATAAAGCCCTATAGTCGAAGGCTAGGATCCCCAAGTAACCATGTCGAGTAGACTAAATTTGCCAAGTGCGTAAGAACTAACTCAATGAAGATCATCTGGATAGGTGTGCTGAAGGGACACGACCTCGTCATCGGGGAGGTGTGGCTAGCGTCTGGCCTTCGGTCTATCCCGCCACTCGGTAGCGCTCCCCTGTACTATCCTTGTGAAGTTCGTGGGCTCAAAATCCTATCTCTATTCTGCGTCCTGTTTTCCCCCCACTGCTCCCCATACGCCTTGTGAGCCAGGGCAGAGTCTAGTTTAGCCAGCCTGCCTAAGTGCCATGAGTTAACTCTTGTCGTCAACAGTCAGGGTAAAGGGAAGGGGAAATAGTCATCCTCACGCAGTCGGTGAAGGGCGTCAACTCCATCAGTCCCGACTGTGGACCTCCGTCAGTCTGTCGGGAGAGGGAGAAGTCGTGCCGGTGCGGGAGCGCCCCCCGCCTCCGATCCGGGCGGCCCCCGCGGCCCCCTTCGCTGTGTAATCCATCCATGGAAACCATGTTAGGGCACACTTATCCGAGCGCCCCTGCAGGGACGCGGTAATCATTTCCATGTTATAAATCATTTCCACGCTGTCAACCCATTGGCGGTAGGTAGGGGCCGCCGTGCTTTTCCACATCGTGGGGATGAGCGATTTCGCTGCCGTGAGTAGGTGTATAAGGAGGCCCTTTTTGTAGGAGTTCACCAGCTTGCTCATGTGGTTCAACAGCAACGTCAGCGGTTGGAAAGGGATATCCGTCCCGGTCACGTCTTTAATCGCCCGGTGAATCATTCGCCAGAAGGGTTCAATGCGTGTACACGACCACCAGATGTGGATCCCCGAGCCCTCTGCAGCCCCACACCTCCAACATTCACCGGGAATGGACTCGTGGATGTGTCGAATAATGTCCGGGGTTCTATACCACCGCGACAGTATCTTGTAATTGCATTCCTGAAACTTCGAGCTGATGGTCCCCTTGTGCGTCAGTAGGAAGATCTTTAGCCATTCCGATTCCGAGAGATCGACCCCTGTCTCCCTTTCCCAGCGTACCGTGAAGCCCAGGGAGCTCTTGTCCCCACTGCCTTGTAGCGTAGAATATAGGAGCGATATGCCATG